ATTAGTTTGTCTTTTAAGGCTCAGGTTGAAAACAGAATAGTGGTGGAAAATCTGCTGCATGAACTGGGATGAGGATGGAAAGATTGATTTAGATCCCTCATGTTTTTATAAACTGGAAAAGCTGCCAGGTTTTCACATTCTGCTAGTCCAACATTAAACTGTAGGATATTCTGAGCATAGTTTATTTTTTTTTTTTACAAGGGAAACTTTTAAAATATTTTAACACAGCAGTTAGTGGTTATAGACTAGAGGTCACTGGAAGTCAGCAATTTTTTGCCTCTTTTTTTTCTTTCCATCACACTCTGTACCACCAGGATTTGGTGGTATATGAAAATGTATGATTCTGCTTGACAGTTTGAGCAAATTGTACATTCTTCAAGTATGCATATGAGGGAGATGATTGATACCTTTTCCAAGTCAATGAACAGATAACACATGATGGATTTTCCTTGTGGTCCTTGCCAAAACGGCAGAACTTGGGCTTTGCTCGCTGTGCTGTTGGCTCACCCTCGAGGAAAAAGAGCTGGAGGTATTTTTGGGAGCAGGGAAAGAAAGAGCACTTGCATTGAAATTGTATATTATGTATGTATGGCTATAGAAGACTGCAATCTAAATAAGCAGGAGCACAGGAGGGTTAACAGAATCCTCATTGCTCACATCTTTCTCTCTGACTTAGCTGGCTCCTCCTGCTCCTCTGTCTGGGCAGGGCAGCTGCAGTGCTTTGTTCTGCCCTCACACAGCAGGAATATGGAATTTTTGACCCAATGGCAGTGGTTACGCTGAATAAATGCTGCCACTTTTGCCACACGGCCCCTTTTATTTTCCTAAAAAAAAAAAAAGGGGTTGACTGTCTTTTGTACACTTAACACAAATTAAAGATCGTCAAATGAAAATGCAGCAGTTTCACACCAAGGTTTTGAGATGCCCCTTTCAGTGGCTGGAGTGATCACAAAAATTAACTGTGCTGCCAACATCATGGAGCTGATTGCTCACATTTATTACAGGACAATGAAGTTTTCCAAGGGGAACTTTTCCACCACATTGCCCATCCAGGACCATGCCAGGACTGTGCACTGCTCTGTGACTTTACTAAAAATTCTGCAAGTGTGACAGATAGAAGCACCTCATATTTGAAGATTCCTCTCTTGAGCAAATCTTCTTTTATCTTTGTCCCTCAGGATTTATTCCCTCTGTCACACTCCGAGTGCTCCATCTCCACAGCAGGGAATGTGACATTATGTGTTTTTTATGATCTTGGCAGGAACTCAGGAGAGTGAGATGAGAGCAGCTGTGCAAGAATGAGAGAGAGAGAGAGCAAGGTGCAAATTTCCTACCTGCTTCAGGATCCATTTCATTTGCCTTCTCCTCCAATATTTGGTTTCTCCCAAAAGAGATTTCTTCCCCTTCCCTTCTCTTCCTGATGGAAACTGGTTTAACTGCCTCCTGAACCACCTGCTGCAGGAGCCTCTCTCCTTCCTCTGACTCTACAGCACACTAAGAGCAGTGACCAGAAACCCCTGGCTTGAGATTCCCAAGGGAAATCCCACAAACTGCTGCTAAATGGCCTGTGGAAAGTAAATGGAAAAGCCACTCTAGCACCCACAGGCTTAAACTTACTACTGTGGGATCCATGTGGCTACTGGAGTTTTTTTTTCCCCCACCAGGGAGTTTACACCTTCAGAATAAAAGGCCAGAAACTCCTGATAACCAGTGGAATTCATTGCTGCAGTTACACCAATAATAATTTAAGATGTTGGTTACCCCTCTATGAGGGAGTGACCCCAAACCATCTGTTTCTACTTCCTTGTATCCCAGACCAAACTTTACACCAACTCTGTGCTATCACAAACAGTTCCCCCTCACCTCTGAAGGATGTCTCCATGGGAATAGGTTAATCTTCATTATGTCCATTCAAATATTGTCAATATGATATTTTTTCCAGCCTAAGATTCAGTCATTGAGGAATTCACCTTTTTTTTTACTGCACATTATCACTTTTCATCCACAGCAGGGGATGCTTAGGCTGAAAAGCTCACACTGACTATTAATCCTTCCAGGAGTGAGAAAACCTCCTTTATCTCATCTCATAATTCCTTTCTTTCCCCATGAAAACAAACCCATCACCCCATAATCTTGCTTCAAACACATTACCTACTTCACTATGGGCTGTTCTCTAGGGTTTAAACAACCTCAAGGTAATAAAGTGATTTAAAGTGAGCTTTTCCACACAATTCCCTTCATCATTAATTCACACTTGGCATATATGCACTGTGCAGGGAGGAACAGCATGAAGATCCCTGAGCCAACACAGACTGGAGCTGGGTCAGTCCCCCAAAAGCACTGTAACTGCAGGAATTTATAACAATTTGGCAACCCAATCTGCAGTGTCTGCTGAGCATCTTTCCATATGGGTTTTAGGCTGGACATTAGGAAGTTCAGACACATGGTTGAGTGGCCACATAATAAGCTGTGACTAACAGTTGGGCTGTGGGAACCAACATTTGCATCGAGCTCCTATAAAATGTAAAATTTCGCTTAAATATCCTTCCCTGCAGTTTGTGCCAAGAGCACTTGGCTTTTGCAGAGGGCTGAGCACACAGGGAGTTGCTGTGGGCCAGCTGATACAGGTACCTGACCCTTTAGTAGTGTTTTTCATACCATAAAACACATCCAAACCCACCTCCAGACCCTAAAGCACTGCACTGCCAGTGCTGCTCTGCTCATCCCACACCTCCTTCCCCTCACTCACACACCCCTCCTGTGGGCTTAACACTGGCATTTCAATCCACTTGCTTTGAAGTTAAGCCTAAATTACCTCCCACACTTCACACCTCAGTGATAGTGGCATTTCTTTACCTCCCTGCTCCCTTATCCCAGCTGTCACCCTTGGTGCTGGCTTCACTCCCCTAAGTCACGAGGGAGACCTGTCACTGTGCTGCCTTCTATGCAAAATTAACAGAATGCTAATTACTAATTAATATTTCCATAGTATCCACAGGGAGTGGTTCCCCTTGGCTTTCTGGAGTCAGCAGAGTCAAAACCACTTTGCTGACCTATAGTTTCTTCATACCTAGGCAGTTAAAAAATCCCATCCTGGGATTAGAATTCCCTCTTCCTATTTCTCTCCCAACACCTGACCTACACCGTTCCACCCAGCCACCTGTAATCAAAACACCAATACTTTTCTTTACCTCTCACTTTTATCCCATAGTTTCACTTTGCCTTCTAGTTATTTTTCCTGCTGAATTGTGTTGTTGCATAAATAAAAAAAAAAAAAACCAACAATTCAGACCAGTCACTTGACAGCCCCAACTGGAACTAAAGTTGATTTCATGATTTTTTTTGCAGGCAACAGAAAGGACCAACCAGAAACAGCACAGAGGCTCCTGTGAGAAGGTGGTTCATGATCAGTTAAGACCTTCATGGTATTAAAACCAAGAATCCAAAGCTCCTTAGAGAAAGCCCAGGTGGTTCAGCATCCTTCACTTGTCAGGAGGGGTATTAATGAAACATCCTCCCATGGCTGGTGCAGGTCCTGGTGGATGGCAGTGGTTTGGTTGGGTACTGGTTTGTGGCTGAGTTGAGAGCTGCCTTTGCCAGATTTCATTTCCACCCCTCCTGGTCAAGGTGAGGCTGTGACTATTGAAGAAAGAATGACCATGAAGTGGAGGTGCCTTTTGAATTCACAGACAGAATCAGCAAAATATTTTGAACTTCTGGCATGCTCTGTGCCAGGACAGACCTCCCAGCAGCCTGATAAGAAAATTGGAGTTTCCTTCAACTCTTACCTTCAGTCTATCTTTTAGCAAGCTTGAATTTAGAGAACCTACACCCCAGAATCCATTTTACACACAGAGAAACCTTATATCCCCACACCCTCAAGATAAATAAATGGCTAAATTGAAATACTAATTATTGTAAAGCCTTGCTCATTCAATTATTTTTTCCCCAAGATTACCCTGCAGACCTTAGCGATTACCTACTTAAACTTACTTTTGCAGAAAAGCAATTTCTTGGCTGCTAAGAAGTCAGAATGAGGTCCACAACCATGGCAAAACACATCTGGTGTTTGTTTCAGAGAAGGAGACTTGCACAGGCATTTTTGCAGAATAAAACAAAAGCTGTTTTGCTTAGGAAGAGAAGTTGCTGTGCTGGGCTAATGCTTCTCTTTACAGGTGTCAGAACAGGTTTCTGTGTATGTACATCACCTTTCCTACAGCTCCAATGGGTTACAACTTTGAAGCTTGTAGGGCTTGGAAATAGTGAGGAAATCTTGCCCAAACCCAATTTTAAGAACCTTCAGACTTTGAAACTCTTGAGCAGGAACTTTCTTTGCTGTCTGCCTGCACTGTGCCTGGTTCAGCAGGGTCCTGGAGTGACTAGGGGTCCTAAGCTCTACAGCAATACAAATAATAAATAAAAAATAGTCATACATTGTATATGAGCAATAATAACTACTTCATACCCTGTTTGTCAGAGACACACTGCACCCCAGCTAATACTTGGGAAATGTGGTAACCAAGTCACCAAAGTTGCCAGATGAATGCCATTTTTTTGATGGAATTATTTAACCTTCAGGTCTCCAAGTGGCTGGGAAACTCCTCAACAGCTTCACCAGCAGTGAAAGGACACAGACCAGAGGGATGGAACTGGGTCATGCACAGCCCTGAAGTTGAGCAGAAACTGGGAGGAAATATTTCTGTGGAGGCAGTGGATCCATGTACAGCTTCTCATCTCCACCATCTATTTTCATGTTTAAAGGGACTACATTTGGGAAGAGAATTCCAGCATAGTCTTTTTGTGTGTGTGTGTGTGTTGGCCTTTTCATTAGGAAAAACAAATAAAAGGAAACAGATAAGGTAGACAAATTGTAATGAAACATTTCATGTATCCCCTATGGCTATCTCATTTTTCCCAAATGACTGCTGCATGAAATTAAAAAATTAAAAGGCTGGGATTTGAGAACAAAATTATAAATTAAAAAGGAGACATTTAAAAGATAATTTCCTAAGGGTTTCATTCCTTCCCCAGTCTGCAGCAAGCAGAACAAAAACACAATCCAAAAGAGGAGAGAAGTCAGAGGGGATTAGAAAGTCCAGTCTTTCAGCCTGTCTCCATGTTGCTAATTTTTACAGTAAGTTATTTAAGAAGCAGTAGATGTTCCCATAGAAAGCAGGCAGCAGCACACACAGGCATCGCCTCCTCCTTCCAGCGAGGTCTCTGCAACCTCAGTCTCTTGCTGGGAAGGCAGGAGAAGTTTTCCTCCCCACACTTGTTACTGCCTTCCAGTGTGGGACAGGGGAGAAGCATCCACCAGAGTTTGGGGTCTGGCACATCGTGGGGTCCCCTCCCTTGGCTGGGCTAAAAGGAACTCAAGTATTCCAGTGCAACCTCGTATACAAATTTATACTGTTCCTGAAAGAGAGGACACAAAGGAATGGCATTAGGATGTGGGAAAATTCCTCAGAGCCTCATTCTACAAGCAAAAATACCTCCTCCCTCTTTCTTATACCCTTTGGCAGGAGCAGGCAAACACTGGTTGTGTTTCTGAGTGATCCTGAGCAAGCGTGGCTGGGAGATGGTGTCATCAAAGGCAGAGAAAAGCACTCAAAGAGACAGCCCCAGTCTGGACCATTCATTATTTGCCTCCAGCCCTCACTGCACGTGTTGCTTTTGAGGCACGAGCTCAGAGTGATGGATGGAGATGACTGAATTCAGGACAGTTTAATCTCCTGGGCTGCATGGAGCCAGGCCTGAGGCTGGACTATTCTCCTTCCCTGGTTTCAAGATGCGTCACAGCACCCAGCACTGGGCTGGACAGGAGGACAATTCCCTGCATGGACAGGAGGACAAATCCCACTCTTCCCACAGCCATGGTGACAGCTCTGTGGGGTTTGACCTCCTGAGGCAGCTGGGCATGGGACACAGTGTCCATCACTCTGCCAGGGCATCCCCTGTTCTCAGAAGGAGAAGCAGGAAGAGTCACTGAACATGCTAAAACAGGACCAGTTTTAACTCTGGTGTCTTCATCTTCCCATTCATTTTGATTCATCCTGAACTAATTTTGACTTTTTTTTTACCTACCCTGAAGTCCTTTGCACACACACTGGGTGGGGATTGAGCAGGAAGAAGCCTTACCAGTGACTCCACCATGTTGGATTTGTTATTCCGTAGCGTTTTCACTATGTGGAACACGTCGATGATGTTCTGCTGCTGGATCATCTCACACACACTGCAGATGGCACAGAAGGTGCCGCTGCGGCCGCCACCGTTCCTGGCAGGGGGACAAAACAGGGCAAGGAGGTGAGGATGGGGGAAGGACAGCACACACAGCTCACAGCCCATGGAGAGATTCCTGTCACATGGAAGGTCTCTGATGTAAGGGCTGATGCTCAAGGGCTTGTGTGCCTAAAGGGGCTCCAAGAGAGCTGGAGGAGGGCTTTGGACAAGGGCATGGAGTGACAGGACACAGGGAATGGCTTCCCACTGCCAGAGGGCAGGGATGGATGGGATATTGGGAAGGAATCCTTCCCTGTGAGGGGGGTGAGGCTCTGGCACAGGGTGCCCAGAGAAACTGTGGCTGCCCCTGGATCCCTGGAAGTGTCCAAGGCCAGGCTGGACAGGGCTTGGAGCAGCCTGGAGTAGTGGAAGGTGTCCACTAGAACTGAGTGGTGTTTGGGGTCCCTTCCAACCCAAACCATTCTGTGAGTCTGTGGGAGTGGAGACCTGTAGAACTGGGGCAGAGATAGAAGGACTAAGGGATAAGGGGAGCTTCCCTGTCCCCCTGGAGTAGGGGACAGGGGAGCTCAGGGGCTGCAGTGCTGCAAACCCCTGCTCTGGGCTCACAGGAGCTCTGTGCTCAAAGCTGGGTACATGGCAGGGCTGCTTCAGCTCTGTCTGTGCTACAGACATGAGACCTACAACATACCAGGGCTCTTGGAGCTATCTCTCACAGCAATCAGCAAAATCCCTGGGCCAGGACACGATAATGCAATACAATATTCAACTTGACGTGATCATTATAAATGTAGCTAGTACATGAAGTCATAAATGAAGTAGAAGTGTGTGAATTTAGTAGCATGAATGTACTTTAACTCCATTCCCCCCAGCTGAAGCCTGGCAAACCAACAGATTTCCACAACCCACAGCACGTGAGGCTACAGACATCTCCCAGCCCTTACTTACAGGCAGTGGACCACGGTGCGCCCGTCTCTGCCATCGTACTGCTCCTGCCACTTCTCCAGCCTCCTGACCACCTTGAGCAGGGAGCGCTTGGAGGGCGGGGTGTCCCTGTAGGCCGGCCAGCCGATGTACTGCAGGTGCTGCACGATGCGGTACCCGTCCTGCGGCTGAACACAGAGCTGCTCAGGGGCCAGCCAGGGTGGGCAGGGCTGGCAGGGTCAGCATCCAGCCTCACTTCATGGCAGAATGATTAGGAGTCTATGCAAGTGCTGTTATTTTTTGATTTTAGTAAGAGCTCTGGGTGTCAGGGGTACTGTTGGAACCCAGGGAATTCCTCTTATGTCACAGACATCTTTTATGAAAAATCCTTTCTTTAGGATTTTTCCTCTTGAGAAGCTGAGAGACTTCAAGAACAAAATGTAAACAATGGTTATCTGCTGCTGTGGAATGCCACAAGTAGATCTTTGATTGGCCTATGTCAGCTGTTTCTAATTAATGGCCAATCACAGTCAGCTGGCTCGGACAGAAAGTCCAAGCCACAAGCCTTTGTTATCATTCTTTCCTATTCTATTCTTAGCCAGCCTTCTGATAAAATCCTTTCTTCTATTCTTTTAGTATAGTTTTAATATAATATATATCATAAAATAATAAATCAGCCTTCAGAAACACAAAGTCAAATCCTCATCTCTTCCCTCATCCTAAGACCCCTGTGAACACGGTCACACTCTTATTGTAAATCAAAGGCGACTCTGACAAAGGGGAGAGACAATGATGCATCTGACTCCATCATCAGAAGGCCAATTAATCACTTATACTGTACTATGTATATTGTATCTAAACTGAATCTGGCATGCACTCACTCTTGCTCACAACTGCTCACACTGCACTCATCTCTGATTCTCTCTCCTGTGACAGTCCCACACACACACACACACACTTGGCCCTGACAGGCCAAGGGAACAAAACATCCTCACTTTGGGTAAACAATCTCCATATTGCATTCTACTTTAGCACAACACAGGCACAGCAAGTGAGATAAGAATTGTGTTTTCCTTCTCTGCTTGAGTCTCACAGCTTCTCTCTGTTCAGAGGGCTGTGAATGCCACACCTCTGGCTGCCCTGGAGGACTTGGGACCCTGCCCAGGGGGCTCAGAGACCTTGGCACAGAGCCCAAGACACCTGTGACTTTGATTTTGACCAATGGAGCAAATTACCACTTTCATATGAAGAATTACAGGTCAAGAGAGTTTAAGTAGAATAATAGTTAGTTTGTCATGGGATGAAACACAGATTTTTGAGGTTTTTAGAATGGAGGCTCAGGGTCCCAAGAAGGAGGAATTTGGGTGTGCCCTGTCCTCCTTCTTTCTTCTTCCTGGCCTCCATGTTCCAGGTGATGCTGGCACTTTTGATTGGTTTAAGGTAGAAACTCACTGTCTAACATAGGTGATAGGTATTGGGAAGTTATGGTAAATAATGTGCATGTAGTTTTTAGTATAAAAAGATAAAGTGTGCCTCAACCCGACCTGCCAGACAGACCTCAGCAGGTCAGAGAAAGAATGCTATAGATAAAAAATAATAAACAACCTTGAGAACGAGAAAGAAGAATTCTGAATCCTTCTTCAACTGCTGGGCTGGGAAAAAGAGGCTTGTACGTATCTCTGAGTCACTGTGACCAGCAGAGATTCTGAGAGGGTACCCAAACCCAACTCTGACTCCAACATGGTTTTGGGCCGAATGTGTTTTATATTCTATCATTATATCACTTACATATTAATTATTAAACTTACATTGTTCTATTGTATACATTGATTTCATCCAAGCATGGATTTCTCGTGATCCCCCTCAAACCCCTAACATAGTTTCTCATGATTCTTTAACAATAATTCTATCTAATCACATCTAAGAGCTATATCATTTATCATATACTGACTACACAGATGCAGTTTCACATAATCTAGTTAATATAAGGCCTAACATTTCCCAGGGCCTACCTTTAACATTTTCCCTGGGCCTACTAAACCTGCATGCATGAGCCAGCTCCATCTGCGAGCACAGAGCTTTGCTCTGACCATCTTTATCAGCCCAGGCTCTCCCTGGGACACAGGAAGGTGTCTGATATCCAACCAGTTCATCAGTTTTTGTGCTGGACCACAAGGTTGCCTCTGCAGTGCCACACCTGAACGGCTGCACAGGCTCTGACCATGCAGACACTGATGGGTTACACTGCATGGAAATATAATTTGCAGAGCCTGCTTCCATTTCTGACAAGAAAAAAAACGAAAGAGGAACAACAAAGGAAACATAATCAATCTGGGAAACGACTAATGAGAGAAAAATCCTCTGCTGAAGCCCTTTCCTGCAGCCCTGAAGCTGGATTGCCAAGGCTCAGTGTGCAGATAAACTTTGTTTCTATCATTTCAGCTGTCCTGGGGCTGAGGGACACAGACAAAGAGCTGCTTACAGAAATGGCAGTTGCTTATTTATAGGGAAAGCAGTGGCAGTTGGGAATCCCAGTCTAGCCAGTAAACATTGCATCTGTCTTCAGAGATGCTGCCTGGGAGCTGACAGATGGAGAGCTGCTGACACCATCCCAGTTTATTTCCTGCAATACTGATGGCTTTATATTGGCTACTAAGTGATGAATTGTTCTCAAATACACACAGAAAAATGCTCACCATTTAAATACAGATTTTCAGCTCATATCATCCACTTGCTGCCTTCAGCCAAGAGTCCTTTAGCAATGCAGGCTGATTAAATGTTAATTAAAGGAAGTAGCTGCAGTGGAATTTCATTCCTAGGTGAGAGATTCTGCATCTCTAAACCACAAGCCTTGGTTCTGCCTCTTCCTTGAGCCAAAATGTGTTTTTGAGAATAACTTGGGAATGGAGTATTTCTGCTCTCTTACCCTGGCCATGTTGCAAATCCGGAATATCCTGTTGATGATATCTTCATCAATATCTGCTGAAACAAACTCCACCTGGATTGGGCCATAACAACAGGATGTCTTCTCTGGCCAGTACTGCATGCAGAGCTAGGAAAAAACACAACATCAAACAGAAATCTTAATAATTAACATATCAAATCATTTTGGATCTATAACCAGCTCAAAAATCCATCACCAATTTGTATATCGTGGCTTTGTTCAGACAAGATCTCATTCAAGCTTAGTAAAACATTTTATATCCTGAATATGAAGAAAAAAAGAAATGTATTTTAGGGCCTGGAATTTTCTTCCTCTTTATTTTTGTACGAACACAGTTTGGAAGCGATTGGATTCTGGGTCTAGAGGTGCAGAAAGGTGGCTGACAAATGAAGCTTCTGTAAAGGCAGAGATTTAACAGGAACATTGAAAGATTAGTGTCTGTAGATAAAGTTAATAGGAACCATAGAGATCTGGTAAAAATGAGGAAATAATACAGGCACCAAGAAAACTAATCTTAATTCAAACAAATTGGAATTTCTTTTTTTCTATAAGATGAACTTTTTAGTTTTCTGGCTCTACCAGTGAGCAGGAGAAGGAGACTGAGTTTGTTCTGAGAGCACAAGAGCTGCTCTGGTTTCAGGGTGAACCACAACTGCACCTCTGAAGCTTGTGAAGCAGGCTGGGAGTCTTTTTCTTGTGCTGACATTACTGAGTTGAAAGGACAAAAACCACCCTGTGCACACAAATTACAATCTAAGGATTTTAAATCCGGCTGGAAATAGATCATGGCGCAAAAATATTTTGCATGAGATCTCATTAGCAGTTTCTGCTAAGATTGTATTTCTTTGTGGCTTTTTTTTTTCCTTCCTATTTTCAAGTGTAATTTTGTACAAGTTTTGAAACCCCCAGATGCTCATTTGAACTTGATCTCCAGCTTTTCAAGTTCAATCACTGCCAGCAACAACGTGGAGTGTGTGCATGTGGCTGCATTAATTCTGCACTCCTGTTCTTCCTTTGATCATACAGGATTGAAATTGGGTGGGATATTCACACAATCTTATGCATCTTTGCCCTTGTTAGTTTTTCAAGATTAAGCAAGCCAGCCAAGACCACACAAGCAAGTCCTTTGAAGGGTTTCTTTACTCTTCCTTCAGACTTTCAAGCTGCCTAGTGATCTCCTCTCAAAGCATCTGTCCCTCAGGCAGGGAGATGTGAGCTGAGCTTTGGCAAACAAGCTCAAGGTGCAGTGGAAAGCAGAAAAAGATGAAACCTTTCCTAAGGATGGAAAATTTGCTTCTCCCAGAGCAGGTGGGTGAATGGCCACCTCTCCAAACACACAGGTGTGTACTGTGCTGAACACTGCCTGCTGTGTGCTCTGACCTCCACAGGGCTTTATTTGCCTTTTCCCAGTACTCAGGGCACAGCCTGGGATCAAGCACTGATGAACAAACAGGGAATGACAATATTGTCATGCAAGGACAGTGCAGACACAGTGCCAAGTCCTCTTCCATAAAACTCCTCTCCACAATGGATCTGATGATCTGCTGGAGGGTAGGAAGGACCTGCAGAGAGATCTGGATTGATGGGCTTGAGGCTGCTCAATCTCACGATGGTTGTGTATGGTCTGAAGGGCAGCAGAGCTGGGGAAGGGTCTGGAGCCCCCAGGAGGGGCTGAGGGAGCTGGGAAAGGGGCTCAGCCTGGAGAAAAGGAGGCTCAGGGGGGAAACCCTCTCACTCTGCACAAATCCCTGAGTGTGGGCTCTCTTTCCAAGGAACAAGGGACAGGATGAGAGGAAACAGCTTCAAACTGTGCCAGGGGAAGCTGAGATTGGCTATTAGGGAAAATTTCTTCAAGGGTGGTTAAGCAATGGAACAGCTGTCCAGAGCAGTGGTGGAATCACCATCCCTGGAGAGATTTAAAAGACATGTAGATGTGGCATTGGGGACATGGGTAAGTGGTGGCCTTGGCAGTGCTGAGGTACCAGTTGGATTCAATCATCTTAGAGGTCTTTTCCACCCCAAATGATTCTGTGATATCAAACTGTCTCACAGTGTCCTGGTAGCTCATAAAATACAAACTTTCAAATCCTCCTTAACTTCCAGTGCCACCTGGGTGTTCTGGCATTGGCTGCACTTTCGAGGGAGGTGACACCGTGCTACAGAAACTGTCAAAGTGACTTCATGCACTGCCAAATCCCCTCTTCTGTGCCTACAGACCACATCATAGCAGCAAAACTTTGCTAGGAAAAAAAAAAAAAATCGAAGCTTTGTGAAAGATAGTCACAAGAATAACGCTGGCTGGGGCTGAAAGGTTTGTGTTTTCCCAGAAGTGAGTGTGAGAAGGTGTGTCATTTCCAGAAAAAGATGGGTTGTGCTTTGAAGTGTCAGGAAAAAAAAGGTGACATTTGTCTCTGATTCAATGCCAAGATGCAGAGTCAAGGAGATGGAAGAGGAAAACAGAAGATACAGAGAACCTCTGGCTCCTCACAGAGTGGTGGGACCCTGCAGGGCACAGGAGAGCCCAGGCTGAACAGAGCTGTCACTGGGGCTGGAATGGAATCCCACTGAGCTCCCCTTGATGGGACACCCCCTTAAGGACTGGGGTGATTGGCTTCTGCAGCACCATCCACAAGAGACCAACAATTCACTGCCTGCAAGTGTGGTAAGACAAATGGAAGAGACAAATGAAAAATGAATCCATGAAGTATCAACTGTTGAGGGTTCCTCTCATTGAACAAGGGCTGTAATGGGTGAATTAACCATGCCAAATGTACTCTCCACACAAATTGCATGATTACACCTTTTTGAAAGCTGTTCTCCTCCTCTGCCACTCATCAGCAAGGTGGCTGGAGACACCAGGGCAGGAGGAATGGCAAAAGCTCCTCCCTGGCAAGCTCAAATGCTGAAAATAATGCTGTGTCCACTAGCCAAAACCCAATATGGAATTAACAAGGAAAAGAAAAAGAGATATAAGGACTACATTATCCTCAAACTGTGCAAAGCACATTTCTCAGTATTACAGAACCATACTGGAAATCTCAGGGGAAAGATCCTTCAAATTATTTCAGCTCTCTTGGTCTTATTCTTCTGGAAATGCCATGTGAAAAAGGCAAACATGAAGCACCCTGGGGCTGTGGTAGGGAGCATTTTCCTGAACCAAACAGAGACAAAAATATGAAAGGAGAGAAACTGGGTTTGGGAGGGAAATTTTGGCCTGCAAACACAAAGTAATTCTGTAATATATAAAGTATGTATATAAACCTTTTTGATACTTTGAACTATATTTTACCTAATTTTATATCAAATTATTTATATAATAAATGGGGAGACTTAATAGCATCTTTCCAGTACATAAAAGGAGCTTACAGGAAGGCTGGAGGAGGACTTTCCAGAAGGGTGTGGAGTGATAGGAAAAAGGGGAATAGCATTAAGCTGAAGGAGGACAGATTAGATGGGATATCAGGAAGAAATTCCTCCCTGTGAGGATGGTGAGGCCCTGGTACAGGTTCCCAGAGAAGCTGTGGGTGCCCCACCCCTGGCAGTGTCCAAGGCCAGGTTGGATGGGGTTTGGAGCCACCTGGGATAGTGGAAGGTGACCCTGCCATGGCAGGGGGTTGAAATATCGTGGTCTTTAAGGTCCCTTCACAACCAAACCCTTCTAGGATCCCTGTTAATTACAATAAGAATTAGCTTACAAAGAGCCAGGCAAATGGACTTATTCTCCATTAAAACCCCAAAACATCACCTATAACTTTCCAGCTCCCCCTCATTTATTTACTGGGGTGGGAGGGCACCCAACCCAATAAAATGGCAACAGGGACTGCCTGCAAACCTGGATTTGAGAAGGGAGTGAATGAAGAGCCAGGAATGAAGAGCCACTCACCTGAGCTGCATCCATCTCGTTGAGCATCACCACGGAGGAGCAGTTGTAATCAAACACCAGCCTCCAGAAGTCTGTGATGGTGTTGGGCAAGGGGTGCTGGGTGACAATGAAGGCAGCAGGCTGCTTGTGGCTCTAACAAAAGAGTAAGATTAGTTAAAAAAAATAAAAAAAAAAAAAAAATCAATCAACTTTTATTCAAAGGAATATTATGCCCGGGAGGCTGTGGGGAGGCAGTGTGAGCCATTTAACTAGATTATACAAATCACATCTCCTGCTCCTTGTTATCGCCCCACAATGAATGAACGCCTCGTAATGGGATTCTTTTGCTCCCAATAAAGACATTTCATTAAAGAAGTGTCACAAGAGCAGAGATTACCCAAATCAATTATTTATATTTTGAGACTCAGCAAATAATGCTAATTCTACTATTACTACTACTACTATGACTATCAGGAATATTAATAATTGGAAGGAAAACAGCTGGAAGCAAATGTTCTCCTCTGTGCTGCAGTGGCCTCGAGGAGCTCCAGAAGGGATTAGCCCTGTCTGCTGGGGCTGCCTGGGGGTGCAGTGTGACAGAGGTGGCACGTTTGGATCCCAGCCATCCTTTGTGGGGCAGCATTCAGAGCCTGTGACATTGGCATTTCATTTCTGCTGTTATTCTTTCACCTCAAAAAGGCCCTCTCACCTCAGTCTCCCTAAGCACGAGGGGGTGGAGCTGTGCTCCCAACCTCTGCAGGGCTGAGTTAATGAATGTTTGGGATGAAAGGCAACAAGCTGAAAACTTTATCGCTTCCCCACCACGGCAGGCAAGGCTTAAATGAGCCTGGAAACTGCACAGTCCTTTGTGCTGTACATCTGTGAAGCAGACTTGAATCAAAAGGCACACTAATTCTGGAGTAAAAAAAAAAAACCAACAAAATAGCACAAAGAAACCCTCCAGTGGAATAAAATTTTGGATTTTAAGTGAAGAAATAATAAAATCCTGAAGTATGAAGCTGCCCATTGTGGGGGTTTGCCTTTTCTCCTCCATGTGAGGCAGATGTGGGTGGAAATGCTGGGCAGGCCATGCTGGGAAAAAGGGGTTTCTGAGTGTGCACGTGTGAGGAGGGTGATGGGAAGTGATGTACAGAGGAGGAAAACAAAATGATTTCTTGGGAAATTTTCATCTAGAACGGACTTTTGTCTTTTTCCCCACTCTGCTTTCCACATCTAGAAACACCAGAATGGGTCAAAAAGTTGTGAAATACAAGACCAGGGGTGGCAACAGAGTGGCAAATAAAATACTGAGGTTTATCTCTTAATTAAACACCAGAATGGTCCTGCTATGGTTTTTTCATGGTGTGCCAGTGAAAATCTAGCTAAACTCCTGGCTGAAGGTCATCTGTGCATGTGGGGTTTGCCTCTAGGAGAAACAGCAACCCTGCCCAGCTCCTTGCTACAGGTGAGGAACCAGGTTCACTGTCCTGTTTCAGAGGGAAGGTGACACAGAGGTGTGAGTTACTCATGCAAGAGAACATGTGTGGGATTATGGGGCAATGATGATGTTAGGGACACATAAATTCATGTTTTTCTCCAAGCCCCATGGATTAAACACAAATCTATCATCCCTTCTTCACGACTTGACTCATGATGTGACTTAAGTCTCTTCTTTTAAAGATTATGTTCAATTGTTTTAGGGGAGGGTCAGGGACAGTTTTGCTCCTTTCAGGGCAATATGGGATGGATGGAGGTTGTCCTCTAAAAGTCCCTGCTCAGTACAAGACTTCACACCTCAGCAAGAACAGCTATGAAAATGTAGGATTCTGGCTGTTCCCCTGTGATTATTTTTGTCCCCAAAAGTTCCTGAATCCTTTATGGAAAGATAAAGGAGAGCCAGAGAACATCACAGTGGCTGAATTTCAATGACAGGTGAAAAATTGCTTTGCACTAAACAAAAATTAATCCACTGGAATTTTGTGGGGAAGGATCCAAATATTTGCAAAGTGATTTAAGGTAATAAGGGCTGAAATGTACACACATTCCCAATCTCTAAGAAACCAAAGACTGGATTGTGCTCCTGCAGATGTGCAAAACCACTAAACACACTTAAAAAAAAAACAAGTTTCCTTAGGCATGTTTGCAATGAAAACATCACAATATTGCTGAAAAAAATCTAAAATAAATTCTGTGACCATTTGACTGAATATCTTAAATGCAAGAGTATCACTGTTTCCCAAAGATTGAAGAACAGACAAAATTAAAAAACAGAGACCCTGCTGCTGCCAGGGAAAAAAGGATGGCATTTCACCCTGGATCATATTTACACATACTCCAACTGCAATAATTAGTGGCTTTAAAGACATCTGTGTCCAAAGGCAGCACAGCAAAAAGAAGCCATCAACATAATTCATTCTCCATAAATGACCCGTGCTGTGAGATTCCAGGCTATAAACAAAGCGAGGGAAAACGCCTTTGGACAGAGTCACATCAGCTCAACTCACATCCTTTAGCCTGAAAATATTTTGCACATTTGATCCCTGCACTCCCACATTCTTAACTGCATAAGATCATATCAATCACTTGCTCCACACAGCAAATTATCCTTGTCAAACAGCTGACCTGGCAAACATTTCTCTTCCCAATGGATACCAAACCAATGTATGGGAAGAGCTGTCCCCCCACTTTTCTGTGTATCTACCTTTCTGTGATCCAGCCTCAGACTGCACAATGAGGAATGCCTTTGCAAAAATTCTCTACCAATGTGGTGCAGCACTAGGGTGTGTGATCACAGAATAACAGCATGCAAGAGAATATGCTGGGCTGGAATGGACCCTCAAGGACCATGGAGCCCAACTCCTGGCCCTGCACAGCACAATCCCCAAAAGTGCCCAAAAGTATTGTCTGAAAGCCTCTTGAACTCTGTCAGGGTGGTGCTGTGACCACTTCTCTGGGATAACCATACTCTGGAGGACATATTTTGGTGACAAAGAAAAAATTCAGGCACTTTGCCTGATTTGGAGATACCAGACTCAGAAATTACAGCTGAATAAGTTTTTTTTCCTTAGATCCATTCTCCCAGAATGCTGGAACTCAGGACATCCCTCTGGCTGTCCTGGATTGCCAGAACCCCTGCCAGGGGGCTCAGAGACCCTGGCACAGAGCCCAAGACACCTGTCTTGATTTTGATTATGACCCATGGAAAAAATTACCAACCTTATATGAGGATCTGCAAGCCACTAAATTCTAAGTAGAGTAATAGTTAGTCTGTCATGGGATGAAAAATAGATTTTTTTGGTGTTTTTAGAATGGGGGTTCAAGAGGCAAGATGGAGAAATCTGGGCATGTCCAGTCTTTCTCCTTCTTCTTGGCCTCCATCTTCTGCTGTGATGTTGGCACTTTTGGATTGGTTTAGAGTAGAAGCTCACTGTCTAACATAGGTGATAGGTATTGGGAAGTTCTGGTAAATAATGTACACGTAGTTTTTAGTATAAAAAGATAACACCAGAGTGCCTCTGTCTGACCTGCTGAGCAGACCTCAGCAGGCCAGAGAAAGAATTTTATAGCTAAGAAACAATAAACAACCTTGAGACCGAGAACTGAAGAGCTCTGACTCCTTCTTTGACTGCCAGGCTGGGAAAAGAAACTTTCCAACACATCTGGGGGTCACTGTGAGCAGCAGAAACCCCAAGACCAGAAAAGCATCATGAGAGGGAATAAACCCACAGCAGGCCGTGCTGGGTGTGCCAGAGCAGTGCTTACATCCATGAGTGCAGCATTGATGTAGTTGCTGGACTCGCCATCCACGGAGATGAGGAAGGGCAGGCAGCGGTCCAGGGGCAGCACGTCCATGCAGCGGTTCTTGTCGTGGTTGCGCGGCAGCAGCCCGATGCTGCAGTCCTCCGGCCGCACCCGCGGCGTCACGATGTTCAGGGTCTGGGCAGGGAGAGGGCAAACAAGGGTACAAACAGGCTGAGTGCCTTGCAGCTCACTTCCAAGAGTCACAGAATGACCAGGTTGGAAGAGACCTTCAAGATCATCGAGTCCAACCCAGCCTCAACAGCACAAGTAAACCCTGGCACCCAGTGCCACATCCTGTTGGAACCCAGGAAATTCCTCTGGCTGCCCTGGAGGACTTGAGCCCCTACCCAGGGGCTCAGAGACCTTGGCACAGAACCCAAGACCCCTGTGCCCTTGATCCTGACCCATGGAAAAACAATTACCAACCTTTATATGAAGAATTACAAGTCAAAAGAGTTTAAGTAGAATGATAGTGAATTTATCACAGGGTGAAAAATAGATTTTTTGGGGTTTTTAGAATGGGGGCTCGGGGCAAGATGGAGGAATCTTGGTGTGTCTAGCTTTTCTCCTTCTTCACCTCCATCTTCTGCTGTGATGTTGGCACTTTTAGATTGGTTTAGAGTAGAAGCTCACTGTCTAGCATAGGTGATAGGTATTAGGAAGTTATGGTAAATAATCTATACGTAGTTTTTAGTGTAAAAAGATAACACCAGAGTGCCTCTGTCTGACCTGCTGAATGGACCTCAGCAGGCCAGAGAAAGAATTTTATAGCTAAGAAACAATAAACAACCTTGAGACCGAGAACTGAAGAGCTCTGACTCCTTCTTCAACTGCTGGGCTGGGAAAAGAGACTTTGTAACACATCTCGGGGTCACTGTGAGCAGCAAAACCCTGAGAACATCCAGGCTTTTTTAAATACACCCAGGGATGGGGACTCCACCACCTCCCCAGGCAGCCTTTCCAGAACTTTATCACTCTTTCCATGAAAAACTTTTTCCTAATATCCAACCTATATTTCCCTTGGTGCAGCTTGAGGCTGTGTGCTCTGGTTCTGTCAGTTGCTGCCATATGCACAATATGTTTGTTTTAAAGGGACTCAGAGCAGCAGAGCTTTGGCTGTTGCATATAGGTAAAAAACTTACAAAATAAGGGCCTTGTCAACCTTTTAAATTCATGGCTCAGGCCTGCTACTTCAGCTAAGCAGAAAAGGGCTGTGGGAAAGTGACTCAGCTGAATTAGAGGTAGAAAAACAAGTTATAGAACCATCACGTACTCACATGGTGGTTTATGGTGGTTGGTTGAATTACATTTGTTGTGCTTTAATGGGATGTAACTGCTTACAGGGTAACTGCTTAAAAAGGCCTGGTTTTTGCAATAAAGGGCTCTCCTTTGCACCTGTGTTACTCAGCTTCAGAACATTTGGCATCCTAGAGATAAAAAGGAAGAAGCTTGTGGCTGTTGTAATATGTTGTGTTTTGCAGAATGTCCTGAGGAACTCTCCCAAACGTTGTTAGCTCCAGCAAAAACAAAAACTGAAAGCACTCTAAACCTCCCAAACATTTCCAGCTCTAAACCCACAGAGCAGCTAGATAACATTCCTGCTCTTTCCTAGAGGTTGGAAATGGGTGTCACAGGTATAAGATGCAACTCTGAGCTGGTGATGGAGTGAAACCTCCTCCTGTTTCTACCATCCTTAGGGTGGAAGCACAAATCCTTCCCCTCTTCAGGTGGGTCCTGTGCAGGTGTACCCTGAGCATTGACCACCCAGCAGGTCAGACTGTTCAGAGCCTCTGGTGATTCCTCAAACTACTGGCTTATCTTATAAAAACCTAAGATAAAATGTCATTTTGAGGTTTTTTTAACAGAAAAGTCTATTTGTTTTACGTATTACTTAGATTGCTAGTTTCCTTTTGAAGTGACACATAGGATGCTTCACTTACAAAGTCATACCTAATCTCTGGGGCCTTGCTGTCAGTCTTTGACTGCTATCTGCCTTTTCCACAGCTTGACAGACTGTGTTTCTTTAAATCTATTTTACTTTTGTGTTCCCCATCGTGGAGGACTCCTGACAAACCAGTCCAGGTTGGTCAGCAAGGATCAAAACTCAGAAATCAAAGTGAATGCATCTTAGCACCAGTGCTTAAGTGGTGGTAGATCAATGGCTGTCTGATGTCATTGTATTTCCATTTTTGCATCTCCCCTTCCTGAGCAAAGCCCATGGAGTCCAACAGTGAACTCCCTGTAGCCAGAAGAATACAAAATATTTAGGGGCCAATAAAACAAATAAAAAAAACCTTATGAAGAGCTGGACTTCTGCCACAGAAAGGTTATGAATGAAGAAAAGAGGAAGGTCAAACAATCCAAGATAAAAGAATGTGTCAAAGTTAAAAACTTGAAATAATATAGTTGCTCTAAATTATTCAGGTTCTACCTTGCCTGCAGATGGAAAGCAGGGAGTCTGGCTGGGGAAACAACACGAAATCTCAGATCTCTGACAGTGCAGATAATCAGGCAGGTGACTTGCTAGTGATTTACTCCTGCCTATTTTATGCTGCTCCCCTCTCTCCCTTGTTCCTGTACTGATTCAAATTACAAAAACTCTCCAGAGTGAGCTTTGTGTGTCCAGACAACATGTAGAGCATGAGAAATACATCCAGCCTTACCTCAGGGCCAGGGGGACCTAAATACCACAAACTGCAAGCACAGATCTATAGTTATATCAACTGGTTGCTAAAGATTGCAGCAGAGATACCAGCTTTTGCATTAAATCCAGACAATCAGGGCTGAGGAACGCTCTGAGCCAAAATCTTGTAAAAATAGATTCTACAACAAGACAGACACTGAACCTCTTATGCAAAGCACAGTGGAGCAGTTCCTTCCCACAGGAGCTGCCAGCCCCTGGCAGCTCAAAAGAACAAGCACAGAGGTGACAAATCCTGTCTCATATCATGACAAAATACACCCAGCAAGCGGTGGCTGGGTTTTTAATAGTGTTTTTTTTAAACAGCATTTGATGAAGTTCGGCTCTAGCTCCTTCATGTCAAACCAGAAACACTTTTACAGGCCTGCTATCACTTGATAGAACCAGATCTTTTTTAAATTGAGCTGCCATCAGTTGGGATCCACATTCTTTATCTCACTGTACCAACCCTGATGATTCCCTGTAAGGCTTCAGATAAAAGACACACAATTCTCCCTTTACATAGAGAGGGAGGAAAAGAGGCCTCTGACTCAGGCTGGGGATCCCAAAAAACAACTTCTTGCTGCAAAAGACACTTCCCTGGGAGAGGAAAAGCAATTAAAGCAAATCTCCATCTTTTTACTCTGACTATGAGTGGCCTCAACAAACAGTAGATGTCTCTTTACCATCAAACTCACCTTGCTCCAAATTCCCCATAGTCTTGTTTTTTCCCTACAATGATGTTGGCTCAAAATTATAGATCCACAGAATGTTTTGGTTTGGAAGAGATTTTAAAGCCCATCCATTCTATCCCTGCCATGGCAGGGACACCTTCCCCTGTCCCAGGCTGCTCCCAGCCCTGTCCAGCCTGGCCTTGGGCACTGCCAGGGATCCAGGGGCAGCCCCAGCTGCTCTGGGCACCTGTGCCAGGGCCTGCCCACCCTCACAGGGAAGAATTACAAATTCATGGGGAATAAGACTGCAAAACTTAGCTCATTGTTCAGAATTCTGGGTGAATTCTCCACTTTGTGAGAGGAACAACTGCACAGGGCCCATGGCTGGAGTGTCCCAAGCCCATTTACCAGGGTGGGATAAGCAACAGGGACAGGAAACAAAGGAGGGGCCCCTATTTTGTTGCTTGCCCTGGGCAAAGAGCACTAATGGAGCACTTGTGAGTTTTGTCCATTATTTTGGGTCTCATCACCAGGTACCTGGCAAAACATCTGCACTGAACTGAGGGATTCATTCACATTTAATTGAAAATTAGCAATAGCCAAAATAATGCTCACTGAGCTCCCTCTCTCTCCTGTGTGGAAAGTTGTCAACAAGTTGATTGTCAAAGCTTGGAAGCACCATATGAGCCACAAGAATGGATAATAAGGCACCTTGAGGCATAAATGTTTCTGTATAAATTATGGAAGGAAATGAACAACACAATACTCATTAAAATAAGTACAACATTATGTGTGAAAATTAGTACCCTTGCTCTGCTGGAGTGATGGGGACAATTTTTTCCTTGCTGAAGGCTGAATAGTCCATGCTCAAAAACAAATTTCTGCCTGACCCAGTAGTACAACAACAAAAATCAACTGAAATCAGACCTTGGCTCAGTGTCCTCCTTGTTTGCTCTGCTGGAAATCACAAAAAAACCACACAGAAATTGATTAAACACCTTCAATGCACCAACTGCAGTGACTGAAACACATGAAATTACCTGAAACTCATCTTTTATCTGGCTGGAATTGGTCTGTGGATCCAGTCTGCTGATGTTGTAATATATGGATCTGAACTCACAGACTGGAATGGCTGTGTTGCCACAGAGACATGCCTCCAAAATGGCATCATGGACAAACACATACTGCTCCTGCACAGGGGAGGAGATATTAAAAGCACATTTTAATACAGATCATGAAATATCACTCTTCGTTTTTTCTTAAGTCATGCCCAATATGCATATTTGGCTCTGTTTCACGTGGAGACAAATTACACAGTGTGCTGTGTGACAGCTTTGTGAGCATATTTCATCCATCACTGAATGTGAGCTCTCACGTGCTCATTTCGGATTTACAAGGAAAATGGGGAATAGGCACTCTCGGGAATGTTGGGACAAAAGGGGGTGGGCTGAGGAGGAGATCAGGGTGTAAAGCCTCTGTGTCCACAGGGCAATGGTCTCCTCCAACAACACCAGAGAATCACAGAATTGTGTAGGCTGGAACAGATCTCTGAAATCACTGAGTCCAGCCCAGCACTGCCAAATTCACCCGAACGTGTCCCCTAGTGCCACATCTGCCTGTCTGTTAGATCATCACAGGGATGGTGACTCCACCACTGCCCTGGGCACCTGTGCCAGGGCTGGACAACCCTTTCAATGAAGAGACTTTTCCTAATATACAATTTAACCTTCTCTGGCACAACTGTATAGAACTAACAGGTTTTTTCTGCCTTCTGGGTATTTTGGGTAAAACTCTTTCCCTAAATTAAATATGGGAAGTCCAACAAAGTTAACAGCCCCTCTCTGTTCCAGGCTGTTGTCCTGTCCCTCAGGAAGGGAAGGGGTTAAGGGACACACATAAAACCTGTGCAACAGGATAGCAGTTCCACAGGAGTCTGTGCAGCTGCCAGACACTGTGTGATGGAGCACCTTGCTTAATCAGCACCCAAAGCTTGAACCAAAGATGTTCTGTTTGCTTAGCTTGTAATTGATACACACTAGGTACTACTGGGGCCTGCAGTGCTCCTATGAATGAATCATGAGAGGCTTCAGGAGCTCTTTTTTTCCTACAATGAGGATAAAATTAATCAGCAACGCACAGACCTCAACTCCAAGGTTTGCCCTCCTGTCTTGGAGGCCCCAAGTAGCTGCCAGTGAATTGAGTCAGTGCAAATCTGGGCATGTTTGGCCACCAAAAGTTCTGCATAATCAAGGCACAGAGCGAGCCAGTGCTGGCTTCATGGATTGCTGGGCAGAGAAGCTGACAGGAAAGCAGCACCTGGAGCAGGGAGAGCTGCTGGCACCCACCTCTGTCTGCACCAAATTGACCCTTTGGGAGCGCAGCTCTCGCACGCAGTTGAATATATCCACCACGCCCTCGTTCTCTGCCATGTCCAGCATGATGTCAATGGCAATAAAGCACCCTGTCCTCCCGGCCCCAGCACTGGAAGAGAAAAAACAGCAGGATCTGTGTGACCAAGGGGCTCTGGAGAGGCAGGGCTCTGTGGAGGAGAGAATAACAGCAGCACACACACTGCTGTCTCCTCCTGGGAGCTGCTCCTGGTCCCTGCAGATTCATTTTTCTGTTGTAGGATTGAAGAGAATGAGGGGAAATAGTATTTCTTGAAAGGGAAGCAGAAACAAAAGCCTTGTGTTATTGAACATCAACAAAATATTGCAAAAATAATCATTATAATTTTACAGATCAGGTCACCTGCACACCTCTCATCACACAGGGGAGAGCAGCCTCCGGGTTGCAAACAGACACAATTCCAGAAATTTCCTTCCCTGGGGCTCTCTAGAAGGCATGCATAAATTTGCCCCAGTGGGCATGATGAAAGGAGCTCAGTCCTTCACCTCTAACACTTTTTTCCCCTTTGGAATCCAGAGGAGTTTGGATGCTGAGGAGGGTGATTTGAAGCTATGGATTGTAAATCTCAGAGAAAGGAGCTCAGTCCTTCACCTCAAACACCTTTTTTTCCCCTTTGGAATCCAGAGGAGTTTGGATGCTGAGGAGGCTGATTTGAAGCTATGGATTGTAAATCTCAGAGAAAGGAGCTCAGTCCTTCACCTCAAACACCTTTTTTCCCCTTTGGAATCCAGAGGAGTTTGGATCCTGAGAAGGGTGATTTGAAGTTATGGATTGTAAATCTCAGAGAAAGGAGCTCGAGGCTGCTGGAACCCTTCAGTCCAGAGCTCCCCACTGCTTGTGAGAATTGAGCCATCTCCTGCAAAACTCTGTTGTCATCGTGTCCTCCTTCCCCTCTGGGAAATCATCCAAGCTGCTTGGGTGTGAAGGATGGAGAGAGGAGAAGTCCCTTCACATTACTCTGAAGGAAGCAGAACTCTGCTCAAACCAGGGAAAGTTCAGCTGCACTGAAAACTCCACCAGAGCCGAAAGCAAGGAGATATGAATGACCATAAATTAATGGACCAGATTAATCAACTGCTGAATGGTGAGAAGATATTTTTCATTTGCAGAATTTTAATGAATAAGTGGCATTTCCTCTCCCTTTATCTCTCAGCTTTTCAGAATTTTAACAAATAGTTTTAACAGTTCTATATTTAGAGGATCCTGGCACTTCATAAATATCGAACAGTGATATTATCCAGCCAGGCATCAGTGGGGAGAATTTGGTAATTACCACTTAAAGCAAGTTATTAAAATTCAAAAGCAGATAAATAACGTAAAGGAAATGGCATTTATTCATTAAAATGGGAAGGCTGAAAAATCTCTCCTTGCTTTCTTGGTGACAATGAGTCAGGTTCAAACACCTTTCAGGGCCAGCCCCATACCATGGTACCAAAGCAGCAAACTCAGGCCCTCAGCTGTAAATGAAATATTTTCTGCCAACTCCTCAGGCTTAGCTTTACTTGAGCATAAACCTGACTCACTGCTTGCTAAAAAAAAAAAAAAAAAAAAAAAAAAAAAAAAAAAAATCCAACAAAACAAAACACCCACCCAATCCAAAACTGCTTAGAAAAGATAAGATTTAATTGATTTTCTTTTTTAAAGGAGTTGTGGGATGTATTTTCTCTCTCTTTCTCAAGACACAGAGTGGGAACTAGAGGCAATTCCCTGTGGATGGAATGGATTAGGGGTGAGATTTTGGGACAGCCAGCTCTGCTCTCTGGCCTTGTGCTCAAGCCACATCTTCTTTAGCTCTCACATGCCCTGAGCCCTGCAGACATAGCTGCTGCTACAAAGCCAAACTCTGGTTTTGTAGAATTTGAAGTCATTTAACTCCTTTTATTTGCCAGCTGGAAGCCACTGGAATTTTGCTAGCTGGAAGTTTTTAATCTGAGATTCTCACCCAACTCCTGGGTTTTCAGGAAGCCAAGGTGCCCAAGGGCTGTCATCCAGACTCAGCCAGACAAATATTTCAGACCATAAAACCATAAAATGATGGAATGGTCTGTGTTGGATGGACCTTAAAGATGGTGTAGTTCCAACTGCCCTGCTGTGGCCAGGGACACTTTCCACCAGACCAGGTAAAGCCTTTAATACTGGCACAAAGCTGAGCTGCAGCACGTGGGGGCACAGAGAAGCAAAGTTGCTTTAAAATTCCCTGTCTTTGTGTGGGCATTGTCCATTCTGCCACGTGAGGTCTGAGGGGTGGAATGGCTGTCCCAGATATTCACCACTTCCCCAGCTCTGCTATGAGCATCCAGCAGAGCACAGACCACTCTGGGGGCTTCTACATTTGAAAGGCCCTCTCTGACCTACTCCTATCATCTCCAACTCATGCCAGCTTGGCTCCAGATCTGCCACTTTGGGGAAGAAAAACATTTGTTTCCTGGGGATGAGTCAAGGGGCTGAGCTAGGAATGCAACTAAGACAGTGAAAACTATATATTTTAATTAAAAGCTTAAATGAATCAGTGAGTTAAGGTAGAAATGTAGTTAGCAAAGATCATACATTGTGATTAGAGCTTAACAAGGAAATGAATTGATACCAGGTGGGGATAACTGAAACAAAGTTAGGAATGACAGGTGATACATGAAGTACTTTAAGAGTGCAGGAGCCATAAATACCGCTGGCTTCTAAGAGTGAGAGGAGGTTTGGACTGTGACCAGCAAGCCAAGAAGCCCTGCCAACTTGACACAGGTGAAGGGTTTACCATGAGGAAGAGGTCTTACTTCCTCTTCAAAGAACCCACTGACCCGTTTCAGAACCCACCAACCCAATTAAAGATGACAATTGTGCAGCCCTAAGGGACATCCAGCTAATTATAATACAAAGCCAGAGAGTTAATGATTGTGTATTAGGTGTCCTGGAAACCATTTGAATATGCAAAACTGTAGATGTGATAACCTGGTCAGAGAGTGAGAAAAGTAGTTAAGTTTTTCCAGAATTGGTCTGGGAGACTTTAGGGAGCTGGAGATAAAGAATGATAACCAATTATTAAAAACAGCCTGCAGGTGTTGTTTTCCTAATATCTGTTTTCTTGTTATTCTCATAAGATTGTTTATAAATGGGTGTCTTGTAAATTAGCCACTCAGGTGAAATGTATTGATTAAATGACCAATCAGCTCCACCTGTATTGATAGTGTAGAAGTGGTTCTGAGCAAAGACACATGTTTATGCCATTTTGCCTTCTGATGACGCTGTATCATCTCTTATTAAACAGTGACATCAAACCTTTTTGGTGAAACAGGGAGCAGGAGCCCGTGACTCCTTGCACATGCCTTTGGAAATGCCTCTGCATGTGTCCAGAGCTGCAATAAATAAACCCTCTTTTCAGCTTTAATTAGTAGAACAGTCGTCTGTCTGTTCTTCAACAAGGCCCACAAATGACACCCTGAAACAGCTGCTGGTCATTGCCAGGGGAGGAGAAAAGAGGGAAAAGCTGCTGGAGGAGGGGCTCAGGTGGAGAGCTGGCCTGTTATGAGTAGAACAGCTGCCCATTTTTTAAAAAAAGTTGCAGAGTTCACAGGTTGGGCCAGTTGCTACCAGGGTGGAGTTTTAACTGTTTGTTATTGTAATCACCTGTCGTTTTGGTTAACTACCTGTCATTAATGGTTAAGAATTCCCCCTTTTGTCAGTGGCACCCTGCTGCTTCCTGGAGGATGGCACCCAGACGGTGAAGGGGAAAGGACATGGGGTCAGCATGCAATGGGAGAGACCCCTCACCAAACCCAGCCAAAAACCCCTAAAACAACGAGCCAACACAAAACTGATGAATCAAAGTGATGGCCAGATGTGAGGAACAGAATCCAGTATCCACCACGACCTTTTTTACTCCCTCACCCTAACCTAAAGATGCCGGCTAGACAGAGGACCTCGAATGTTGAGCCAAAATCCAAGGGAATCTCCTGATGCTCTCCTGAGGATGGAAGCCCCAGCTCTTCCCACAGACCAGTGGACAAAGCTGCCCTTTTCTTCCTCCTTCTCTGAGTCACTCCTGAGAGCAGCAGTGGTGTGAGCGCAGGCCTGTGAGTTCTCCCCACCCCAGCTGATCACTTTTAATAAAGGCATTAAAGAGGAGAAAAGCCTCCTGCCCGTGTTTCAACGAGCCAACACAAAACTGATGAATCAAAGTGATGTCTGGACATGAGGAACAGAATCCAGTATCCACCAAGGCCTTTTTACCCCTCACCCTGACCTAAAAAGATGCCGCGGTGGCGTGAGCGCCGACCCGTCGGTTCTCCCCGCCCGAGCTGATCACTTTTAATAAAGGCATTAAAAAGGAGAAAAGCCTCCTGGCCATGTTTATTTCAGGCCTACCTGCAGTGCACCACGATGGGTCCTGCCTCGGGGGGGTTGAGGAACTTCACCTGGCGCACGAAGCCCAGCAGCCCCGTGGCGTAGCAGGGCACGCCGTGGTCCGGCCAGCTGGTGAAGTGGAACTGCCGAATCTCTCGGATCTCATGGTAGCCTTTCTGAGGAGACAACACAGCCTCTATTTCTCTCCCATCAGACTCCAATCAGCAGATTCTGCTCCCTGCTGCCTTCCCTCGTGCAGAGGGATAACGAGCACCGAGCTCTCGCTATGCGTGCAAACGTGTCCCAAGCTGCTCTAAAAAATCATTTTCAGCCATATTCCAGCTCCCAGTGGGTAACACTCACCTGAGGGCTGGGAAGGTGTGTGCAGGCTTCCAGTTCCAACCTGTGGTCTCAGAGCTCACACCCACCTCATCAGGGTGACCTCAGGCCTAGCACTCCATGGCTGTGTTTACCCACAGCCATAAAGCACCAAAAATTCACTCTTAAATCCTCTTTGACCCACTGAAGCAAGAGCCTAGGGAATGAACATGTCAAGAGTGGGCATGCCCCAGGGAACAGCAGATTTTTTGCCACCTGCTGCCAAAAATTCTCAGTTTGAGATGCTGCTGGCAGTGAAAAGGGCAGAATCCAGAACCATTTTTTCTGGAGAGAGCAAGTTGTTGGTATGTGAAAATCACACCTTTATCTGCCCTGCAAAGGGTAACCCACAGCCCTGGGTCAGCTGTGTTTCATTGTACAGGAAATGTAGGTGGAATCCAGCAGCAGCTCCTCTAGCCTGTCAGATTTTGGCACTAGCATTTTTCACCAAGTTTTTCAATGATTTAATGAAATATGGAGCTGATGTATCAGAAAACTGAAACAATATTCCCAGTGTGGCTGAAGCTCATTGACAGGAATTTTGGAAATGCTTTAAAACCACTTACTGAGTGTTTGGAAAGTAATTTGGACAGACCTGGAATACTCTGACACTTAGACTTCCAATTTCTAATTACAAGTAACAAAATCTTCCAAATCCTGCTGGTTTGGGGATAGTTTTTATACTCTTGCTCTTATTATATTCTCATTTGTGATGAAAGGGGGCTCTATCTGGCATCCAGTTTAAGTGGTACCTTTTTTCCTCTGCCATTTGCCACTGTGAAACAAGGCAGTTATTATTCCTGGCATACCATCAGCTATCTGCTGCCTTTTGGATGCAGTTAAACTTTATGCACTGTGGATTCTACTTTCGTGGCTGCATCAAGATGTTCCTGTAAAATCATTTGTCCAAAAATGGAATCCCTGTCAAAAACTGAGTTTGCTGAAGTGAAGCCTGTCCAAATAGCACAGCTCCCACCTCCAAGAGCGTTCTGGATGTGTTTCCCAGAGTTTCTGAGCACAAATGAAGTGTGCCACAATCTCAGCTGCCTGAAGACCTCCTTACCTTTTGGACAGTGAAGGTACGGATGACATACTCTGCCAAGGGCTCTGTCTCAATTAATGTGACTTTAATATCTCCATAGACCTCTGTGTCATCTGGCCAGTATCGAACACACTTCACCTGGGGGCAGAAGGAAAATACTGAGAGGGACGAGTTCAAGTTGAGTCAGAGCTGACCTACATTTTCCTCCACTTTCAAGCTGGAGCCAATGAAAATTGGGTTTTCTTCTGATGTGCAGAGTTGCCAAAATTAACTGTATAAATTAGATCAAAATTCCTTTACCATACATAGAAACCACAGGCGGGACTTTTTTAATGTTCCCTTTGTTGTCCATACAAATGCAAAGGATGCATTTAGATTTTTTTAAAATGTGCCTGGCCCATATCAGATGTACAGAACACCTGACAGTCACCACCACCCTCCCTTTTGAGAAAAATCTTTGCTGCTGCTCCTATAATTCTCACCTCTCTCTGTTTAGCCAAAGAATTTCAGATCATGGGGATTGTGGGATACATGTTGAGACACTAAATTTGTTTGACTCTGAGCTTTCTTCATCAGATGTGGACACAGACTTGGCATTTTACCAGCTGTGACAGGCTTCAGCTAAGGCTCAAGAGAGAAATCTCCTGAGCAGGTAAACATATCCCAGCTTAGCCACTTCTAGGAGCCATGTGCAAAACCACCAAAAAGAAATAAAAGCAAGGCTGTGAAGCTCCAGAAGGGATATTTAGGCTAACAAAGACTATCAGGTTATTAAATGCTCTAGCATGAAGAGTGGAACAATACCTAAAGCTGAAGCAATTAGCTGCAGCAAAGCAGGCTTCATGTTCCAGTTCCAGTCATAATTGAAAGGGGTTTTATAAATATTAAATATGATTAATGTAGGTTTGTTGTGGGTTTTTTGTTGTTTGGGTTTGTTTTTTTTTTCTTTTACACAGAGGCATTTATTCAGAACTGAAGTGTCAGTAGAAGGTAAAATAGAATAAATAGTAATAAATGAACAGAAGCAGCTGGCATTCAACCATGAGATCTAAGGGAAATCAAACACAAAGCAGCTGAATTACTAATGGCTCTGAGTAAATGAGAATTTAAATTTTTCTTAGGACCAAAGCAATGGAAAATGACAAACATCAGGACAAAATTTTTTAACAACTCCAGTTTCTGGCTGAGAACATCTCTGAAACAAAAACCATGCTGGGAAAAGCCACCCCAGACATTCTGCCTTCTTATTTCCTGAGGTTCAGCCTATGCCTTTTGATTTATCCATGTTTGGTCCCATGATGGGCTTTGGGAATTGCCTTGTGCTGACACAGGGATGTCTGCTCCAGGTCAGCCCAGGAGGGGAATTTGTGGCTGTTTAGGAGGCCAACACTGCTGGGTGGTCCCAGGATCCACAAAAACCTCAACCCCAGGAACAGTGACCTCAGGAACTCCAGGCTTTGGACTCTCATGCAAAGAGGTCATTGGGTAGTTGGAGCACCAGTCACACATCCTCACTGCTCTGGATTTTTAGAGGAGTATTCAAATCATCAGATAAGGAATAACTATCACAGAAGTACATTTTTCCTCCTGTACTGAGGAAGGACACAGCTTCTGAGCTAGCATAAATGTGTATAACTCTGCCAAAGCCCAGACTTACAGCAGGAACACCATCCTTATTAGTCTAGAAGGGAAGCAGCTAAGTATTACAAAATCCAGCATTTTACAGGAAATAAACCCAGAGTGGCTGAATTCATTCCCCTCCTGCAGGAAGCAAAAGGCATTTTGCTGCTGAGCTCTCCTGAGCAGCAGCTCTGTGTTCAACCCAGCCCTGGTCTGGTTTCACACATTGGGAGTGGCACCTTACCCTGCCCACTTCCACCAGGTTGGTGACCATGACAACACTCGCAGAGTTTTCTTGCCAAATCATTCTCCAGAAATCCTTCACTGTCTCTTGCATCGGCCCTGGGGCAGGAGAGAAGACAAAAAGGACATCTCAAGAGAGTGCATGGAATGCCAATAACCCCCTCCAGCTGCTCTCCAGCCATTGTCCTGCTCCCTCAGGATCCTGTTGCCTCTCAGAGCATCCCTCTGCCATTCAGGGTTACAGACACGAACAGCCTGAGCTCTCTGGGGTGTCAGACCCTTCCTCACAGCAGCTATTTGGGGCTCCAGCATGGTGGCAACAGAAGGATGGTCCCAGCAGGTGACTCTGTATGAGTGATGGGACAAGGATGTAGCCCACACTGAAGCTGTATTAAGGCTGTGTTGTAATTCACACCTGATGCAGCACAGCATTTCACAGTTCAATACTGATTAATTATGAAGGAGGAAGGAAACATGCAGAAATCTGCTCTTTCCTGAAATTTCCCCCAGAAAAAAATCCAGGTTCCAATAGCAAACCAAGCAGTGCCCACAAGAGATTTGTCAGTCTAGAGCCTCTCCCTGACCTTATTTCTTATCAGGAATGCTTCAGGTGAATTACAGAAGGTGGTGTTCAAATGCATTTCTTACCAGCTCCTCTCAAAGGCTCATCAGCCACAGCTTATTCACACTGCCCTCCTCAAGCAGGGTAAACCCAAGACCCACAGAGTCCCCTGTCAGTGTCCTCTCATGCTTCATGCACAAATGACACATTCTAGGCTGTGCTGCCACCTCTAAGTCTGTGGCATTTTCTATTCCTGCAGCTGAGGTTTTAAGTCTGAGTGCCATAAAGATCTTGGAAAATTCTATATCCTTCCCTGTTTTGCCTGTATGTAGTAATGACATATCCTTTGAGCAGAGAGAGACACAGCTCTCCCAGGATTTTCCTGGGAAGCTGTGAGAAAGCTCAGAGAAAGAATTACAACAATTATTATCTCAATCTCTGGCAGGCAATCTCTGTTTGTCAAAAATATTTACAAGAAGGAGTTGTCACTTCTTGACCAATAAATAGGTGAGAGAAGATTCCTAAAGGCCAATCAGGTCTTAGGTCCACCATTGTTTCTATAAGAACTGTGAATTTCTAAGAATAAAGTGTCTTTTCATGCCTTCTGATGATGGAGTCTCTGTATCACCTTTAGCTATCCCTAATACCCATATAACAAATTTTCAGATGTTCCCCAAAACAGAAGATGTCACCCCATAAAAAGCTCCTACAACAGTGTAAACCAGCAGTGGGTTTACAAATATTTAGACATTCAAGAGTGAACTTGCCTTGAGTTGCAATGTAATGGCGAGGCCGATGGTACCCCTGGAAAAAAAAGAAAATAGATGAGTGTCTGTGAAATCACAGCTCAGACAAAGCCCACCAGGGATTTGATACTTTCCAGGGACCAACTGCTGCCCTCTGGACAATGTATAATTATGTAATATATTACAATTAACTGGTTATTGAATGATTGAATGAATGAATGAATGAATGAATGAATGAATGAATGAATGAATGAAGGGGCTGGCCCTGAGGGATTTTAAGTAAGGGCATCTCCCTCAGATGAATAACACAATCTCTTCATGCCAAAAATAAGACAAGAATGGGGCACTTTTAAAGTATTTCCACAAAGAAACACAAATCCTGAGTTACCTGAGGGTAACACTGAAAACAGATAGGCAAAACATTGCATCTTCTTATTTCATAAGAAGAAAGGTATGAATTTGTCTCTGTGAAAATTCTAGGGCATATTTTATCCTTTCAAGAAACTATTCTAAACATTTCCTTTTGCTGTGTCTTAAGAGCTGTGTTGAAGAAATGCACGCAGATTGGATCACTGTGTGTGAGACAGAGGCTGCTTTTCCAATGTCATTTTAGAACACTTTAAAAAAAGTCAATCTGTTTACATACATGCCTTCTGCACCACAACTTGGTGAGTAGTTGGCAAGTCTCTGATATCAACTAATGCTATTGTGAGGGGCTGATATTGATTTCTGCATCCATCATCTAGCCCACGTCCCACTTCTGCTGGTGGATCTGTCAAACACAGGAAATCTCCATCTGCCCAGATTGGTCAGACAAAATAAACTGGAGACTGAGAACCTTCTCCCTGTCACAACACAACGCTTGTACAACGTTCAGCTGCCACTCATATCACACCCAGAGCCTGTCCCTGTGTCAGAGGCACCACATTCAGAAGCAGGCTTGTCACAGGAGGGTTTGTTTGTCACAGGGGATGTCCAGGAGCCTTACGTCGATGTAATTGGCGTTGATGTAGTCAGAGTGAGGGTCCCCATCCAGCAGCTGCAGTCTCACTCTTGAGTGATCATCTGAAGGAAGGAAAGGAAAAGAAGTGACAGTAACGATAAAGAGGAGTTGCTAAGTGGCCTGGTGTATCTGCTGGCTCCTGCAAGGGTGGTGTGCTGGAATCATGGAATGGCCTGAGCTGAAAGGGACACACAAAGGGCAGCTCCTGGCCTCAGGAATCCCACCATGGTAACTGAATAATTGAATACTTACAATAATCAAAAATGGAATAGCAGCACATGTATCCCTGTTGCTAAAAGCCCTTTGTTTTGTGTTTAAAGTGTGATGTTTAGATCCTTAAGTTACTCATGCTCTGTATTCTGTCACCATAATCCTTATGGAGATTTAAGACAGGTCACAAATGTTGTCTGGTTTGGGAGGTTTGGGAAAGATCTTTGCAAGGTGTATCTCCATGACAAAAGCCATTTTCCTGCTTGGAAGCTCCAAACTCCCTTAGCTTCATCTGATCTATGGAAACTGAGGCAAGAGCTAAAACTGACAAGACCAGGACATAATTAAATAGATCACAGATATAAATAGACAGAGATATAAAATTAAATAGACAGAGATATAAAAGATTAAGGAGGGTAAAATAACAATGAAACCCTGCACATAAGAAATGGAAAAACCCAGAAACTGGAAGAAAATACAAATTAAATCAGAGCAATATTCCTTTATGCAACCCACAGCAGCAAAATGGCATCGAGGCAGTGTTGAAAAAAACCAACAAAATCAGAACTGTTCATCTTTTTGAGGAGATTCAAAGTTACTTTAGATAAGGCAATAAAACAGCAGAGATCAATCTTTTCATCTCCCAGCATGCTCCACAGCTCAGATGCAGAAAGGAACTACCCCAGCGGGCAGATTATGTCATGATTTTCCACCAGGGGAATATTTTGATCTTTCTGTGGAACAGCTGGTGCTGGGCTCTGTCACAGGAGATACTCCAGAGCCAGGCTGCTGATGTGATTTGCTCTGGCAATCCCAGCACTGGCATGCAGTTAATTGCAGAACTGCTTCTAAGGGCCAGTTGCTTGGCAGAGGCCACTGGGTTATGGAGGTCACTGCTGGCCATGCTGTGCTCATTTTTAAATGATTTTTTAAAAGAAGTATAATATCGAGTCCATTAAGTTTATTTCCTCCCTACCAGCTCTATGGAGCATAGCTCTCAGTCAGAGCAGCATTAATGCTTAGCAGCACTTTGCAGAACACAGGCCTGAGCATGATTTACATTCAATTAAAAAGAATCATAGCAATGAAACGTAAAAATATGAGGTGTGATTCTGCAGTAACTCAGTCAAAAGGGGTTTAGTCATGTCTTAATTAAATGTAGAATCAGATAATAATTGTGAAGACAGATGTAGGAGCAGTTCTGAAAACCAAGACTTGGACATATATTAGATATTCATTTGGCTGTGTAAAGGAATGATTCCACTCTGTTCAGCCATTAGGTGAGATTTACACACCTAAAAAAAACCCACAACCACATTGCTGTGTTTATCAAATCCCATATCTGCATTCAAAGAAGGCTCTGCACATGAATCCATCAAAAGCTCTGTTATATTTGTATTAATAAATATAACCTTTGTGGACACAGGGAAGGGGGAATATTTCTCTAAGTGCTGATGTTCCCAATTACCTGCGCTCAAGGCAGCTGCACGAGGAGTGGAAGTAAATCATGTGGTAAGACAGACAACAAAAGAATTTATACTCAGAGCAATTCACACAGACAGACAGAGAGCTGATTAAACCGGACATGTGGGTGAAATACAGGGAAACTCCCGCAGACAATTTCACACTTGCAATTCCAGGCAGCAAACTAAACTTGTTAGGAGCCACATGGGACAAAAGCAAAGAAAAAGTAAACCCTGGAGCAAATGCCTGGGAGGGGAACATTTACTGACTCCTCCCAAGAGAGCACCACTGTGGAAGTCTCAACTCATTGCAGCAACAGAACCAAAAATGACGGGACCAAAAATTTTGAGACCAAAAACGTCCCCAATGACAGGGGAAAAGAATTTCAGGTTCATTTTTTGATGAGGGATACAGACAATGTCTGCAGCTGGAGTGCTCTGAATAACCCTGGAGGAAGCACCTGCCTCTCTTCATTTAATGGAGCCAAACATCAAAATTAAGGTTCAGCACTTTGAGCCACTCTTTGGATAGAAAGTTAAAGTTGGCAGGATGAAATACATCCAGAGGGAGCTGAATGGGGAAGACCTGGGAAACAGGCTGAGAGCAGCTCCAGGATTTCAGGCAATTATGGATAATTATGGCTAAGGAAAAGATGCTCAGTAGGTGCAAAAAAGCATTGTTGGTTTGTTTTCCTTTTCCCTCCTTCTTTTTAAAGTCAAATATGGGAAAAAAAACCATAAAGGATGAAGAAATTTAACTGAGATTAATGCTATTTTTTTTGTTGTTTTTAAAAGGAGACACTCTGTTCTAATCATATTTTGGGACCAAATGAAAAATGCTTTAAGCTGAACTTTGCTTTCAGAGGACAGAATTCAAAATATTTCATTGCGTATTTTACTAAAATGAGATTAATTCCTGAGGGAGATTTATTGCTCTTCCAAGTGAGAACAGTGCAGCAGAAAAAAAAAAAATCTGTGTATATGTGAAGCACAGAAAATATTAATGATGTCTTAATGGTTTCTTTAACCTTGTTCCAAAGTTTAGGAGAACAGTCTGGATAAAAGTTCATAAAATAAGTTCCCTTGCAAATCTCTTTTTTCCACAAAAAAACTTTGGGATTTGACTTAAAAAAAAAAAAAAGGCAAATTATTGTGCTCTTAGTAGTAAGGATCTTGTACTTAGGGTTTTTTGCCTACAGACTTTAAAGAGCTATTTAAAGAACAGCAAATGCATTTATTATCTCTTCTCCCAGTGGTTAAAACTTAGTTCTGATTCTTCTCTTTATCCACTGGACTCTTCTAGCCAAGGACACAGAATTCTTGGCAGACTGAAATGAAAGTGTTGCTCAACTCTTCACTAAATTTATCAGACATCATAGCCCTTGTGTTGAAAATGGACTCTAAGAAACATTAAAAATGGAGGGTAAACAGAAAAAAAGAGTTGCATTCAGGACCACAAAAAAACAAAAAAAAAACAACAAAAAAAACAAAAAAAAACCAAGAAAACCCCTTAACAGAGGTGTAAATGGTTTTATTTCTCCCTGCTTACTCCACTCCTCCTGCTAGTTAGCAGAACTCTAAATTTATATGAAGAGTAGTTTGACTGAAAATTGGTCTTAAAACAGACTTCAAAAATGACAAGAATTTCACTGAAAAGCTCTGTGCTCCCACTTTAGTGCAAAATTGTTACCGTTTTAAACTCCTGTCAAAATTCCCATTAGTGATCATTTGAAGTATCATTGCAATTTCTCCACGTCTCATTTTGACACCAGCACTGGATTAATCGCACACAACTTTCGCCATCGAAACATTTCCCAGCTCATCTGGACTGCCTGTCAGGCTTCCCCACTCAGGGCTGGAGAAACACACACAAATCTGCAGATTCACCCCAGTTCTGGGACAAAACAATGATTTATCCTCACTCTGTGCTCCCCTTTCTGCCCCCGCTGACCCTGGAGTGCGCCATGAGAGCCGGGCAATATCCAGGTGGGATAAATCCCACCCTGACAGGGCCAAATCCCATGGGATATCCCACAAAAATCCCATGGGATGTCCCACAAAAATCCCATGGGATGTCCCACAAAAATTCCATGGGATATCCCACAAAAATCCCATGGGATATCCCACAAAAATCCCATGGGATGTCCCACAAAAATTCCATGGGATATCCCACAAAAATCCCATGGGATATCCCACAAAAATCCCATGGGATATCCCACAAAAATCCCATGGGCTGTCCCACAGACGTGTAAGAGTTTAGGCGCTACAAAAGAAATCATGGAATAAAAATGCTTGAAAATTGGAAGATTTCTGTTCTAAATCAAATCTGTCTCTGGAAGTGTCCAAGGCCAGTTGGACAGGGCTTGGAGCAGTGGAAGGTGTCCCTGCCCATGGCAGGGGTGGGACAGGATGAGCTTTAAGGTCTCTTCCAACAAAAAGTCTGGAATTCTATGTAGGTTTTTTTTTATTTCATGCCTTATCCCTGACTGTGGGCAAGAAGTGCTCTCCACCTGTGTGCCAGCTGAAAGCTTCTTCATCTCTTCCACCCCAAAATTCTCAGATTAATTCACAGTTTTCCAACCCAAAGCATATGGCAGTGAGAGCATGAAGGAAATAAAGCAAATTTCTCCGCTGTCTTTTTGTCCACAGCTCCGTGGTTTTTAGTGGACCATCATGAGACTTCAAATCCAGGGAAAAAAGAAAGGCACAGAAAGTTCTCTCCATCAGCTGAAGCAAAACACCATCCTACCTCTTCCCATCCTCAGCTCTCATGTGAGAGTTTTTATTCTCCCATAATGTAATGGCTCTAAATCTTGGCAAGATGGAGAGAAATCAAATAGAACCAAAGGTCCCTTATAGCTTCTGGACATTTTCTCTTCCCTTGTAATAGATTCAGCTCAACATCCCTCGCCCAACAATCACTTTCTGATGCTCTTTGAAGGTCTCAATATCTGGGCCCTAAAGCAGAATTAAATCATTTTGCTTCAGCACATAAATGGGTACACTGCCTACGCTTGTCCCCTAAAGAAAATCCTGGCATCTCCACGACTGTCTTTGTTTTTACAGCTTTATAAAAGTGCAGGAGCAAAGCTCATGGGCTCTGTTCATATAATAAAAGGTCCAAGCAGGACAGCTTCCTTCAGCATGGTAAGACTGTCTGAAGCTTCCCACCATCCACAGTGGATTTCTGTGGCCATGCAGACCCCAAATCCACTGCTCAGCTTTTCCTTCCTTTCTCCAAAAACTGTTACAGATAGGAGGGAACTGTGAAAAGCTGGGAGAGCTCTTTGAGTTCTCCTGCCCCTCCTCTGCATGAACAGATCAGCTCTCAGGCTGGTCTGCAGCTTTGGTTTGCAAATGCAAGGAGAAGAGCAGGTGTTGGGGCTGGCAGTGTGATGTAGGTTTTCAGAGAGAGGCACGATGTTAATGGAGCTCTGGGAGAGCAGTGAGCCAGTAAAACAGTCCTGTAACTGTGCTGTTACCCATGAGGCTGTAAAGACAAGATCTAATCTGCTGTGATTCACTGAGCAGTGCTACTCATTGCAAGGGCTTACAAACCCACATTTTAACACCAGTCTCTGAAGCTGCTGCTTCAGAAGTCAGATCAAAACCTGACTTTCCAATTCACTCCCCAAAAGGCAGGGGATTTGTTGTTCCAGGAGGGATAAATGGTTAAATAAATAATGTTGATTGCCACATGCAGCCTTTTACCAAATAACCTGGTAGGGGCAACCAGTGCCTGCTTTGGGTTTCAGCAGCCACTACAACTGAAGTACAAGAGAACAGCTCAGGGTGTAACTGTGTTCCACCTCCTCTGCCCAGGCTTTTGCCCAGTTTGTACCCACAGAGCACAATGTGTTTTCATGACCTGCCTGGAGGGAAGCACTGCCCTGCTATTCTCAGCTCTGCTCTCCATCCTCTGCTCTGGCTCCTGCCCCTGACTTTACTCAGGGAGTTTGCCCAGCTCACCCAGCAGTGGGGTCTGGCTCCAGGCTCAGCTGAAAACTCTGCAGTGGTTTTACAAAATATCACATGAATTACATGCTCCTTCCTTAGCCATCCTTCTTTTCTTCTCTCTTCCAAGCCTTCTCAATATCACTATTGTATATTTCTAAATTCTCCTTGCTGTCTTTTAAAAGAGCCCTTGTCTCCTTCTCAAACTCTTTGTTCTGATAAATATTTGAAGAGAAGAAAGCCCACTCCACCCTCTCAGCCCCATTCCCAAATCTTTCCCAACAGTCCTCAAACTTGAGCTCCTTTTCTGGCACTTGACACCGTGCAGATTCTTGTTCCTTAGCTCTGATTACATTTTGCATTCCCTTATTCAAGTTCATCACCTCCCATCTGCACTGCTGCTGTATTTATATTTAGAGCTAAAAGCCTCGCGTCACTCTTCGTTAGACAACAATTTGTCTTTGTGAACACCTTCTCTTTAGATAACATCCCATTTATCTTCCTTGATTTTGCTTCTTGAACTCCTCACATTTCACTTGGAGTTCAAGGTTTTCTTCATGACCATCTTCAACATAAATGAGATGGAAGCTTTTGCAGTTTTGCCTCTTTTCACCTCCTCTTTTGAATTATGCCAAGTGCTTCCTCAAAATCATACAGAGAAACAAATCCTTTCACGTTTCCTTCCTCATATCATACCACAGCACTTCCACTTTCAATCCAGTGTCTATAGCTGGATGATTCATCTGTCCTAGACTCATTTAATTGGAGTTCATTGTATAGACAGGTGAGCAGAGCCTCTGTCTGCACGTCCCTCTTTGCCACTGGGACACAGAAAGCTCACAGCAAGGTGGAGCTGGAATTAAGGGAGACAACTTCCATGCTATTGTAACACTCCAGTACTGTCAACTCCCATTTCCCACATGGATAAAGAACACTGGTGAACTTGGTGGCCTGCTCACAAACCACACAAAGCCAGCAGCAGAACTGGGATCACATCAGGGCTCACAAACTTCAATCTTTGCTTCCAGATTCCTTCATCTTTACCATGGGGCCCCTGAACTGAGATGTTCTATGTCATTCCCAAAAAATGGCACATGAATCACTTATCTCAAGGCTTCAAAGAGAGGGGCAGTGATGTGTGAGGTGAGGTTTCTTTATGAAGAAGTTGGGGTTTTGGGTCAGTTGTTGTTGTTTTGGTGCTTTTTTGGTAAGGTTTTTTTTTTCTGATTTTTAAAATTTTTTTAGTAAAATCTATTTGTTCTATAAGAAATACATTTTTAACCCAAGAAAAAAATATATAGTATAAAATGTATCACTCAGCATGACTTAATTTTGCTCTCAGAGCATTCTATAGATTTTCCCAGTCATGAAAATCTATGGCACATTCATTTATATTCTGATTTCTTATTCTGATGGTTTCAAGCTTGGCTTCTCCAACTTGATTCAGCTCAGCAGCCCTTGAAAAGAATTAATTCTCATACCTCCTCTCCCCAGTCATTATCAGGAATAATGAAACACTGGTTAACTGCCTGGAGAGCTTCTGGAAAGCTCAGCTTTGGAGAGAAAATTTGGAAGAGGCTCCACAAATATCTGACAAAAATGAGGAAGGTGAATTTAGTCTTGCTTTGAAGAATAAAGCTGTCCTAAATGATTTTATGGACTCTTCCTTGCCCTGCAGTTCTGCTACATATTGATATTCCTGTAACATCAACAGGAACTGATCACTGAAAGAAGTAAGCCAAGAAGTTTTAGTGCATTTTCAGTTGCCTTATTATGATCCTGAGGCAGAAGATCAGCTTGTCCCACCCTTCAAACCAGCTCTAGGGACCAGCAGTGACTGCTCCACTGGTTACTGACCACAAGGAAGGAGAAAACCTGGCCTCTGAGCCACAGCTAAAAATCTGATCTGTCTGCAGCTCCTCTCTTTTGTGGCACTGGAAACTCCGGGGTTTGTAGTGAAAATAGACAGAAAATGGACATCACCACATAAAAAGTGACAAAAGGATTTAGCCCTTGAGCTACAAACCTAAAGCAGAAAGCAAGGCAGGTAGAAAATGTGTAACATCATGCAAGGATGTTATGAAAACTAAGGATTAAAAAAACCATGAAATAAAATAAATCCTAGGAATAAAGCCTGTAACAAATGGACTGAACACACTCAGTACTGCTAGTCAGCTCTTGGTGAGCTTCTCAAACACACCCTTCTCCACAGCACACAGTAAGATCTCCCAGGATGCCCAGTTTAATGTGAATTTACACCTACAGGAGATTATGTTTCCATATCTGTTCTTGTTGCGGTTCTCGTCTTCCTTGGCCGTGTCCCAGGACGCCGTCTGCCCCTCGGGGAGTGCCTGCAAAATGAACAATAAGGGAGGGTTTAAATCACCTGGCCAATGCCTTCAGGTGGGGGAAGAGACCTAAAGAAGAAGAGGAGGCAAAAATAAAGGAGCTGCATAATTCAGTAGCTGACCAAGGAAAGAGTGTTGGTGAGGACAGGGCACCTTCACTAATGGGAAAAGCAGAGCTGGTGCAGACCATTTGCATCTCTTGTCCTCTGCCAGCCAAGAATCATTTTCCTCCTGCTACTTCACATCTAAAAAGATCAGGGGAATTTGTTTATGGTTGCACAGTCACAGGTTATCCTCATTTCTCCTGTAGAACAAGACTTGGGGAGATTTCACTTGAGCACACCTCTAAGAAAACCCAGTGGTTGAAACCCAGTGCTCAGCCTTTCATATTTAAGCTGAAAATAGAGTGGTTTCATCTATTTCTGTGTTAATAATGGGTGATGCAATGCAAGCCATTTGTTGAATTTCTCTGGGGAAAGATAAAGCAGCTCAGGGTTTTAGATCATGTATAAGACAGAGAGGAAAAACGAGCTAAAGCATGCTCATGAAGCACAAGAATAAACAGCCATTTTCCTAAAATCTGCTCTTTCAGATGAGGAAGGAAGAGGGAAAGGAACTGGCAGCACACAGTGCCACCCTGCCTGCAGCTCAGCCCTACAACTGTCCTGCACACCCTCACATGAGCCACTTTATCCTGGAGACGTGGCCAGGAGGGATTTTCAAGGCAGAGCCTGGAAAGCAGAAGTTGGAGGATGGTCCTGCCTTTCTTGGAAAAAAACATGAGTGAAGAGAGCAACCCCTCCTGAACTGTCTCTCCTCCCAGATGTACCCCCTAACACGATTCTACATCACTAAAATCATCATTGGAAGTTTTATTATTTCTTGTCCTTGGGGAATTACAGAGGGTTTATACCACAGTTGTTGTAGAGTCACATCTGCCTCAGCCAGCAGCGGGTAGTTTGACACAGCTGTGTTACAAAATGAATTTATATTCATCTTCACAAGCCACCCAGGTCTATTATGTGCCTGAATGCAACAGCAGAGAGATACAATTAGGATCTACAACACTGGTGTTACAATTAAACTTAATATGAGCAAACCCCTGGCAGAGCAGATCGCTGTGAATTTCCCGCAAAGGGTTCCAGGACAGAAAATGTCAGGCACTGCAGCACTGCCACGAGCTCTGCTGACAAAGACAGGGACACTGAGTTCCTATTCAAAAGCCCAGGAGAAAGAGTAATAACTCTGTAATTGGTGAGGGCTTTGATCACACATATATTTCCTTTGCAGACTGTTGTTTCCAAAGAGCAGCTCATCTTCTGAGGAAAAACACCCAACCAAGAAACTCACACACAACAAAAAAAACCCCCTCTGAGTGAAAGAAAAGAGGTGAAGAAGGCTCATTTTCATCTTCAAAGAGCAAGGAAAAAGGTGCCTTATTTCTCCACTAATATCGAATTACAGCAGATTGACCAGAGAATGGCAACTGCCATTAGGTGCCTAATCAGAGCTATCTGAAAAGAAAAAGAAATAAAAGAAAATCCTTTCTCATGACTTCCACATGGGAGAAGCTATCTTGGCTAGAGAAAATATATTCAGGTCCAATAAATCCCTTTTCAACAAACCATATCCTTTCATTTGATTTGAACATGCAATTCTCCACTGAAATTGATGTTTTTATATTTGCTGATGGAGCCTCCGAAGATTTAAGAGTCCAGGATTTTTCACTGCATTCAATACCACAGAAATCCCTGCTTTCCAGAGAACTGACCAGCTCTGAAGGGAGGGAGCACAACTCTGGATGGTGATGAGCACAAACCACCTTTGCCCCTTACATCCCCACTTTTATAAACATCAGATGAACAAATTGAAGGAACTCCACGTACAACCCAAAGAATTTGCCCATGAGATCCCAAAAAATGCAGCACCAAGAATTGGAACTACATTAAAAGGAGAGAGAAGAATATGGATTATAATTGGCTTGCATCCCAAAAATGAGGAGCATGGCTAATGCCTTGTTCCTTCAGGTTTTTATGGTACAATAAGTATCTCTATAATTGTCAAAAGAGTCCTGCTTCTATCTGCATTATCAGCTATGTTAAATCAGGACAGATCACTCAGGCACTGGTATTTAATCCATTTTTTCCCCAGGAAATTCTCCCCCTTCTTTCTTTGACTTGGTAACAGAAGACTTTTAGTGTTCAAAAAAATGATACTTGATTTTTAAGCTTTTCCTACTTCTAAAACTCCCTAAACTTCTCTTAGAGAAGTTTTATGAAATCTATATTGAAATATCTTCCCACTAGTGGAATTTAGGTTACAGTGAAGCTTTTTAAGCTAAATTGATCTAAATTTTAGCTGAAATTACAAGGATAGATCTCTCAAAGTCAGCTTCATCTCAATCAAGCTTCCTAAGCACCACAGCCCAGCCATAACTGAAGTGTTCCCATTAAACGAGGCTTGCTGCAAGCCAATTTGAATTTTGGATGGATGCATTTAGTTAGTTTGCTGTTTGCTTTTAATTTAAATACAAAAAAATCTAATCCTTCATTTTCACTGATCCACCTCAATGCTGCACTTTTGCTGCCAAAGGCAACAACATCAATTCAAAGCCTTCCTGTTCATCCCAAAGTGTGCCATGGAGCCCTGGCCCTCCCCCTGAAGCCATTCCCTTTGCAACAGTGGTGGAAAAACTCTTCCTACAAATCTGCTGGGAGCCAGAATTAAAAATTACCTGGGCTAAAAAACATAATCTGAAAAAAAAAGGTATTTCAGCCATTCATTTTGCAGTGTCCCATCACAGCCCAGACCATCAGATCTATTCTTCTGGCCACATGCAAGGGTGTAGGCAGAAATCAAAGGGTTAAAGTCCAGAGGTGAATTCCACAATCTGAAGGCTCTCAGCACTGAGATGTTTGAGGAAAGGAGCCACAAAATCTAAAATAACTAAAGAGTCTCAGTAATGCAGCAGGAGAATGTGCATTAGTGACATCCTAAATCATAATGGAAAATGAGTCTGGATAATTAAGCCTATTATCTCCTTAGCCAGTAATTGGTGCTTGCAATAAGTCTGTGGGACTGGTCCCACAGCTCCCAACAAATCAGAGCTGATATGTTCTGGAAAAGGAACTGGTGACATTTAAATGTGTCCTGTTTAAATGTTTATGGCTATTCCCAACCCCAAACAGTGCCATCTACACCCAGCACCGCTGACAGATTTTTCTCCTCTGCTCCTTTTGTTTTATCACCGAACAGAAGCAGCAGCCAAAAAGGCCCAAAGTCCCACTTTGCCCTCAGGTGCAGTGTGCAGCCCTAAAATAACACAGACAGGGAGTGCTGACAGATTCTCCCACTACTCACACCCGGTTAACACTCATTCAACACCAGCACTCACACCCCTCACACCATCCCCTCCACTTCTCAGCTCCTCCTGGGGCTACCAGGAATATTTTTCTAGATGCCTTCAGCAAAACAAGCTGCCTGTGCTCACACGTGTAGGTGCAGGCATCCTTTAAACAAATATGGAATGCAATTTCCAGGTTACTCGGCAGAGATGGGAAGGCACAGAGATAAGAGATTGTCATGTGTGACTGATATGCTCTGTTCAAAGTGATTTTTCATGAGACTAAAATTATTTGGTAACATGTCACTAAACAGGCTGCAATTTATGCTATCAATTTGCAAAGTAAGTAGAAAATCAGCTCCTTAGAAGAAGAAAAAAAAAAAGAGCATATTTGGAGGTGACACTGATATTAGTGTCTGAAAACACACTTTAAAAGAGACATCAAACTCTTTCTCGAGATTTTATCAGCTGCTATGCAAGGCATCTTGCAAAGCCAATTTTGCAGCTCTGTGCTCCTGCAGATGCCAGGCTGAGCCCCCACTCACAGGCAGCTCAAACCTCCCACCTTGCAGGAGCTCTCCTGCTCCCTGCCACCCTCCCCACTGCTGTTTGGAGCTGAAGTGCTGCCTCCAGCCCATCTCCAAACCCAAACCCCACCGTGGAAAACACCTGCATTTCTGGCTGGTGGAAGGGTGGGACAACACAGGGGATTTGTGAGCTTGTGGCATTCTCCAGGCCATTCCTTGTAAAGAAAGGAATTCTGCAAAGCTGTGTAATGCCATCATCCTTACATACGTCTGCAGACAGAGCTTTGTGGGGAAGGCAGAGCTCGTGGAGCTGAAAGTTGCATTGACATTTTTCATGCTAATGTGCTATTTTGATAATTACCCATGCCAGCACCAGAAAATTACATATATGCCAGCACCTGTTTTTCATCTTGAACATCAAGAACTGGGTCTTAGGGCATCTGTAATTGAGCTCAATGTAGTTTTGGGTACTCCTCATGGAAATGGAGGCCAAGGGGTGGCTGAGTAAATCTCCTCAGAGAATTATTAACCTTTTTCAATATTAAACAAAGCCCTTTATATAGGTAGCTTAATTAGCATGCTTGATTATGGGGCAAGAGTGCCTAGACCTGGTTAACATACAGTTCCAGAAACATATTCTATGACAGTTTTTGATCCCATATGATTAAAAAAACACTCCCTGGTGAGGACCAGGAAAAGACAGGTTCCCAATTACAGCAAACCTCAGCACTGAGGACACAAACCCCATGGACTCATACTTGCAGGGTGGAAAAGTGAGCTGTTTTCATTAAGTAACTTATTTTCACAGCTGTTAAATTATTTTTAAATAGTTTTAATGCCACTATGCATATTAATTTCTTATTGCCTTCCCACGAGCTTACTACATTCATTATACTTATCATTTGCTAGAGCTGAGTCTCACATATGTTTGATGCTATTTCCCTCTTCTGTTTGCTCTGCTCTAAATGTGTTTTCCTCTTCCAAATCATCCCCAACATCATGTCTTTTGGTCATGTGGATTATATTCCTGCTCATTCCAGCTTGCAGGGGGAAGAGGTGAGGGAAAATAGGGCAGCTTTCATTTTTTCCAGCACAGGTTTTACTCATCTCCTCACATGGAGTTGGTAGAGGATGTCAGCCAAGCCTATTCTGAGCCAGAGGTTTGATCACATTGGAGAATTTCACATTTGTTTAAGCTACACAAATACCTGCCTATGACTTGAAAATTGTGCATGAGGTCATTGCATGTTGTTGTTCTATTATTTCTCTGGAGTCCCATAATGATACTATCAGACTTCTAAAGTCCATACCTCTTTGGCATATTCTCATGGCTGCAGCTCTTCACTGACTCCTCCTGCATGCTGTTCTTTCTCAGTTTAGGGCTCCTCCAAGGCTCTCCCTGACTGGCCAACCCACCCCCTTTTATCCCAGTTATCTCCATTGGTCACAGCTGCAGCCCAGTTAAGGACATGGCAGCTGCAGCCCATCAAGGGCAACCGGGACCTCTGGGGCAAAGCCTCTATACAGATATTCTAATACAGTACATTTCCTCTACTATAATTGCACTGTGATTTCTTGTGATCAGTTATGAGAGAGGAGCTCCCAAAAAACTCAGGCAAAACCCCTTCCTTTTCTCACAGCCTGGCTCACACTACTCAAGGAAAACATCCATAAGGAAGGGACTGTGGGACTGCATGTTCAGCACCTGCTGAATGTTCACTGCCTGCTCTTTATGGGACAGAGGCATGGGCACAGGGTCACCCTCTTACTGCTGTAGGGAACACCTTCTCTTTGGAATAGAGGGCCTGCAAAGACTGACACTGCTGCAAAACCCGGCCCTCAAAACCAACATCAGAAAGAAAAGGATTAGGAGAGTGAATTAAGGGAAAGAAGCTCTCAAAACCAGCTACTTTCCCAATCTTCTACCCCTCCTGAGTGCAACTTCCCTACTCAGTTGTGGAAAACGCCAATCACTTGTTTTTAAAAATTTAAAAGTCTCATAGTAATAAAATGGTTATAAAAATAGTAATACAATTAGAGTAATAATAATTTGGGCAATTTGGATTAGGACAGTATAAGACAATAGAAACAAAGAGTTATGGACAGTCCGGGTACCTCTTTCTGGGCAGCATAAGCCCAAAAAAGGACCCACGTTAACAGAGGATTAACCCTTAAAAACAACAGCCTGTTGCATATTCATACACCTCATAGATGATGCATAAATTCCATTCAAACACAGGATTCTGTCTGGGCAGTGTCAGCTTCTTCCTCTGAATCCTGACAGCACCTTCAAGCCTGAGCAAGGCAGGAAGAAATTTGTTTCTTCTGATAAGAGGGCAATAAATTCTCTTTCTCTGAAAGACTGAGGTGTCCTGTGGCTGCTATCTCGCTGCAAGTCCTTTCTTTAAAAAAGTATCTTAGATAGCATAGTTTCTATTTTAACATTATGTTATAACCTAAAACTATATTTAACACTCTACTTAACACAGCATAACTTTCTAACACAACACATACAATATTCACTTGAATATTTGCAAAAACCCAACCATAAAACAGGCATTTTTTTCACATCAGTCACGTCAAGAAAGGCTCCTCTCACCTCATACTCCTCCTTGAAGCCGTAGCCCTGTCCCCTCTTCATCTGGGTGATGTGCTGCAGCAGGTCTGCCACTCGGATGGCGGGCTGGAACTGCCCCCGGGGGTAGGACATCTCCACGGGCTCGCAGCTGCGGTACGGGTGGGTCTGGATGGTCAGCGTGGGCTGGGCCAGCTCCCCATGGCTGCTGTCTGTGGGGAGACAGGGGGCAGAACGAGCTCTCAGCTGCCTGATTTTCCCAGTTTCGTCCTCCCTCTGTTTATTTAACACCACCCCGCAGGCTGGTGCGGGCGAAAGGAAGTGAAGAAATGAATAGAAAACACAGGTTTATCTAAAATCCCAAGAAAGACTAAATCATGCTTGAATATTTTTTTGTGTCAAGCAGACAAACCCAAAATGACAGGGAGAGAGTGAGCAGCCAGTCAGGTTAACGAGGATATGGTGAGCTCTCCACAGCAACTCCAACAGAGCTCCTGTCTTCCCAAACCTGCAAAGAACGTGGCTCAGAAATACACAGAGATGAGCAAGAGATCCAGGCAGGATTTGGGGTGTACAGCATGAGATAACTGAGAGGGACCCCAGTGAACAGCAAGGAAATGATTAGCATTTCAAATAAGTCAGGATGCTCGGGCAAAGTCAACTGTTCTGCTAGTTCAGGCCTAACATTTTGTATGTCAACAACAAAGATGTAATATCATCAGGAAAAAAAAATAAACCAGCGTAAAAATATAGTTATCTTGTGTGCAGAAATTTAAATTTCAGATATGTAAACTTAATAGAAAAGTGGGTCATTTTGAAAGAAGTGAATCTATCACTGTGCAGATGGAATTGCAACTTCATATCCCCAGCAAAACTCTGTGTACAACAAAATATTCCCAGTGAACTAAGAGAAAAGAAATAATAACTTCAATAACCAAACAATTGACTATAACAATCTTTAACAACAGGAACTCAAACTAAATGAAAAATACAATGACTTTTCTAGCAGAGCTGTCCAAATTTAAGTATTTGGCCAAATATAGCACTGGTTTTTCCTAGGACTGCAGGGATCTGAGATGCTCAGCTCCTTTCACACATAAAACCTGCATAAATTCTTTCTGGCCTTACCCAGACCAAGGTATTAGCAAACAGAAAATGCACCTCCCTCAGATTGTTCACAAAAGCCCCTTGAGCTTCCATACACAGGGTTTGTTTCTTACAGCAAGTTCACTGACAAAGAGCTGAAACACCACCCCTTGAGAGCAACACTGCGGCCATGTTTTTAAAGGGATAAAGAATAAATAAATCAAATTGCAATTTCAGGGTGATTTCTGTGAGGCAGAAATAATCTTGGGATGCTCTTGTAAACATTGCTCTGCTTGAGAAACCACTGTGGTGTTTGGGCAGGGGCTGCCCATGTCCCTCCTGCAAAGGTGGGCAGGAGCAGAGAGCTGAGGGCATCCCACTGTGTCCTCAGCACAGATATGACAAATAGCAATTCAGCTGGTTTATTATTAGATTAGGGGAAGATGTGAAAGCAGGGATATGCTCTGTTTGGTAGCTGCAGGACTGTGAGGAGATAGGAATGCCAGCAGTGGACACTGCTGCAGGGCAAGCTCATCAGCAGTGGGACATCAACACGGCTGGGGGGTGAATTATCAGAGATGCTGAATGCAGCCTGCTCCTCTGAAATAAATTAGCACTGTGATCATCTGCTTTGAGGATTAAACTCCTGAATTTAAGGATTTCTGAGTCCCAGGTTCTCATAAACACAGTCACATTCCCAGGACACTCGGATTTACAGAAGTACGGCTCAAGCAAAGCAACCCTCAAACACAAAATGTGAATAAATTTGGGATTTAAGGAAGAGTAACATTCAAAGCATTTGTATAATCATCCCTAATGCTCTGACTAATGACAGTGTGAGAACTCTGAACAGAGGGAATTTCAAGGCTTATTAATTCCCCTAGTTGGATTCGCTTTCCCAGTGCATCTTTGCTCCCCTATTCCCTATTAACCTCCTGTAATGAAAAGGAGAAGATTTTTATCGCGGACCATTTCCGACAGACGTACTATGCTTAATTTTCCATCATTAGGTTTAATACAAACCCAATTTCACAATTGGCTTCTCCGAGGAACCTGCAAGTAATGCCACATTTTTATCAGCCCCAATTAAAAAACATTACGAGATCCCAATTCAAGAGGGAGCCTTAAAACTAATGTGTGGTTCTGGTGCTAATTTGGGCAGGGCACACGCAGAGCACAGGCGACTTGTAAAATGGAGCTCAGATCAGCCAGCTGCTTTGCAGGCAATTACTAATTTCTCTCTTCATCAGTTCCTTTAATTCTGGTGTACTTGGCTTTCTTCTCAGAGTAATGTGTCACAGGGAGAGGTGAAAGCCAGGAAAGTGGTGGCTCGTTCTTGCCAGGTAACTTCCCTTAAGGTAGGCACTCATGGTGTGGAGGTGGGACTAGAAGAAGGTGCTCAGCAGCAAAGAGGGGTCTGTCTCAGGTCTTTGAGTCCATAGTGACAGCTGGTCTCTTGGTGAATGAGATAAATATTGGTGCAAATCCCACTGATTGGAGGAACGGCTCTTGTGGCACAGAAGCTCAGAATGGTTTGAGCTTGGAAGGGACCATCTCATCTCAATATCCCAGGGTGGTCCAAGCACCATCTAACCTGGTCTTGGACACCTCCAGGGATCCAGGGGCAGCCACAGCTTCTCTGGGCACCCTGTGTCAGGGCCTGCCCACCCTCACAGAGAAGAATGCAAAGTGTGATCTGTGGCAGCACCAGCACTGTTTGTGTGCCTTAAACAGGTGATTCTGCTTCAAGAAAAGCATCACACAATGTGGGTCACCCCCCTCTCCACCCTGGGACACACAACTGAAACTTTTGAGGCCATCACCTCCTCCAGTCCTCTGTGACAAACACATCATGCATGGCACCTGAGCTACCTGCAAAAAAATCCCAACCCCAACAGCAGCAGCAGCAGCTCTGGACTCTCAGTTACTCCCACCAGCATTTTATCTAGGCCAAGGAAAATGTAGCGGGGCTTTTCTGGACACAAATTGCTGTGTGTGAGCTGAGCTTAACACTTCCATGTTCTGCTAATAAAGGCTGGTGCTGGTTACACGTTGTTCCCTCTCCATCTAATCACCCCAGAGTGTGGAGCTAAGCGCGGTAATGAGGCGCTCGGCGGGGCCGGCACCTCTCAGGATGTGTTTGCAGCCATCCTGTGAACAATTCAAAATGCAGGTGGGAGAGCAGGTGGCAGCAGACTAATCTCTCACTAGGACAGTCAACCAAAAGAGTCTTTGGAGGGCTGGCAAGCAGGCTTTGCTTTTCCTTCTGTGTGCAGCTATAAGGCACATCTCATTCCTTTTGGCACCATTATTACTGGGAAAGACAACAAAGATTCCAGCAAAGTCAGGCTGCTGCTTTAATTGTTGCACTAAAGGCAAGTTAAAGAAGTTAAAGTAATTTTCCAGAGTCCCTTTCCTCTGTCTGCTTCTCACAAACATTTCCCCAGTCCCCTGCAAATGAGAATGACTTTGCAGGACAAATTGGCCAAGGCTTTGCACTAAATTTTTGGCAGTGCCTATAAAGCATGTGTGCCTTTGGTGAGTTTTCAGTGAGAAAAGCAAAACAGAAAAATAATTTTTTGTTTTTTGTTTTTTTTTTAATGGGAAAGTTGCAGGAAAGAATTCACTCTAATACTCAGAAACTACTAAATGTGGAGGATCATGCATCAGGTGTTTTTTAAATTATATTTCATATGCACATTTATCCTAGTCATATGTCCTTGTGCTTTTGATAGGAACACACCCCACCACATTTCACTGCATTCCAAAGATGGAATACCATTCCAAGAAATAATTCAAATTAAAACATTTCAGGAGGTAGTGATTCCATTCTGACCCCCAAAATTGTGGCAATGGTTAATTACCCTTGCTGACTAAACATTTCTTAATTGCAATTTGATTTTGCTTAGCTTCGATTGCAGGCACTGAATCTTATTATACCTTCTGTTAGATTAAAGAGCCCTCTGAGCATTTGTAATCCTGACCCATGCAGGCACTGATCAAATCACTTCTTCAGCCTCTCTTTGATAAAGTAAATCAATTGAGAGCTTCTGAAGTCTCATTAGGGCAGGCTGCTCGGGGCTCCGGTTCCTTCCTAGAACAATTTCCAATTTTCCACAGTTCTATTTGTGCAGCTGTAAATAAGGCAGGTATTCTGCATGTGGCTGGGAACATGCTGTTGATGACAGGATTGCTTCTAATATCAGCAGCTTGTGACAGCAAAGGGTGTTCCAGCTTGTTTGTTAACCCTTTTCAGTGCCACTCTCACTCCCCATATTAAGATGTTGGCCAGCTTGGATGTTTTGATTCTGGCATTTTCATGATCCCCCTGGATCCCTGGAAGTGTCCAAGGCCAGGCTGGACAGGGCTTGGAGCAGCCTGGTCTAGTGGAAAATGTCCCTGCCCATGGCAGAGGGTGGAAGGAGTTGAGCTTTAAAGCTCCTTCCAACCCAAACCATTCTATAATCAGCTTGAGAGTTCACCTAACACCCTGACATTTTGTAGAAGACAGTAAATTAGTGATTCCCTGTCTCTTACACAACTTGGCTGATTGGGAAACTCTTCAGGCCTCTCAGCTCATGTGTTTAGTGTGAAACTGCAGACAAGCAAATGTAATAATGCTGACCTCACATATTCTCAAATTCTCCCTGCCGATGAAATGGTGCTTTTTGTGAATGTCTTTGCTGGGGAAATAATCATGAACTTGCTGAAATAAACCCTGAGGTCTTATTGTGCCACGAAGTAACAGAGTCCAGCAAACAGAGAGGAGCTGGAGCAGGGGTCACTTCAGTGGAATCTTCCCCCATTTGATGAGCAGCCTTGACAGTGAGTTATTGCTGCTTGCCTGCTGCTGCACCTCCTTGTGTTCTGTACTTCTGTGCTTCTCAGACAAGTAAAATAAATATGTTTGCCTCCACAGAAAAACTGATGAACTTCTCCATAAATGTCACAGATAAGATGAAGAGCAGCTGAGAAATTAGATTGCCAGTCTGGAAGTGGCTGTGTATGATCAGAGCCCTGTGCCACATCCCAGTAAGGCTGCTGGGAGGGGTCCTGCTCACCCAGAGCACCTGTAGGGATTAAAGCTTTAGATGCCTTTATAGAGATCATTTGTTTTGTAAACATAGTTAGACTGAGAAATGGATATCTGGGCATGGAGTATGATGTTGTGCCTGACCAGAAAACTCAGCCATGCCTTTCCCAACTAACAGCAAAGCTTCACTCCTGTGTCATCTTCTACACTGCAGAAGCTTCTCTCCAAACTTTTGCTTTAAGGTCCACAAATTCCTCCTGTGACTAAAATGACAGGGCTATCATATCTGCTTATTTTTTTTTATTCTCCTAGCCTTGGCAAGTGATAAGATGCGATACGACACCCTTTGCACAAAATAAATTATGTTTGGAGTGGTGTTTGTGATGGATTTAATTACACACAGAGCCAGTCTCTCCACACTAGAGCAAAGGCTGTCAATTCTTTGACATCTTCTGAGGGTGACTAGAGCATGGCTAATACCTCTTCCCTCTGCACCAGGGATATGGTGCAAGATGAAAAATAATTTGCTTTTTTGTGTGTGTCAAGGCTTTATTATATGATAAATACCCAGCTCTAATATTCTATCTACAATACCAGCATGGTATGGCAAACTGAAGGCAAAACACCATTTATCTAATGATATCAACTGAGCTCTGAAAAGGCACATTCCTTAACAAAGCCTTCTGACAGCAGGCTTGACAGAGCACAGAGGATGCACCTTTCATTTCAAAGGCATGAAGAAGCCACATGTCCATAATTTTTTTTTAAAGTATTTTTTATCTAGATTTTAGAACTTTGTAAGAATTGCTTGGTTAACACCAAGCATAAGAGTATTCTAATCTTATAAGAGCATTCTAATAAGATATTAAAGTATTCTAATATTATAAGTGTATTCTAGCAGAAGAGTATTGTAATCTTATAAAAAACTACTACATACATTTTCTTCATCAGGTAACCTAGAAGAAAATGTTAAAGATGCAAAGAAGATGCTTTGGTGAGGTGGGCAATGATTTGGGATTATTTGGTAGAAATGTAAATGTGAAGCTCTTTGGATGTGTGGAGCTTACCAAGCCAAATCTCTCTTTGCCTCCTTGGTGAAAAGAGGCTGCCAGACCAACCCACCTTCCACAGACATTCACTTACAACTGGAAAATAACTGGAAACTTCAAAACAGCACATGAAACTACAAGCCACTAAAGACTGGAAGAGAGGGGTTTCCAGCTCTGCAGGCAGGAAGAAATGTAAGAGAAATTCAGCTCAAGGCCCAGCCTGCAAAGGTCTGAACCTTTGGTGCTCACTCTGCTCCTGACAAACCCCAGCACAGAGAAATGCTGGGAAAACCTCTCCCACAGCTCCTCATTAGAGGCTGACTTGGCCTGGAAGGCTTCTGATGCAACTGAGCAGGTCAAGCCATGGAATTTTTGAGCATCCATTGCATAAAAATCACTCATCCCCCAGTAAAAATTCAGTTGACAGAGGCACCTGCTAAAGCAGCAATGCTGGCCCCTTAACATCTTTGAGTTATTCAAAATAGGCTGGGGGTGTACACACAGCACACTGATTGGGGTGGGCAAAAAAGCTACAGAAGTCTAAAATCCATGGAAAATCTCTATGGCTTTCTAAGCACAGCCAGTTTTTGTCTGAGACCTTGTGTCAGAGAGCTCCCTCTGCTCGTTCTGCCCATCTGCAGGCACTAAAATCCCTGTCCTGTCTGGAGGGTGGTGACTCTTGTGAGGATCCTCATGAGCAGCTGGAATAAGAACAAGGCTCAATGTCCTTTCCTGCTGCCAGGAGGTGCCAAGGGAAGGACATGCTGGCTCCCCTGCAGAGATCCCCTGATGAGATCTCCAAGAGCTACTGGACATGAATCTTTCCCCCCAAAATAATCCCTAAAGTTGTGCTACCTCATCTTCAAGTGAAAATCTACCTCATGTATTTTTTAGTGTTAGATATTCCCTTCTCTAGTGAAGATGTTGGAGCAAAACATTTAAAATGCAGAGTTGTCCACCACTGGAAGAGAAAATGGCTTCACAAAAAACATGAATAAAAAAGCATTAATCAGGAATTGAGATAGAGGCAAATCCCAAATCTCCAGTATCTTACATGTCACAGCCAAGCCTAGGGAGCCATGCAATACTGCAAATATAGAACATTTATTAGCAGAAAGCATAATAGATGGGAACAAACAGTACTGAATTGCAGGTACAGATATTGGTAGTGGTATGACTAATCCCTTTTCAAGATATGTTTTTCTTCCCTGGGAATTAATATTAATAAACATCAAAAATTAAACTTCTTTTGCTCATACAGCAACATCTAACTTCTGATGGATTTGTCTGAGAAACCAGAATGCCAAGGTTATAATTTGTCTGCAAGTCACAAGATAGAAATTTCTCCAATGTAAGGGGCTGTTTCACAGGCTGTTAAATTCAGGTGGAACTGGGACAGTGACCAGTCTGTGTAATTCATGTCTTAAAAGTGCTCTGTACTTAACTTCCCATGTGTAAAACAGGGATATCAATCCTTACACAGACATAGTGCTTAGTAGAAATCTGAAATATTTTTAAATACATAAGTACAAGGCTGGTTAGATTCCTACTTCCTCTTTTTCATCTATAAAATTTGGAGTTTTAGAAGTTTTGTGGGCTTTGCTGCAGCAGAAGCACAGAGGGAACCTGTTCATTGCTTCTTGAGCTTCAGAGTAGCAAGAGTGCAGTTCACACCTTAATCCTGTCAGGGCAGAGGGGGGAAAACAGCTGCCTAAAGAATGGCCAGGTTTTCCCAGATGCCAGACTCAGAGAGTTTGAGATCTTCCACCAAACTTCAGGTCAGGGCCTTGTTTCTAAAGTACAGCCAAAAGAGAAACCTGCCTTTAGGCTTTTCTGTTGATGACACCGAGCCTCTGGGAAATGAGAGCAAACCTTCTGGGAAATGGACACCTTTCCTTCCCCACTCCATTCAGAGGCCTCATTCCTTGTCATCAGCATTTTGGCAGGCAGCAGGATGGATGTGTGTGTTGTGGCAGCCCCTCCAAGCCTCTGTGACAAGTGACAACCAAGGAACAGCCACTGGTTGTCATTTCCTCCTGGTCTAACTGTGGCCCTTCCCCATGTTCTGAGTGATGTTTGAAGCAGTCACAGTAGATTACTGTGTCTGGAAGGAACATTTATTGTGGATAATCCAAAATTATAAATCCCACTGGCTAGATTCTGATCAGCCACACATCATCTTTCTGCTCCACAGAGGAAGAATTCATAAATCAGAGAATCAGAGAGTTTTGGGTGAGACGGGAACTCAAAGCCCATCCAGTACCACCCCTTACCAGGGGCAGGGACACCTTCCACCATCCCAGGGTGCTCCAAGCCCTGTCCAGCCTGGCTTTGGACATTCCCAGGGATCCAGGGGCAGCCACACCTGCTCTGGGCACCCTGTGCCAGGGCCTCAGCACCCTCACAGGGCAGAATTCCTTTCTTATAGATATCTTATAGAGCCTCAGAACAGCCTCTGCCTCTCACGACCTTTGTTATCTTCTCAAATCCATACCTGACTGCCTGAAAGATTTAGCATTTAACTCTCAGCATACACAGAACCAGGTGGAGCCACTTCCCAAAACCCATCCAGGAATTTCTCCAAATAACCTTTATCCATGCAACTTCACCCAAAGCTGCAGGCTCCCACCTGCAGCAGATATGCAAATCCTCACTTAAATTTGCAACCCTTGAGGCAGGCCCAGCTAAGCCTCACACACAGCACAGGGGGGTGGTTTTAAATGGAAACAGGATAATTCAGAGTAGATACAAAGAACAAACTGTCTATAAAAAGGTACAGGTGGCCCAGAGGGGTGGAAGATGCCCCATGCTTGGAAACATTCCAGGTGAGGTTGGATGGGGCTCTGAGCAATCTGGTCTATAGCAAAGTGCTCCTGCCCATGGCCCAGAGAGCTTTTAAAGATCCCTTCCAACCTAAACCATTCTGTGGCTCTGTGTCAGCTGCACAGGCACAACCACCTGCAGGAGTCAGAACTAAGCCCAAGGCAAGGCAGCACATGGGAAAGGGGCCCAGAGCCCCAAATCTCATGGACAAAAAAAAACCAACATATGTCACCGTGGTATTTTCTGAAAAATCCCTTTGCCAGGATTTCATCTCCTGGAAAGATGAGAAGCCTCAGCTTCTCCATGTTTTGCTGCTCTGGAATGTGGTCTGGAGATCGTTTATCCAAACATGTGAATTGTTTTTAATTACTGACCAATCAAGGTCCAGCTGTGTCAGACTCTGAGGAGTCACGGGTTTTTATTATTCATTCTTAAGCTTTCTGATGTATCCTTTCTCTTTCTTTACTATAGTTTTAGTATAGCACAATATACCATAATATACATAACATAATATAATATACCAGCCTTCTGAGAACATGGAGTCAATTCTCATCTCTCACCTCATCCTGGGGATCCTCACAAACACCACAAAGATATCCTTGAAAAAATGACTAAACCTTAATTTCTGATTTTTTCTTTCATTTGAAAGCAATTAACAGCAATAACAAAACACGAATGAAACAAAAGTTTTCTGATGAACCCACGAGCACAGGATTAGTTCTGATTTTGGAAGCCAAACACTTCAGAGGGTTGTTTTCATGCCACAGAGAGTGTTTTTGCTCTCCAGCTCAGCCCAGCACACCATACCTGTCCTCTTACCTAACAGCGTGGTCGATGGGACGGTGTCTGATGAAACTTTGAGATGGAATTCCGTTCACCCACACGACAGGGATTCAATGCAAATCAACAGAGGATCAACAGGAAAAGAAAAAGTTACAGAAAATGAAAACAAGGTTAGCTGTGTCTCACACTCAGAAGCCTCGGTCTGTTACAGGTTATATTGGGTAACGTACAAAAGCAAAGGAAATTTAGGAATGAAAGAAAAGTCTGGCACTAGTACCTGAGTAGTAGGAATTCAACATAGATTTGCTCTGAAGGGTTTTGCTTTGGACAGAAAATGAACAAGGAGAGGGTGATGCTAGGTAGGAAAGACATAAGGAAAAGACTTTAGACATATATTAAGAGAGAGAAAGAGAACAGGGAGAATGTTCCTCAAAGAACACAGTAATATGGGATATATAAAGCTTATCAAAATGAATTATATTTTTCATTTCAACATGCATATTACATTTATTACATTGTCATCATGATGGATTTTCTTTAATATAAGCACTCCAGACCCCAAATATAGGATTATAGTTACTGTAAATCAATGTGTTCCTAAATAGGATACACACAGAGCTACATTCATAGGTCTATATTCTAAATGTTCTTTTTTTTTTTTTAAACCAAAGGAGCAAACTTAGGGTTTTGTCTCTAAGAGGAAATTCCTCAAAAATTACCCCCAAAATACAAACTACAGAGAATAAGTATGGACAGTAAAATAAACCTACTCAAACACAATGTACCACAAAAATACACAGGTGGGGTAGCAATTTTTTGGTTAAAACATTACAACATTACAAGGGACTTGTTCTTCAACCCAGGACTGTTCACAGCAAATCCTATAATCCCTTCCCCTGTGAGCTGGGTTCTGTCTGCAGGACAAGCATCCTTGCCTTCTCCCATTACAGCATTAACTTTCTCTGGACAAGAATCTACAAATTTCCATATTAATCAAATATTTTTTAAAAGGAGGAAGGGCTCAACATCTTTGTGGTAGATTCTTGTCTTGATAGTAAATTTATGAGGCTGGTTTACACCTACAGCAGCAAACATGCACATTCTTATGGTAATCCATCACTTTTGAAGGCATATTCTTTTGTTATCACTCTGCATTCACTCTCAGAGTTACAGGCATTTATATATCTCCTCCTCAGAATGCTGGGAAACAAGCTAATACAAATCTCAGTACATCAGAAAGATGACAACAGATAACACAGGAAAAACTATTCCATAGCCCAACAGAAGCAGATAAAACTCAGTGTACATCAAAGTAATTTCAGAAGCAATTTTTTGTAGCTATGGAACAAACACTACTCAAAAAATTCAAGTTATTCTGTGGGGACACCCAAAGAAGTCACTGGTCTAGGGAGGTCCATAAAGTCAGAATTACCTCCTGAGCAGTTTATAATCATCTAGCTCATGAACTCGCTCTCATTCTGCATTCTCACACCTTATTTTCAGACCTACATGACTTGGAAACACATTAAAACAATCAAACTCCTCACACTTTGGTCTGCTGGAGCTCTGCCCCAGCTGCCCAAAGTCACAAAGCTCCTCTGCTCTGGGGCCTCTTGCACCTTTGTCAGCCTAAATCAGACCCTTCTCTCACCACACTCAGGGCATGGCCACGTTTCAGAGAACATCAAATAAGATCTAAAGAGAGCAATTGGTTTGCCCAGTGTCACAGGGCAAGGCCACACTCAGGGCTTGGAGCAGAACTCCAGTTTTTCTGGAATTTGGGAGTATAAAAGAACTCACAGGGCCATGCTGCCCTTCCAGAGCTGCTGAGGATGAATTTCCAGATAAACACCTCATGTCAGCGAGTTTGATTAAAAATGTTACCAACTGAGGTTTATGACATGAATTGTGTTTGTGACATGGGGCTGTGACTTTTAAATTCAGATTTAAAAAGAGGGGAAAAAATTCCAAACAAACCCAAACAAAACCAAGAAAAAACCCAACCCAAAACCAAAACAAATTAAAAACCAAACAAAAAAGCTAAACCAAAACAAAAATCCCCCAAAACCCACCAATACAAGAGAAGTTTCTTAAAACTTTGGAGAACTTGTTTCTGAAATCAGTCAGGTTGTATAATGAGATGTATACACAGGGCTGCTTTCTAACTAGCATTTCTCACAGGCACTTGGGTCTGTAATCAAAGGAAACACGTCCAGAGAGGATTTCACATCAGGGTAGAGATTAAGACTTCATTAAAAATTCTCTTTGTGCTCCCTGGAGTGGCACGTGAGGCCACACAGATCCCTCCAGTCATGCAGAGTGGTGAAGGCTCCTTCCTATTCTGAAAATTATTCTTTAATTTTTATATTTCCTAAACTAGCAAACCCCACAAAAATCCCATGGAAGCCAGTAAAAAGAAATTTAATACATTTTCCTTTTATGCCTTCGAGAAAATGTGGGTTTGTCTTTTATTTCTAAACTATTTTAAGATTTTTTTTTACTAAAGGAAACATCTCATGTCCACAACCCTACAAGTCCTTAGACAGCATTTAGCAGGTCACCTAATTATGAATGAAAATTATCCACAGGGCAGGAGTAAGAACTTTACCTTGCTGTGCTTGTCTTTTGTGAAGACCTCTACATCTCACTGAGCATAAAATCATGGAGCACTGTGGAAAGGTCAGAATTTTGGTGGTTCTTGGTACAAATGGATCCCTTAAACCCCGAGTGCCACTTGCCTACACATCCCTCTCACGTTCTTGTTCTCATAAGTGAAATCACACTGATTGGTAACTCATGGTAGTGGTTCCTCCTGCAGAACTCAGTTCCCCCACTTCCAGAATGCTCTGCCTGAAGCATTAAAACCCCTCCTTCACCTGTGTCCCTCCTGCAGGGTGTCTGCAGAGCTGTCTCCCCCCAAAATGGGATGTCACACAGGTAAAGCACACCCTCACAAATCAGTCTCCAGCAAAACTGGCTGCATTTTAATGGGTGAAACCCTCAGAATCCAACAGCTCCTGCCAGAACCCCTGCAAGGATGTCAGGATGGCTCTGCTGGGGACAGGGAATTCTCCTGGACAAGGCTGGTCCATGGCAGTTCCTTTGTGCAGAGCACATCAATGCATCCCTGCTGAGCTGATCCTCTGCTGCCCATCCCATCTCTGCCACACTGCCCATGGTTCCTGTGTGATCACAACCCCCTGCCCACCTTTCTGCTCAGTGCAGACACTGGGGCACAAATTTAGGCCCACTCTCTTTCCCATTTCCCACCTTGTTTCACAATAACCCTGCCCTGAGCCAGCGTCTCCAGGTGCCTGTGCTGCTCCCCAACATTCCTGCACTCCAGGGAGCTGCTCAGCCACTGCCAGGGCCAGCACCTGCCTTTCATGGGGCTGGGATATATTGATATCTTAAACAAACCCAAGATATTTGAGAAATGACCAACTCTGGTTGTTCATAATCCCCAGGTGAAAGCAGACAAGCTGGAACAGCCACAGACCATTCTATGTTTTACCAAACACCTTCTCTGGTTCTGTGGAGCATCAGAAACAGCAGAGCTGAGTCCAAAAAAATCTCTTTGATTTCAACACCTGTATGTATCAGTGAGAATCCTGCCAGGATAACAACTAACACTGCAGAATGGAAAGAGGGATCAGGGGCTTTGCTTCAGGCCAGGGAAGATAAATGCTCAATTCTCTTCCTCTTTTCAGCAAGACCTGAGGTCTTGATGCCTCAACAGAAAACAAGGAGCTGATAAGAAGGAGGGCAGCTGTTCATTTTTTATCTCCCTCATGGTGCAGAGCATCAGGCAGCACCTTTGAAAGTGGGATTTTTAAATCTAATTGATTTAGAAAATAGTCCTGTGTGGTGGCAGGGCAGGGAGATGGGATAAGCGACAGCAGGGGGATGGACAGGACTCATCCAGGAGCAGACCAGGGGCCAAATGGAGAGAGCATGGGAAAAAGAAAAGCTTCTGTAGGCACTCACTGAATTTGTTCTGTCTGAAAAGTTATCAGAATTCTTGTGACAGAAAGTAAAAGCTGGAGGCAAGGACACAAGCCCTGCAAGGACATTGTATTCTGCAGGTAAACTTGCCTGCAAGTCATTCAGTGACTGAGGGATGATCCTACTTAGCAAATTGTCTTGTTCTGTTTGATTGCTTTTGTGAGCTGGCAAGGTGATCCTGGCATTGAAAACACTCTGCTTCTCTTGGTGGGCTCTTCCTCCAAAAGGAGAGGGGCCTTTCCTCATCCCAGCTGCAGCCAGCTCAGGGCAGGACACAGAAGGTGACTGCCCATCATGGGCTGCTGTAAATGCTATTTACTGTTGGCAGGCAAAAAAACAATTTAAGAAGGAATCTGACTGCTGCTTAAGACTGTTGATTTCAACAGCTCTGGTGGATAAACCCTGTAAAACTCTATTAGTTAGCAGGAAGGTTAAGAAATAATCCTATTATGTTATTCCAAAGTAGGCCTGTATAGAACCCACAAGTATTAAACTCCATTAAGGCAATTTATTTTATTTTTCTTTTCAAGGAATGCTTTTAGTCATAAAATTCCTGTATCAGCATGTGCACACTACTGCACAGAACTTACCTCCAACACCTCAGCATCCTGGACTTGGCAGTAAAAAATTTGAAGAAATCATGAAGGTTTATTGATAATTCTTTCTCATAGATATAAAGAGGAAAAAAAATAAAAAGAATCCACCCATGACTGACTCAGGTTATAGGGGAAGGCAGTGATAAAATCTGCAGAGATGTCAGACAAGTAAAGATCTAACTGATTAAAAAAATTGAAAACCTGGAGTGCTGTTTCTTTACAAAATTTGATACATCATATTTTCTACAGTCGCCACTTCAAGCAAATGACTCAGCTGTTCTAATTAGTCTGTCAAAAAAACAAGGGTGGAGGGGGGGAAAGATGAGGTCACATTTCAAACTTGTCTCTTTTTTAATTTTCTGGTTGGTAAAAGAATCCCCAAACTTTCAGAAGCCCAAATTCTGAGGGAAGCGTTCAACACTTGATTTCCCCACACACTCCAGCCAGGCTGCCTCTGCTCTTTGGGGCATGGCTGATACAGCACTGTCTGCTGCTCTCCTGGCCTTCAGAGACATGAACCCCACAGAAACCTTGCTGCCTCCTTAGGATAGAGCTACCAGCACCTGAGAAAATTAGATCTTGACTGAAGTCAATCTAATATCAGAGAGAAGTGTTCCCTGCCAGCCTTGGCTGCCCCAGACCCCTATTTCTCCATCTCACAGGTGTGCTACACAAAGTGGCAGTAGCAGCACGTGCAGATGGAATTTGACATGACCTGCAGAGAGAGAAAGGGAGAATTCACTCAACCTGTCCTGCTCAGGTTCAGATTACAAGGGGAGGTTTCAATGATAAATCACATTTTCTATCATGAGCACTTCCATTTTAGTAATCAGGGGAAAAAAACCTTCACTAAAGATGCTTAATAAAGAGTTTTAGTACACACTTGAGTTTCAGAGCTGTCCCTTGTCCAAACTAACAGGCTGAGTGTCAAAAGAAGGAGTGACATGCCCATAGTGTCTAAGTTTAAATTTATTTAATACAAAAAAGGTTTACAAATCCACCATGCAATCCACCATGCACTCAACCTGGATCTAGTGAGGCTAAAGTAGGACTTGGTGCTGCTTTACCCACAAAACTCTTATAGCTACAGAGGTGTGAGTGGTTTACAAATGTTAACTAAGATCAGTTTTACTGACCCCATGTGAAGAATAAACCCAGGACACAGACAAAGGAAGAAATGCTGTCTTTCCATTCCAGTTCTCTAGCCAGGAGGCCAGGCCTTCTTTCATAACAATCTCATACAGAAAATGTTTTTTCATCCCACAAGTCAACTAAGGGATTTGACTCTTCTACTCACAAAGGAAAAGTATTTCTAAACAACAAATAAACACGTGCCTCTTATTCTGATGCAGTTATTAGAACAAGCTTTATAAATTATTCTCAGTAGATTTGGACCCAGAGGAATGTTCTCCACCTGTCTGACAGTGACACCAGGGGCAGTATCAGAGACATTCCAGCTTTCTAAGGAGCTTTTGCAACCATCTCTATCACTGCCATTCCTAACTCCTCAACACTGTGCCCAAAGGAATAGGTCCTTTTAAGAACCCAGAGCTCTCCAAGGGGGTCATATCCATTGCAAGCAAGTTAAACTTACTGAATCCATTAACATCTTGGCAGCTGGAAGAAAAAGCTTCTTCATTGTGAACAGCACTGAGTTTGGTGGAGGTCTTGTCAGAAGTAGCCACAGGACCCATCTCCCTCTGCGTGCTGGTCTGAGTCTCCTTCTGCTTCTTGGCTAGCTTCCTTTGGGTGGTTTGGAGAGGGGAGAAAGCAAGGTCAGTTTGCCCTCGTTAAAAGCAAAGCAATGGCAAAATATTTTGACAAAATCACCCCACCTGGTGAGACATGCAAGGCACGTGACAAACCGCACGCCAGGAGACCCCGCGGGTTTTTAACGCAACTTCTGGAGCGCGAGGAATATCACGATACCAGCCTGGAGCTCTCCCTCCCCGTCACTCATCTGGCACAAACCTGCATCACCCCAGCAGTGGGAGTGCTACCTCAGCCTCAGAGAGGGTGCAATAGCTCCAAACCCTGGAGCAGGTGCCTTAGGGAGGGTGGAACAGGTCCAGCCCCCAGAGCGGGCGCTGCGCGCTCCGGGAGGAGCAGAGGGCTCGGGATGGGAGCACTGCTCGCTCCAGGGGACCAGGACATCTGCATCCATCCCATGGGATGCTCCTTGAGGGAGTGTGAGACCTGGCTCTGTGCCACCTGCGAGCTGGAGCAGAGTTCTGTCCTGTCCCCAAGCACAGCAGTGAGGGCAGCAGTCCTGACACAGCCTGGAACTGCTCTGGGATGCCCAGCCAGGGAAAGGTGGGGCATGATGAACGTTGAAGTTGTTTCAGCAATGTCCAAATATGGCCCTGTTCTGGGAAAATGGGTCTTTGCTTGTTTTGAGGAGACAGCAAAAACTTTGTCGAAAGCAGCACGCCTGCTCTGAAAACACTAACAAAGCTGAGAACATAAGAGGCTCCTCTTTTGCAAACACAGAGCATAATAAAATGGAGAGAAGCAGGAAAAGTGAGCTGCTAAGCTTCCACTGACATTTGACTGCCCTGTGCTTCACTCGTATCAGAGAGCAAAACCCTTTAAAAATGAATGTGTGACATTCTACAATCCACACCTTGAAAAAATATCACACAAATCCCTAGCACCAGCAAAGAACTTTGCTTACACCACTTCCCTAGATAAGAAAATAAAATAAAAGGGAGAAAAACAGATTACTGTAAGAAGGAGCTTTAGTTTTCTTTCTCTTCTCCAACTCAAAGAAGAAAAAAAAAATCCTAACAACTAAATCATTTTGCAAAGAGGTTTTTCTTCTCTGAAACAACATGCTTATGGTAAGTACTACCCATCTTTCAAACTTAATTAGATTCCAAAAAAAGAGGTTCTCCTTCCAACCTAGTCTACCAGGCTCTATTTATGCCCAGAACATGTCAGAGTGGCATTTACAGGCAAGTTCAAGCACACAGCTGAGCCCCAGCCTTCAGGAGATGGGCAGCTTGGCCACTTATACTTGTTTGGAAAGAAGGGTCAAAGAGAGCTAAATCCTTTGCCTATGTCTGTGGGAAAAGCCTGTTTTAAAGAAAGATAATCCAGATCAGGAGAGCACAGATTTATGGAAAAAAACTTGGATGTTTGCTGCAAACTTTTGAACAAACACACGTATCTCATCTGCTCAGCCAGCTAGGGTTCAGCCATTTACAATTGGTGGCTCCAATCCAAGTCCAGAGCTGTTCAAATTGGGTGCATCATCCCAGGGGGCCCACTCAGATCTCCCCAAACCCCGTGGTGTATCCACTTGTGCAGATGAAGATGCAAAGAGGGGAGCAGTCCTTGAGTGATGAAGCAAAAAGCTGGTGTTTAATGATGTTAACAGCTTTGCTTCCAGTGTTCAGCAGCGTTGGCACATCCAGATTTAGGAGCTGAGAGCTGCAGACATGGGAGCCCCTGCTTTTTTTCTGCTCTGGTACCTGGGGTAACTAAAATAGCCTTGAAGTGTTTTAACCCTGCCGTGTGGATCTTTTAATCCTGATGGTTTGCTAATCATGCATGCCTGTGTGAATTCCTTGGCAACAAGAATTCAAATCACTCAGTGGGAAACACTAATCCAAAATGCAGAAATCCTTAATAACAAGCACTCTGGACTGCTGGGGTGAGCCACTACAGACCATGACTCCAATGGTTGAAAATGGTGAGTCAAAAGGGGCAACTTCCTCATTAAGTTGAAATTAAATTATACGTGGCAATAATTATCTGTAAGTCCCCATTGCCTGGTATCTTTTCAGAAATGCCAACAAGCTACAAAGAGCAGGAATTGGCAAACTTGTTTTGTCTTTGAGTGAATGAGCAACAACATTTCTGCATGTCCTAGGCAGGAAAAAAATAACCCCAAACCCAAGCCCCTTAGTCCCCAAAGGCCTGCTTACAAAAGCCCTATGCAAAGGAGTTCTACCTGGTCCTGTAGAAGACAGAGAGGCCCCTAAAACATTGGCTTGAATGCCTAAAAAGAAAAGGTGACATGAGTTTAAAGTTCTCAATCTACCTCGCACACACAACCCAGGTCTGCATCTGAAAACGCCACAATTTTTCTTTCCACAGCGCCTTATCAGTTTCCACCTTTCTCCCTCTCTGTTCCAAGAATGTAAAAATTCTCCATCTAAATTTAGAGGGAAAAGGAAGACAGATCTCTTTTGGGGATTTCAGAGCTAAGCTTGCCAGACACATCAAGGGGCTCTCAGTTTCTAAACGTGCCTTTTCTGCTGCCGTTCTGTGTCTGGAGAGAGTGGCAGCACAGGACTAAGCCTATTTGGTCCTTACCATCATTATAATTCATAGAAAAGATTAGAAAATCAAATGACTAGCACTTTCCAGAATGTTAGGGATGTGACTTAAAACCCACAGCTAGGTAGAGGTTTATTTCCCAGCACGTCAAAAAAGCCTTTTGGAAATGGAAAAGCATTTATCTAGAAATGCTGTTCCCAAAAATAGGGCGCTCCAAGAGATCCCTGTGAATCACTGACATGCCATGCTATGACATGGCTCCTGCTGTCCCCACTGCCCTGCACAGAGCCACTGCAACACCCCAACAAAGCTGCTCTGGGAGCATCAGTGTCAGTCATGGGGTGGCTGCATGCCCAGAGTGTCCCCAGCACAGCTGACACCCTCATGGAGCAGACACTTCCCCACTCATGCAATATGCAGCTGAAAAGGGGAGGGAACAAAGGACCAGGCAGATATTGGGAGGAAGAGTCTGATACAATCGACACAGAATGTCAGGATGTGAATAAAATGATCTTAATGCTGGTTTACATCCAAGGGTAAGAGAAATGTGGCAAGAAGGAAGCAGGAGTCCATGGATGGAGTTTACTGGGTTGCTCTTTTCAGTTTGGAAATGAAAAGATGATGTTTGCAAGCATCATACACACACAGGAGGGATGAGACAGAAAGATGCTCAAAGCTGAGTGCAAAAATGAAACCAGCTGTATAATCAGGCAGTTGATGCTGACCCCACTAAAGCAAGGAGAAAAGCCATTGGCAGTGAACACAAGTAAGTGTGAATTTGAGGGGAAAAAAATGATGGAGATTTGATTTGGTTATTTTTTGAAACTTCTACTCATATCAGAGACTAGACATAAAATCTGAAACACTATATTAAAATTGTGGGAGTTCTACTTAAACAGTCAAGGAATGCAAACTTGGTATCAAGCACAAACCATTTACTGCCACAGGCATTAATCAGGAAGCTCCAGCAATATTTTCTGTTAGAACTATCTGCAGGATCAGATTCCTGTTTCATGGAGGTTTGGATGACTGTCAGGGATTATTTTTTAAAAGCAGCCTCAAACTCTTCTCTAACTTTTTCTATCAATTCCACATGCATGAACATTAAATCTGTAACTGCCACTCCTGGAGAACTCTCGTGCATGTACGTTGACAGATTTAATTTTAGATGTTTCCAAGGATGGATTTTGTACACTGTGGTGTAGATTTGCATGCACAGGTAATTTAGACATTAGGTACAGATCATGTAAGTTAAATGTGAAATTTCCCCCTACAGACACAAATTGCATATTGCCCTCATTTTCAATAAGCAATTTGAGAAAAGAAAAAAAAAATATTAAAATTCCTTTTAGAAAATCATGTGTAGCAAACTCCTAGGAGTACACCTGTAATTTATGATGGAATCTGCTCCAATTGAAGGCAGGCAGTGATGAGCCATGCAAATCCCAGGGAGCACTGGTGAAACAGCAGATCTATTGGAAAGGATCTCCGTGCCCTAAACCTGTGGTAAATGACAAATCCAGTTTGGAAGAATGATTTCCTGCTGGTTTGAAAGTAAGGGCATGGCACTGTAACTGGTGATCACTAACTGGGGGATCCTGTTGCTCTGACTGAGGATTGGAGAGGGCTCTGCTGCCAACGCTGCTCTTCAAATCAGACATGTGCCACAGGGGCTCACACAAAGGACACCAAAGGTAAAGCTGGAAACGTGATCTACAAGCAAAGGCCAAAGGAAATGTGAACCTTTAATCTAGAGAAGAGGAAATCAGATAGGGCTGATAGGTTTTTAGACATGAAGAGACACCAGAGGGGAGTTGTTCTCATGTCACAGACGTGTTTTATGAAAAATCCTTTCTTTTGGATTTTTTCTCCTCAGAAGCTGAGAGGCCTCAGGAACAAAAAGTAACCAATGGTTATCTGCTGCTGTGGAATGCAACAGGTGCATCTGGGATTGGTCTCATGTGGTTGTTTCTAATTAATGGCCAATCACAGCCCAGCTGCCCAGACTGTCTCAGTCAGTCACAAGCCTTTGTTATCGTTCTTTCCTTTTCTATTCTTTGCCAGCCTTTTGATGAAATCCTTTCTTCTATTCTTTTAGTATAGTTTTAAGATAATATATATCATAAAATAATAAATCAGCCTTCTGAAACATGGAGTCAACTGTTGTTGTTATTCTAATTCTCTAGAGTCTCACATTGCTGTAATCAGATTTCTAAAGCCCATACCTCTTTGGCATATTCTCATGGCTGCAGCTCTTCACTGACTTTTTCTTCTGCACACTGTTCTCTCTCAGCTCAGGGCCCCTCCAAGGCTCTCCCTGGCTCACCCCCTCTTATCCCAGTAATCTCCATTGGTCACAGCTGCAGCCCAGTTAAGGACATGGCAGCTGCAGCCCATCAAGGACAACCGGGACCTCTGGGGCAAAGCCTCTATACAGATATTCTAATACAATACATTTCCTCTACTATAGCCAACATTCTCATCTCTTCCCTCATGCTCAGACCCCTGTGAACACCCTCACATTTTTGCTGCCTGCAGGGGCTGGGAAGCTCTGGGCAAGGCTGCTCATCCTAAACTGGGGGAGAGCTCCCTGCAGGAGGAGCTGCCCATCTCTGAGGCCAGGGGGGCAGGCAGGCAGGGAAATGCTGGTCCCTAGAGGGGTGTGAGCAGAGCCAGAGGAGCAGAGCTCGGGCACTGCTCTGTCACACACCTGCTCCATGCTCTGCATTAAGTGTGTGCTTCCTCTCCTGCCCCTGCTGAACCTGCTTTTAACACCTGCTCTGCTGAAGCCAGGCTGTGGCAGGAGGAGAGGGAGCTGCTGTAGTAAAGGTGTAGTAAAGGTGTAGTGAAGAGCAAAGGCCAATGTCACAGAGCAAACTTCACAGGGCAGGAGAAAGTGAAGTAGAGATAAGTCAAAAGAATGCCCTGAGTGTTTTGCACTGTGGGTGTACAAGCACAGGCTCTTGAGAGTATGATCTAAGCTTCACTTGATCAAATTAATCACTGCTTGTGGGGGATTTATTTTTTTAATATTTACTTTTTAGTTTTACTTACAAGCAGACTTTAGACAAGCCAGGTGCACGTGGGAGCCATGCAGTATTAGTCTCTGCTGGTACAGACACCCACAAACCCTGCCCTCTGCAAGGCTGAGGCTTGCAATCACCATACAGACACGTTCTAAATATCATCTCATCTGCTTTCTGCATTTTGATATAATATTTTTTAATTTACTTTCATTAGACAAGCATAGCCACTGATTAATGATCCTGTTTTTCCATCATCTGATGAGAAAAGCACCTAATGAGAATGTTTCTTCTTAAAATCCTGATTTAGGAAGCTGACCTGTGCAGGCAGATCCCACCATCCATGGAAATACTTGGAGATATTTATGTGTGAATGTGGTTCTACAGAGGTACACTTCTAAATAAAATAAAGGGATGTTTTTCTTCTCAAATGTCCCACAGATGGTGGCAATAAATTCAGCATAAATTTTGTTATCTCAAAAAAAATCTAAGTATAAATTTAGCTTAATAACCTTTGCAATCTCTCCCATGTAAAGAAACTCCCAGCCAAAACCACCCAACAATTAAAACTGGTGTGAAATTCCAAGTGGGAGTTGAAGGGGCTTCCTACATTGCAATCATGTCCCTGGAGCTCTGGGCAGTTCAGGGAAAAGGAAAACATCTTGGCCATTGAGTACCCTTTTCTAATAAATAACATCAAAGTGAGTGCTTGTAACACATACATGAATCTCTGTATTTCCAGAAATTCTTCCCTGGTCTCATATTGCTCTTGATTAAATTTCATTCTGCAGCCATTACCCAGCCCAGGAGAAAGAAACAAACCAAAACAAACAACCCACACACAGAAAACATTTCCATTTATTTTCCTGGTGAGCAAATAATAAAATCATGATTTGGATTGCTGCAGTTGAAAATACTGTTGCAAAAGAGGTGTCTGTCACTAGATGCAAACCCTTCAGTAAACTGGATGAATTGCTGTCTGTGTTTTACAGCTTCAGCTGGGAATAAAACCAAACCAAGCCTGACTGGGCTGATATCTTACACTGCACATTAAAATTAAGTGCAGAGAGACAGCAGCAATTCTGTCCCTTCCTTAGACACCATTTGTGTTGGTGTAAATACAGAGTAACTCCTCTAGAAAGGTTCAGGCATCACCCCAGGCAAGGAGTGCTCCAGGACAAGAACTCCTAATTTCATCTCTTTCTCCTCACAGGATCTCAACCCATGAGCAATCACCTTTGCTGATGGGTAAACTGAGGCACACAAGATGATGGTGACCCTGCACAGTGAGTTCCAAGTCAGGAATCGAGGCCTCCTGGGTTGTATTTCCACTTAAAGCGTGTTAAAGATCTTTATGGCCTTCTCTTTCATCCTTTCCTATGTGATGGAGGAAGTTTTTAATCAAGTGTTGCTATACAAGAGTCCCATAACTATTTACCTAATAACTATGCATGCCCAAATAGCTGCTCCTATAAGTGAATATTTTGGACTGGTCTCACCAGTCAGAGCTGCAGGTACTCAACCATCTCACAGAATCAGATTTTCCAGTCCTGACGTGCAGCAGAACACAAGAGTGGCTGAGGGCAGAACTCCAGTCTAGAGATGACCAAAATGCTGTGGCCTGTCTCTGAACAGACCAGGTACCCCTCAAAAAAGTCTCTGTGACTTTAATAGAATTATCATTATAGAACTGTTTGGAATTTAATAGAATTATCATTATAGAGTTATCATTACAGAGCTCTTTGGAAGAGTTAGGATAGGAGATTTTGGTCCCTAACAAGAAGAAATGCCTGTACAGAAGATGACAAAGGCTTAGGAGGAATTATCTGAAAGTAGACAAGAATTGCTCTAAGAAACACAGCTTTGAAGTCCAGAAACTGAAACCAAACATGAAGGGATACAGTCCATATGGTCACATTTAAAGATCTGCCAGCAGATCTATTTGGGAACCAGCTTTTCAATACTGGTAACTCATTCAACTGAATTTTGCTTCAGGACTAAATAATTCATGCAAGGTCATAGCATAGAAACCAATTCTTTTTTAAAAAAAAATCAGTATATAACCATATTGCTGCTGTTATTTCCACAACATTTCAAATAAACTGAAACCCAACCTCTCTGCTCATAAGAGTCCAGAGCAATTTGAATCAAGTTTGGGTAAGAATTGCACAGTCCTTAGCAATTCCAATGAAATACCCTATTTCATGTGAAACTTGAGACACAAAACTCAGTAGAACTTCACTGTATGCTCCTTCATGGGCTCTCCTGCTTCCTCCCCTCACTACTGGAACATCCCCTTTTACCTTGATTGGTGCTCAAGGGGGAAAAAATCCAAAGCAGAGCTTGGTTTTCCCAGTGCAGGGAACAGAGCAGATGTGAGCCAAGCAGGCAGGGCCTGGTGCATGTCACAGACACTTTTTATGAAAAATCCTTTCCTCAGGAGCTTTTCCTCCTGAGAAGCTGAGAGGCCTCAGGAACAAAATGTAACCAATGGTTATCTGCTGCTGTGGAATGCAACAGGTGCATCTGGGATTGGCCCATGTGGTTGTTTCTAATTAATGGCCAATCACAGTCAGCTGGCTCAGACTCTCTGTCTGAGCCACAAGCTTTTGTTATCATTTTCTTTCTTTTTCTATTCTTAGCCAGCCTTCTGATGAAATCCTTTCTTCTATTCTTTTAGTCTAGTTTTAATATAATATATATCATAAAATAATAAATCAGCCTTCTGAACCATGGAGTCAGATCCTCATCTCTTCCCTCAGACCCCTGAGAACACGGTCACAGGGGCTGGCAGTGTTCATGGTGAGGTCACTGCTGATGTGGTGCCTCCAGCTTGCAGAGCTGTCCCTGGGACATCACCAAAGCTCAGAGTGAGCTCTTGGCAGAGCATTTTGTGTGTGGTACTGGGCAGGAAAAGCTCTGTGAATTCTGCAAGCCGAGTTCCAACCTCCAGTGGCTCCTGTGAACACTCAGCTTGCCTGATGGCACCTCTGCCTTTTCCCTGGTGTGATGTGCTGCATGGTGGGCATCTGCCTCATTAAACCTTATTAAAGCCCTTCCTTCTGCCTCTGCTGCAGCTCATTGCAACCCCAGGCTAGGGTGACCCTCCTGATGGTTTTCTTTTCTCTTTTCTTGAGTCACTGCACTGCTCCCTGAGGAAAAAGGGTCTAGCACATTGACCCACAGCAAACAGACCCCTTAAGGACCCCTGTGCTTGCTCTGGCAGAACAATCCTCAGCTGACTGCTTAAAGCAATGTTGTGCAGCTGTAAAATGGGTCACAGAGGGCTTGGAAGTTGATTCATCTTTTTAAACACACAGATCTCAAAATAAAATAAAGCAGGGAACATGCTGACCACATACTGCCTGCTGGAAAAAGACAGAATGATAATGGGAAACCTGGCATTGGATTTCTCAGGCAGTGATGCTACTGGTTGTAAGGAAACCAAACAGTAAAACATGAGAAATGTGCAGAAGAGGAAAGGTTCTCTCAATAAATTCAAATAGCTCATAGCACCTTTGGGTTAGAAGCAGCCCCTTCTTTACACTTAGTTAACCTCCTCTTTAATCTGACTACTTGAGGTCAAATTCCATTCTGGGTGAACCAGTGGGAGGCCTAGAGGAAATGGAGTTACTCTGCATTTACAATTACATTACTGGGCAAAGTCAAGACTCCTGATGGTGTCCTAAGGCTCCTCACATGCTTGGAAAGGAGGAAAGGTTCCTCTTTCAAGAGCTTCCTGACAGGTCATGGAGAAACAAAATCCCTCCAAGCAGTGGTGGGTAGGGATCCTCCTTTGCCCTGTTCTTTGGACATAAAGCAACTCATATGGAAAAGAAATCCTTTGCCCTGTTCTTTGGACATAAAGCAACTCATCCAGTTAAAATGGCAGCACATCAACCCTCTCATTCTGCTGACCTGCTGAAACCTTCCAGAAAAAAGCACCCAGATGAGACAAGGAGGAACTGCAGGGAGGGGCAAAGGAGGCAGATCCTGGAGCAGCAGACCAGGAGGGGCTGTCAGGGCTGCTGTGGCCCTCTGACAGCTCAGTGGGTTTCAAGCCCTGACAAGCCTGGCAGGTTCTGGGGAAAGGATTGGTGTCAGTGACAGAGCTGCTGTGAGAGCTGGAGAGGGCAGAGCTGCTCCTGTCCCCAGCAGCAGCTGCCTTCCCATCCCTGCCATTCCTCTGATGGCAGCACAGGCCTCAGCTCACTTCTCCAGGACTTTTTGCTCACATCATTGATCCAGCCCTCTCCTCCCCCAGCTCCTCAGACAACCATTAGCATGGCAGAAACAGCTTGGCCCTGATTGCTTCCCAGCCCCTCAATCTTTAGGCAACAGATGGCCCTGGAAGTACTGATGTGTGAAGCATTTTCATGTGCCTTAACAACTGCCTTAATTATGCAGCATTGTCATTAGGACTGGACAGGTGATTTAGATCTGAATATCTGAACCACTTCATCATCCAATGATCTAAACCAACACTCAGAACCTGGCAGCTCCAGGAACAGGGATGTTTGCTGGGATAATGGCAACTCCCAGTTGTCAGAAACCTTAAGGTTTTTAAAAAGCTTACATCCATGGCTGAGAAATTCCCAATAATCACGTTCAGGTGTGAATTTCCCTGAAGCGTGGCTACAAGCAATGGACAATTAAAAAGGTGCTCTGTATTTGTTTCATTAGCATTTACAGGATCATAGAATCATTTATGTTGGAAAAGATTTCCAAGATCATCAAGTCCAACTTCCAGCACTGCTGTGTCCATCCCTAAACCCTGTCCCCAAGTGCCACATCTACACAACTTTTAAATAAATGCCTCAGTGGTGACTCCATCACTTCCCTGGGCCACATGTTCTGGTGCTGGACAGCCCTTTTGGTGAAGAAATTTTTCCTGATATCCAATCTAAAGATGAATATCCAGTTTGAAGAGTTATAAACCATAACTGACAAGTCTGTGGACATTCATATGTTTGCAGGCACAGCTACAGGTGCAGTGGGAAAATGGGGAAAACATAATAGCATGCAACTGGGAAAATAAAACACATTCTGCTGGAAAGACAAGGATAAATGGAGAGGTAAAAAAAAAATTAAAAACAAAAAAAGAAGAAAGAAAAAATAAAACAAAGCACAAAATTACCACAGGGTGAACATGCTCAAAAAACCTCATCTCCAGTCAAGTACTTACAAGTAATAGGAGTAGGAATATGCATTTCTTCTAAATATTGATGGCCAGTCAGATGAACAAAATATCCAAAAGGAGAAAAAGAGAAAAGCACATAATTAGATTTAGATGAACTCCAGGTTTCTTTTTCAATATACAAAGTATTTGTTCTGCTGTTTTCTGTACTGAGATCCTGTTGGCCTACACTTGTTTCAGGACATGTACATTGGTGAGGAACAAATAGAAACTGAACTGGAGACAGTTCACCATGAATAAATCCTCTCACCTTTAATTTCCTCACTTTATCATGTCAGTACCATGGGCAAATAGATTTAATTTTGCCTCTCAAGTGCTTTGATATTTTTGAAATGGAAAGAAAGATGTCAGAGCTATTAATACAAATAACAATAAATAGGGAAGTGACAATGTAAGAACGCCACAATTTTGGAATATTTAGACAATGAGCAAATTGTCTAATGATAAATCAAGCTTCATCAAACTCTAAAATGCAAATAGTTCATTAACAATTCAAGCATCACTCCATATTTATAGCTGAGCACTGGGGGCATGCATTAGCTTTCTGCATCACTGTGATTAAGCATTTTCTACCACAGTTTCTCAACAATTCATTTCACAACATTTTCAGCAGCACTACAAACTGAGCCTTGGCATTCAATTGTAGCTTAAGAAGTTATATTTACCCTTTCATAGCTGGAAAGGGGCCTCTCTGAAAAGACTGGCTCATGATAGACCTAGCCCAGGGTATTTAGAGATTTACCACCAGCCACAAGAAGCCACAGAAGCAGCAGCAGTGGTCAAGACAGAGAAAATTAAACACAAACTTCAACTTATTTCACATCTTTAAAAATCCCATCCTTGAAGATCCTAGGATGACTAGGAATCACTTAGAAATACAAATGCAGCTGTCAAATGTTCACTTTTATGGTTGCTCTGAACACAACTTCTATGAGCACAGGTGAAACCAGGTTCATCTCAGTCCCTCTGTGCTGTGCACACGTGGGGTAAAGAGCTCATGAGGGTTAAACTGAAGTGCCATGGTTGTCCTGATGATGGCCTGTGCTAGAAACCTGCTCTTTTGGCCAGATTCCTGCTGCATGCCACATTATTGGGTTGCTGTGGTTGAGATGACCCCGAGGTGTCAGAAATTCTCTTTTTTCCCAGCCCCGTGACCGAAGAAGTCAATATTCCTCGGTTCTGCTTTTCAAGGTTGTTTATTTTCTCTTATCTGTTCCATTCTTTCTCTGAGCTGCTGAGATCTGTCCAGCAGGTCAGGTTGTGGCACAGTCCCTGCCCTTGGGGTGGTGTTGGCTTTTTATACTAAGAACTACATGCACTTTATTTACAATAATTTTCCAATACCTGTCACCTATGTTAGACAGTTTGTCTCTACTCTAAACCAATCCAAAAGTGCCACCATCACAGCAGAAGATGGAGGACAAGAAGAAGGACAGAACATACCCAGATTCCTCCATCTTGCCTCTTGAACCCCCATTCTAAATCCCCAAAATTCTACTTTTTCACCCTGTCACAAATTCACTGTCATTCTATTCAAACTCTTGTGCCTTGTAACTCTTCACACAAAGTTGGGAATTGTTTCCATGGGTTAAAATCAAAGGCATGGGTGTCTTTGACTCTGTGCCAAGGTCTCTGAGCCCCCTGCCAGGGTCTCCAATCACCCAGGGCAGCCAGAGGGATGTTCTGGGTCCTGGCACCACATTATTTGAAGGGCACTGATTCCATGATGCACTCAGATGTATTTTAACTAAATGCTATTATCTCCTGAAGGCAGCAGTTCTACAGGCCCTAGAAATGCACCAGTTAAGGTGCAACGATTGCCACTGAGCTTCCCTGTGAAAATCCAAATTCCACTCAGCCTCTAAACAAAGGGAAACATGACCAAGATGTAGAAAATGAGAGCACAGGCAGACGAACCCCTGAAATCCCCAAAATTATTCCATTAAACCAAGCCTTGGGAGAGGCCAGGACCTGGGCTCACACAGCTCTATTGACTGGAAGTGTTCCCTTGAACATCCTGCTGTTCTTTCTGCTGCTCTCCTGTCTGGGCCACAGACATCTGGGATCCCACCAGACTCTCAGCCCTCATTAAAAAGCTGCACATCCCTCCAGGTTGCAGAGGAAAGCTCAGAAAGGTTTGCTCCATAAGGATAGAAAATAAAGAAAGACCAACAAAAGGAGGACTGTGTTTTGAAATTGGACATTTTGGCTCAAATTCTTCCAAAATATGCAGCCTGAAATAAGGACTTACTAAAGAATATTTCAAAGTTTAACTGTGAGAACTGGTCAGAGTGATGGTTCAGTAAAAACAACACAGCCCAAAGCCCTGCCTGTCTCCCACCTGGAACAGGGACACAGGAGGACACAGGTCACTGAATGAGCAAATGTCCCTTTTCCTAATTCTGTCCTACAGCTTGGGTATGTTCTGCCCAAGAGGCTTTGGGGTTTTATTTAATTAGTTTAAGGTAACCACCTAAATCCTAATCCAGAATAAGGAGCTGAATTTTCATAGGAGGAAATAATCCCAGACCCTACATAGCCCCAAATCTCCTTTTTTGCTAGCGACAGCAGTTTAAAGAACTTATTTACAGTGCACCCATGACCAGCTGTCTGATCCTATTTATTCAGTCTCATATTTAAAGGGGTCAGGGGAGGCTTTGTCTGCTCAAACACAGCAGCCTGAGAGGTGTCACATTCTTCACTCCAGGGTAACACAAGTCACGATTACACCAGAATTAAAACTGCCCAGATGAAATCAGAACAGACCAAAATCAAATACTTTGGGGAGGGGCAAAGTCAAAGGGTATTTTCTCCTGAAAAATATCTTTTTTTTTTTCTTGTTTCCTTTTGTTTTTACAAAATGATTTTGTATATTCTGTTACACAAATTTAAATATTTAATATATTTATATTAATATATTATATATAATATTATTATATATTATATATTATATTTATAATATTATATATTATATATTATACATTATATATTATATATAATATTATATATAATATTATTTATAATTATATATATAATATTAAAATAATATATTTTAATATATATTTAATTAAATAAATGTTTAAATAATATTAAGGAAAAAACAACAAGCTCCTTAGAGAATTAGAACTATTTTCATACAATAAAAATGAGATGTTTCAGGATCTGTATCTGTTAATGAAATAATGTGCTTGTGCCTTTTGTGAGCACATACATCCGTTTAGGCACGGATAATCACCTCTAAATTAACAGGTTAAATTATCACAGAATCAGAGTGATTTGGGTTGGAATGGACCTTAAAGATTATTCCAATCCCCCTGCCATGGCAGGGACACCTTCCACTGTCCCAGGCTGCTCCAAGCCCTGTCCAACCTGGCCCTCCATGGATGCAGGGGCAGCCACAGCTGCTCTGGGCACCCTGTGCCAGGGCCTGCCCACCTTCAGAGTGAGGAATTTCTTCCTGATATCCAATTTAAATTTAATCTCTTTCAGTTTGAAGCCATCCCCCTTTGTCCTGTCCCTACATGTCCTTGTGTGAGGTTTCTCTCCATTATGTTGCAGCAATTTTTGTATTTCATATACATGCAATGATGATACTATGGCTTAACTCCTGGAGTTAGTGGGTTCCCAAAACCAAGAAAGCAAACTGTTAATGGTTTTGACTTTAAATATTGTAAGACAGTCATATTTAAAACAGAAATCTATATGTACACACAATTTTGACATAAATATATAGATACAGAAACTTTAGCAGGTTTTTGACAACCCTAAGTTTCAACTAAATCTTTCAGACAACAAACATAACATCAAAACCAAATTTTCCACTGTATAAATGCACTGGTTAGGTTAATTTAGCTTCACATATCTGACTGAACCCTCTACAACTTTATCAGCCCCCAGAAAGTTTTGAGTTCCCGGAATTTTTGCAATGTGTTCTGCTGAAACTGTGAGCAACTGAGCACTGCTGGCTCGTGCTGTGTGTCTGAAAGGTTCCAAGCACTGTGCTGTCAACCTGGTGAGTCCCACAGAACAAAAAGAGCCTCCTGATGATACCAATGCTTGTCTCAAACCAAGGCTTCTCCTCTTCTAATCCCTCTCCTTCCTCTGCTCTCTGTTAACAAAATGCTTTATCAGGAAATCCTGTGCCTGTTCCCAATGAGCTGTGATGCCCTGGACAATGGGCAAATGTCACTGGGATATTTTCCAGCTCCATTTGAAGACAGAATCTCAAGTTCAGCTCATTAAATGTTTTTTCTGAATTGTTGCTTTGAAAGACTGCACTATTTGTACACTTGGTGCACTGGGAAGGGACCTGTTTTTAAAATGAGGCTAATGCAAACATGGAATGCAAGAGCTTAAGCTCCAAATGCTTCTGTTTGCAAAATAAAAGGAGAACTCTGCTGTTAAACTGCTCTCTCAGAAGAGCTCAAGCTTTCAGCTCTGCTCCTCCACAAGTTCCAATCAATTTGTGGCCCAAATCAGCTTCTCCTTTTTTAAAAGCTGGTCCCTGCCCACACTAGTTTACAAATGCAATGAGCCTGACAGGCTGAGGCTCATCCTCAGGGAACGTTGTCCATATGCAGCTCTGAGCCCCAGCTGGACGTGGCTGGTGGTGCCCATCCAAGGCAGCCCAGGAGGGATGGGATCAGCAGCTCTGCAGGTGCTGGAGGTGTGCTACCAAACCCCCTCCTGCACACACAAATTCTAAATGGGAAAAGGTTTTAAAGTCAATGAGCCAGTTTATTCCTTATTTCAGTGCATCTTCCAGCAGGTATCCTTGCAAATTGCAGCAAACAGACCCAGACTGCAGGGATTCTGCTTGTCTGCCCTGGGAGGGGCTGTGGAACAACACAGAGGAAACTGTAATTTTCCAGCTCTAGGGAAAAAAAGGGGAGAATTTAGATTTCTAATACTCCCACTCACCTCCTTTCCAATGTTAACTTTGAAGAAAATTGCCCAGGTTTACAGAGCCTATGGCAAAACCAGCCAGAGCAAGGCTCTGTATGTGGGGCATCACACCCAAATTCAGCAAACATTGCTGCTCCAGGGGCCTGGCACGCTCAGCTGAAGGTCCTGGGCACTGTCCCAGGGGCCAGCTCAGCTCAGCAGGAGCTTGGGATCTTTCACACAGAGCAAATGGATCCTCAGTGTCCAACCTCTGGGACTCTCTCTGCATTAGGAGTAGTTTTACTTGAGGGTTTGTCTGTGTAATCTGGGAGATAATAACTTAGGCTGCAGCAGTCATGACAGCCAAAGCATCAGAAAACTCAAGTGTTGGAAAAATGGTGGGGATGAAGCAGCCACAGCTTCTCTGGGCACCCTGTGCCAGGGCTTCACCTCTCTCACAGGGAAGAATTCCTTCCTAATGTCTGATATAAACCTGCTCTCTGTCAGCTTGAAGCCATTCCCCCTGTCCTGTCACTCCAGGCCCTTCTGAGCTGTCTCTCTCCATCTTTCTTGCAGGCTCCCTACAAGTACTGGAAGGCCACAGCTGGGTCACTCCAAACCTTCTCTTCCCCAGACTGAACAATCCCAAGTCTCTCAGCCTTTCCTGGTAGGAGAAGTTCTCCTTTTATCCCCTTTATCCCATGCTACTTTGTGACTTATGCCTTGACATTAATTATAAATTAATTATCATTATCTCTTTGCAGTAACAACCATTCTTTTGTTGCTGGATCTCCCAGAACTGGAATTTCCTCTGGACCCTTAGTGTCAGTGATATGTACACAGGCATTAACTGCTGCTCTCTGTCACACATTAAGAATGTTTATCTTTATTTATTCTTCCTTTGGAAACTACCACAAGAGGTCCAAGATGGAAGCAAAGCAGAAACTTACCTTCTTTTGATGGTAAGCATTGCTCCCAAGAGGATAATAACAAACATCAGGAGACCAGCTATAACTCCAGCCATCTTCACCGTGCTGTCAACTTGCTTTTCAGGTTCCACTGCGTTGGAATTCTGGGTGGAAGCTCCTTAAAAGATGGAGAGAGAGGAAGGACAAGATAAAAAAAAAATAATAATTTCTAGGCAAACTGTGCAATGATCCACTTAAAATATTCATTTGAAAGCCTAACAACATATTTGCAATCAAATTGCAATAGACAATTGTCCATCTAACCAAATCTGCCTTTAATGAGGGCTAATGACAGATAATTCAGAGCAGTAATAGGGTGTAAAATCCCAGTGTAGCACAGATGACTCTAATATTTTACTAAGTTTTACTGTAATGGGGCATTTACTCTTCTGAAGCACTCAGCATGCACCCAGAAACAGGAGAACAACAGTTCTAATTTTAATCTCAAATAGTTTAAATGGACTTGAAATCCTTACTCGTTGAAATAGTGAACACAGTAACATGTAATTATAATAATTCTTCTGGCAGAAACTTTTTTCCCTCCAAAATCAGCTCACATTTGTCTTTCTCAGTGTATTGGAGGCCTGGCTTTTTTAATCATCCCATTACACATATACATGTAACAAGCATTAATCCAAGATATAGAGCAGCACCCTCCACACAGAATCATGGAATGATTTGAGAAGGAAAGGACCTTAAAGCCTATCTCATTCCAACCCCCTGTCTTGGGCAGGGACACCTTCCACTGTCCCAGGCTGAACCTTGGAGCTCCATCCAGCCTGGCCTTGGACACTTCCAGGGATGCAGGGGCAGCCCCAGCTTCTCTGGACAGCCAATTCCAGTGCCTGAGCACCCTTTACCATCACACACCAGGCATGACTTCTTCAGCCCAAACCAGAGAGCATAATTTCTGTTTGAAATTTTAGGGGGTTTTGGTTTGGTTGGTTGGTTTTTTTAACAAGCGAAATCTACACACCTGAAAATAAACCATATTTAGGAGCATTATTTGCACAGCATTTCTGCTCTAACTGAGCACCTTGGAGACAGCTGCCCTCTCCCCTATTGCTGAGACCTCATTAGTCCTCATTACAGCCCTTAGCTCTGCTGACTTCACTGCTTGCTGCACAGAATATTTCCAGATATAGCTTAAGCCACTGAGCTTGATTTAGAAAGCCCCACCAGATTTGACTCATGGCTACTCTAAAGACTAAATAAGCCTATCTTCATTATATTCCTGTTACACTTAACTACTCCTAAAAATATCCCCACTGCAGTTCACAAAGTTAAATGAATTCATGTTACATGAGATCCACTCTTATCTTAGGCTTCACCTTTGCTGCTGCAGTCAGCCAGGTCTTCCTCTGCAGCTTAAACATGGGCAAAGGGAATCAAAGGTGAACACAGAGGGCTGACATCAGAAGACCATAATGTTTTGCTCTTTTAACAGCTCTGTGCTGCTGATCTTCAGGAAATCTGAATCACTTCTGTTCAAAGTCCCTTGCTGGGGAGATAATACCCAGTCCAGTCCATGTGTTGGTGAGACAGCAGTGTTACTGTCACTGGGGTGGGGTTTTGCCTCTTTGCCACAGGTTAAACTGCACATGCTTTAAGAGATGAGGCAGTGATAAAAGCATGATTTCACTTCTCCTACAGCTAAGCTGTTAATCTAGTTTATTCAGAGCAAAACACAAAATTTACCAAGCAAAAGGGGCTGGCTCTTGGAATCACAAGTATCATTTTCAGCTTTTGCCCCTGACAACTCTACTATTCTGCTGCATTCACCAATTTGCCCATTCAGTTAAGAGTTCACTGATAACTTCTGTGCTCACAGGTCTGAAATGCATTAATGGGACTCCTGAGCATGAAAATAAAATAAGGGATCAGTTGCATATTTCCATCTTCATTTGACAAGCTCTCCCACAATCCTGCAGCAAATGTGTGCAAGAGGTGAGTTATACACCATCAGACAGGCAATCCCCACACTGTCACACAACAAAGGCAATGAGAAAGGTACAATTTCTCCCTGAAAATGGCTAAAACTCTATTCATTGAAGTGAAAGTCAGAAGTACTCCAAATTATCCTTCAGCTGAGCTGCAGTTACTCTTATGACCCTAAATAATAGCTGCTGGAGAATGGCTTTCTACTATAAACAGCACAATCAGACGCCCCTCATTTTTGTCCCATCTGAATGCCCTCATGAAGTGTGAGCTGTGCTAGAAGAAATAAGAATGTGCTGTCAACTCCATCTTCTGATCCCCCAGATTGGTTTGATTTTGCCAGGCTGCTGCTCGTTACTGCGGGCAATGTGTGGTCAGAGTGTTTTGATCTGGTATTTCCCACCCCACTGCAGGCTCCTGCAGTTCCAGGAGGAGAAGAAAGGCTCATTATCCATCCTGACACCTCCACACAGTGGTGACTGATTCACTCCAATCTTCTGGGCACCTCTATCTCTCTTGGCAAAGGCCACCAATTCCTTTAGGCTACCAGCCCAACCATTTGTAAGTTGTCTCAGCTAATAGTGCCTAGGAATGGAGAATGTGACAGTGTCAGCAAATTCCTGGCTCTGGGATTCTCCAAGCCTTGCAGTGAAACATGACTGCAAAAGTTCCATTGTTTTCCTGCTCTTCTGGCAGATTTTCCATGCAGATTTCTAAATCTCCTCTGCCTGCTCTGGTTTCCCACCTGCCCAGCACCAGCTGTGGGTAAGAACATTCCTGTCCTGGCAGGAGGAGCTCTGTGAGCTGCTTCTCTCAGGACATGACTCCTGCTGCTGCTGACAGAAATTTAGAATTCACTTTGCTTTATACAGATGCAAGATCTGAGACCCTCTGAGCACAGCAGCCCATAAAAACTGCTCAGATGGCCATTTCCTACAAATACCTTTAAACACACTTGCAAATCTCTGCTCTACTGTACTTGAGGGGCCACCCTTTTCCTTCTGAAAAACCATGTTTATATATTGCTGGCATTAAAAAGGAATGGGAACAAACTATAACTATATTTTCCTTGTGGCTACTTCCACCACATTTCCTGGAATGAATTGTTCCTTGTAACAGGAGCTGGATGCTGGAACAGTAAGACACAGAGCAGGTCACCACTGTTATTAGTGTGTGTATTTCAGTGGCACCCAAAGCCCCCAAGGAGGTCAGGACCCCATTACTCTGCACTAACACAAACCAGGACAATTTCCTGCCCTAAGCTTGCTTTCTTAATAAGAAAGGCAAATGATAGCAGGCAGTGGCAGAGGAGGGAGGACTGGAGGTGCCCTGACTCCGTGTCTGTGCCTGATCCACTCCACCAGGCTCCCAGGGATGCTCCTTTCTGTGGTGCACAAAATTCACATCCCAGGAGCCAGAGCAGGGCCTGACTGACTTCCACAGGCACTGACACTCACCCAGCACTCCACTGGTCAGTCAGAGCTATTTCAATTCTTTTCCTAGCAACCCAATTGACTTTGTTTCTCTTCAGTCCCTTCCAAAATTCCCAGATCCAGCACCTTGCAGTGAGCCAGAAGACACTTTATCTCCATTGATGGGAGATACAGTTCTGGTGATGCTGCAGAGATGCAAAGAGAGCAGGGCAGGGGCAAATGGCCAATTTCCCAGAGCTGTCCAGCTCATCAGCCCATGAGAAGTCAGGTTTCTGGATCATCACACACTGATGGTTTAATTAAGGTTTTAATTAAGGTCTAATCTGGCCATGCTGCATTGATTTATAGAATCACAGAATATGCTGAGCTGGAAGAGACACACCAGGATCCTCAAGCCCAGCTCCTGTCCCTGCACAGACACCCCAAGAGCCCCACCCTGGGCATCCCTGGGGGTGATGCTCAAACCCTCCTGGAGCTCTGGCAGCCTCGGGGCTGTGCCCATTCCCTGGGCAGCCTGGGCAGTGCCCTCTGGGGGAAAACCAGCAGTGGCATCTAAGGGAAAGATACCATGGCAATCTTCTCTCCCAGCAATTTCTGCACAGGTATGTTATTTGAAAATAAGCCCCAAAATATAAAGCAACCTCCTCTGTGGAGGTGGCACTCTGAAAAACATCCAAGAAAGAGTGATTACTGAGTGCATGTAACTAAGCAGGGCTGATAATACAAGTTTCTTCCATAAAACCTATTTCACAAACTGCAATTTGAAACATTCTTTACTTCAGGCAGCAATTACAATATTGCATTTAAAAAAAATGACACTGCCAGGAAAAGGAATTCAAGAGAGCCATAAACAGGAGGAAAAGTCAGGGATTTATGGGAGGTTTCCAGCTGGTGAGGCACAAATTCCTGCAGTGGAAGGGGCACCACAATCACCAGGAGGAGCCAAGACTCCGGAGGAGAGAGAAGCATCCCAAGGCTTAATAGGAGAAGAAAAAAAATCAAATAAAATTATTCTAAGGACAGCTGGGTCAAATATTCAGAATCCAGGAAAGGGAAATGCAAGTGGGAAGGAGGGAGGGACAAAATGAGAGAAATAACACCAGAAATGGGAGGTTCAGCCACCTCCAGGAGACAGGAAAGACCCAGCAAGGGGACAAGTCTGGCAATGATGAGGTTTGGTTTCAAAATTGTAGCACCTAAGAACACAGCTTCTTCAGAAAGAAATCCACTCTTGGAACAAAAAACAATCAGAAAAATCACTTCAGAGCATTATTTAACCCAGAAAAATTAATGAAAAATATTGGGCTCCCAGTCATTATGTGTTGAAATGATCTGCACAATCAGAGTAATTTCTTTGCAGTACATAATGGCCAGGCAGTGGGCTGAATGTAAAATCTCCTAATAGACCTAGAGGCTTGTATTCAAAAGACAGCTATTCTCAAATCACTTGTAAACACGATTTCCTTTATTTATTTTTTTATGGTGCTTTCTATGTGAGTGGCCTACAAATTATTAAAGCAGCTCTGCATGCAGGAATGTTCTCCCTCACCTTTTCAGTTCCTGATAATAGCTACACATGTAAAACACAGTCTGGAGTGCAAACACAAGGGCAGACAGGTTCCTCCAGGAATGATAACACTGAGATAAAGGTGGAAAGGCACCTTTTTACATCCTGATGAGGAAACAGCAGCACCAGCCCAGGGTGCCAGCTGGCCACACCCTCCAGCAGTTTATTAGCACTAAAACCAATCTGTGCACGGTGCTGAAGCCTCCTCCTGTACCAGGAGCCAACAGGGTGGAACAGCTCCTCACATCTAAAAGCCAGATTCCTCTTTGGCTGTTTCTTTGTTGCAATTCATTAAAAAATGAATATCACAAAGAGGATCACCACACACAACGTCACCACACCAATTTGCCACCTCCAGTTACTGAAGACTGCAAACAGCACGGGCTTAAGCCTATAATGAGCCACACTCATTTCTTTAACAAAGCTCAAAAGGAATTGACAGCAGAATGATGAGAGCCAAAAGCTTTCAACCATATTCTGAGCAGAGAGAGCTGCAAAACAAAGCAGTCCTGGAGAGAAAGACAGACCAGAATTTGTATGAGGGATTTTCAGGCTTACAAGTGAAATCTGTAGGAGGATGAGGGTAAACACACAGTGAGACACCAAGATCAGCATTGCTAAGCTGAATGAGAATTAAAAAATAGCTGTAAGTGAATAATTGATTCTGGAGATTCCAGGCAAATCCAGCACAAAGGCTACTCTTTTTCCCTCCTGTTTTTCTTCCTCTCTCTACAGAACAGGAGCCCTTAATTTGTGCTAGAAGCACATATATAGTCCCCAAGAATAACAAAGTTTATAGCATTTCCCTGAAAGAGGAGCTCAGCTAAAGAAAGCTGCTGTGGTGCCAGCAAGTGATGTGATGGTTCAGGGGGTGAGAGCACGTTTCTGTTTTAACTCTTCACTTCTGCAGAACTGTATTTAAAAACTACCTCAAAAATTATAGAAATGGAAAACAAGGACAATTACCAATACGACAAGTTCAAATTTAGAGATGTGACAATTTTTGTGAAGTCTTAGACATAGGGAGATGGACCTTTTGACCGATAAGAGGCAAAACCTTCTCAGTGCCTGACAATGTTATGGATGTATAAGAGATTCACCACAATTACTGACTCTTCCCCCAGTCAGCCCCCTCTCAGTAGACACCCTGCTCTCATCGTGATTATCATGAAAAATCCACACCCACAGCAGCTGCAGAAGCTGCAAAACCAGCGAGCAAAGCCCAGGGTGGGCAGCAAGTGAACACTGAAATCAAGTCAGCTTTTGAGCCCAGGTGGATGAAGGTGGCTCAGGTACCAGGGTGACCCACAGAAAGCTGCCCTGAGAGGTTCACCCCGAGCTGAGGGAGCAGCAGGAGAGGAGGAATCTCTCTTCCAGCTAAAGGGAGTCAGCTGGGCAGTGTCAGTGTCTGTGTACACACACTCTGCGTGTGCTGCATGAACACCAGGACACTTCTGTGCTCTGCCCCGATGAAGCAGAACTTTCAGGCAAGACTGGAATGAAGATTTCCCTTTCCCTCTACAATAGCACTACCTACCTTGTAATTTTATCACATACCCTAATGCAACCACCTAGTTTTTAATGTCCAGCTCCTGGAAGAAGCTCAAAAGCTTGTTAATATTAACCTTGTTAATGGTTACCAAAGGCTTACCAAAAAAACCTATTTAAGGAAACAGGCATCATGTATTTGTAACAGTCCTGGGTCTGTCACACCTCTGGAAGTGTTGCTAAAGGACACTGATGTCAGGAAAATTAATCCACAAACACCAGAGGTTTATGTCCAAAAATGAGACAGAGGAGTCCTTTTATTTTATGTGAATAAAGGGAGAGGCCATGGGACATCCCCTGGGGTCTCTCTAATTTTTAGAGGACCCAGCCTCCTCTTTATCCCAATTTCCCAGCCACATTTCCCTTCTCTCTTTCCCCATTGGCTGAGGTACTTGAGCGGTCCAGACTTCCCAGAATGCCTGATACCAGAGATTTCTCTCTAATGCCTAACCCTCCCTTTTAATTTTTAATTCTTATGGAATTTAGGGCTTTTCCCCATTGTTTCTTTCATCTTTCAATATCCAATTTCATTTATCAGGAAACCTACAGTTTATTTGTAAAGGCAAATATCTTTTTTTTTTCCCATTCATCAATCAGTGGAATCCTTCCCATTGTTTCTTTTATCTCTCAGTGCTGGTTTTATCTATCAGCAGACCCACAGCTTGTTTGGAAAGACAAATCTGTCATTCCTCTCATGGACAATAATAATCTATCTATGAAAATCATTTTAGGTGATCTGCAGTACCTGCCCAGTGGCTGACCCACCTTAGACAGGATCTGCAGGTATCAGGAAATGGAGACCAAGTCCTGATCACCAAATGAGTTGGGGTGAGGGTGTGAAGCTCAGGAACATGGAACTCCACTGCCTTCTAAAACATGAGAGTCCCCTCCTGCCTAGCCCCTGCTCAGCCCCTGAGCAGAAGAGGCTCCAAGGGACATCCAAAGAGCTCTTCCTGCAAATCTTCAAGCAGAAGAGATGAAAAACAAGCCCCTAAATTTCATAGACAAGGAATCATCCAATGCTCCCTGCATTCAATCTAAGTAAAACAAAACCAAAGGAAACATTTTCTCAATTTGACCTTCACTTATGGCTTTCCTGTCCAACTACTTGACTTTTCTTTAATTTCCACTGCAGACTTTTCTTTAATTTCCACTCCTTTACCTGGCTACCAATTTATCTGCAAACAAAGGTGAATGTCCACTGGTTCAGGGCCAGCCCCAGCCAAGAGCATCCTTTCCCACCAGGTGGGACCTGAACAGGGACAAGAACCTCCACACTGTTCCAGGTAAATCCTTGCCTGCTTTGGTTCCTGGAGGGCTTGGCTCACACAGCTGTAATATATTTCATTTTCAGTTCTCCAAAGACCTTTCTATCCTGAAGCTCCTTGTGTCCTGGCAGTGGATGCTCTGAATTACAAAGGTGATGTTTTCAGTCTCCTGTTGCTAAACTATCCAGATTTCATCTTAAACACTGTGCTGCTTCTCCTCTTACCTCCAGCTGCCTATTTTAATTGGGGAGCCCAGGATTAGGGTTTTGCAGCAGAGCTCTGGGGTAGGTAATGACCTCTGGACACCAAATTCAGTTCACTCCTGGCCTCATCCCATTCTGCACTAACTCAAAGCTGTGCCCTGGTTGCACAGCCCCTAAAGGGATTGTGATGCACAAAACTTGTGCTAAAAAATAACTTTTAGAAGGCAGAAATTTGTTCAGGGGGAAAAAACCCAACCAACCGTTTTCATGCATTCAACTTAAAAAATGTGATAAACTCCTCTGAAATAAATAGCACCAAACAGAATAAACCTGTCAAAGGAATGATATTCCAGTGTATTAGAAGACAAAATGCAGCAACAAACAGATTTGAAGTGGGATTAGATCTGTTTAAAAAATACATTATCTGTCTAGAAAACCAGAATGTATTCCAGGAAACAAAAGAAGCCTCTTCAATGGATTTGAGGGAGCAGGAGTTATTAAATCAACAGTTTTCACGTGCAGCAAAATTGTGTGGGAACAGCAGAAACTTTTTCCTTCCTCATTTTCCACTGATTTTTTTTGCAGTCTCCCCCCTCAGCCCAAGATTTCCCTGGTCACATTTCAGACCCAGTTTTTTTATTGAGATTTCAACATTCTCCCAGGAAGTTTCCTTCTTCCCATGCTAATGCACTACCAAAAATCAGGACCATTTGAACTTCCCAGTGATCCCAGCACCTTTTTGCTCCTGTATCATCACAGCTGATGTGCAGTTGAAATAATTGTTGGGTGAGGAAGTCATAACTAGGCAGGAACAGCCAAGCAGCACTGGGAGGGGAGTACTCCTAGAGAAATGTAATCCATCTAAAAACTGAAAAAGCAACCCTCATTTTCCATTAATCCCATGGAACACTGCCACATCCCAGCCACTCATTCTGTGCATGTCAGGCTGAGTAAAAGAACCTAATTCCACAAGCTGATGGGATCTCCCCTCCATATTTGAATTTTCTGGAGTTAATGGTGATCCTGATCCCAGTGTTACATATGCTGGGGCAACTTTATGGCACACAGACCTCCCAGTTCCTTCTGATGGAAACTGCAAAACCCTTGAGAGGTTCTGAACCTCCCCACTGTGAGTGACTTGGTGCTGCTGAGGCTCAATTCTGCAACATCTCTGGCTCCAGCAGAAGTTTCTATAGAAACTACACTTTCTATAGTTCCTCTACAGAGAGCTTGCAGAATCCAATTTTCCTTGTCTTTCCACCATTTCTCCAGCAGCAAGACTCAGCTCTCGACAAATGAGCACAACAATCAGCCCCAGAAAATGGCACAGCTCCTTTAATTGGAAATGCAAGCTGAGCTCCATGCACACTCAGGGCATCCATGGGGCTCTTCCATCCCACTCAGGAGCTGCTGTGAAGATTTGAGAGCTGCTGAGCCCTCAGCTGCCCCTCAGCACAGACAGATCTCCACCTTGGCACTGAAGGAGTGCCGTGAAAGCACTGCCCTCCTTTATGCTGTAGTTGGAGCAATTGTAAAAGCAATTTCTCATGCAAAACAAGTATTGAACAAGAAGTCATGAAGCTGCTCAGCCCTCTGGAAGTTTGACCAGTTTTGCTTTTTTCTGAACTGATAATCACCTGTGCTCAAGAGGCTGGGCGGGTTTGGCGTGGTCACCTGGTGTCTACCTATCACTGCTAAGAACAAGCAAAATGGTTCCCAGGCAGCATGCACGAGACAAAAAAAAGGAAAAAAAAAATAAAAATGTACCTCATAATGGTTATTATAGTTCCATTCTTTCATTTGCAAGAACTCACATTGTAAGGAAAGTAGAAATGAGTATCGGGAGATAAGGAACCATTAATGAGCCCTCTGCCTTGGTTTCAATTACACTGTGAAATTAATTTAATGCACTTTGGGAATACAAGAGGTAATCGCTCTCTCTTGGTAAGAGGTTGCAATTTTCTCTAATAAAGTGTCGATATAAATATGTTGCTTTAAGACAGGGAGAACAAGTCAGTTAATTCAGAAAGAATGGGACATATTAAAACAAATGCTGTCAAGGAAACCAAATGGCAAAACCTATAAATAACCCATCTGAATGAAAATTGTATGGCAGAGAGCTGGTAAATTGTGGTTTAATTATAAACATTTTTAAAGACTGTTTTATGTTAATGAGATGCATCCAAGTGCCTAATGCTGTGAAAGATAACATTAGTCCAGTAATTAAAAAAAAAAAAAAAAAGAGAATAGCCCATGTGAGGAGGGAAGTGGCGAGAGATCTGAGACCAACAAATCTGAAAATAAAGAACAAACGTAGATACAAAAGGTTCATAATGTTTAACATGCTGGCAAAGTGTGGGATGGCTACACAGAGTGGACAAACGCAGGGAGCTTTCTGATGGATCATCCCAGCAAGGGCTGGTGCTGAGTCCCTGCCCCTGGCCCTTCCCAAGGCAGCACCCAGTCTCTCATGGAGGCCCTGGATGGAGGGAAATGAGCTCAGGGCATGTGCTGGCCCAGCTGGGAACCCGCTGGCTCTGCTTTGGAGCACCTGCTGCTCTGAAATGCTGATGCCACCCCCTCCTCCCAGCATTCAACAACCCAATAGAAAAGGATTTGAGAGCTTTTTCTTGCCACCACAAGGATCGAGTTCATCTAAGCAGGAGCAGCACGCAGAGAACCATGAAGAGAGAGCACCACCAGAGAGCTGGGAAGCAGCTCCTGCACAGAGCTGGGCTGAACTGAAAAGGGCTCATCCGAGCAGCCTATTTCTGGCTAAAGAGGAGGGGAAAAAACTGGGAAAGCTCCAATTTTTTTTTTTTTTTCTTTTAGCAGATTAAACCACTTTTAAAGTCACTCTGCTTTGCTTTTCTTGGTGTTGGGGCAGTGGGACACAGAGAGCAATTCCCTGGCAGGCAGCAGGAGCAGAGGCGGCGCAGCAGCCCCGCGCGTCTCTCGAGTAATTAAAGAGACTCAGCTCTGAGCAGGTGCCTGGCAGCAACACCCAGGATGTGTTACAATCCCCCAGTAACACATGCCTAACACATTTCACTGCCTAATTACTCCCACACTCACGTTCAGTGCCCTTGTTAATCCAGTGCTTCAAGAGAATTCTTGCCTTGCTGAAACACGCCTGGATCCTAATCTTGCTGTCACTGGTGTAAATCAGAACTCCTTTCACTGGTGCTAATGGAGTGACAAATGTCTAGGAATGGGAAAATTAGGCCTCTATTCCAAATTGAACATTTTGTCTGGCACCAGGAGTATGTATTTATTTACTTGCATCAAATCAATTTTTTTTTCCCCCTCTGGTAGCAACTCAAGCAGAGCTTTTAATGCTGAGATCGAGCCTGCCTCCAAAATAGGGTTTTTTTTTTCCCTGATTTCTATCAAAGACACCACAGTGGCATCCTCACTGGCAGCCCTGATGATTCAGTTCAAGGCAGACTTCAGGCTTGCTCATTCTATCCTCAGAAAAACACCAATGCAAATAAAGGAGAATACAGAGCAATGCCATTAAGGATAATCAATATAATGAGCAGACAGAAGACAGCACAGACACAGGAGGTTATCTAGAACATCCCAGCTATCAGCCTTTGATCAGGACATGGTGTAATCAGTTTTGTGAGTGTCTCTGTGCATTCCCTCTCCAGGGGCTGGTCCCTTTTATCCATATGGAATTAATGCATGGTGGGGATGCAGCCTCAGGATATATGGAATCCTGAAACTGTGGGAAAGCCCACAGAACCACTTTGTTCAGCTGGAGCTGTGGCAGCTCCTGTGACATTCCCAACACCCCAGCTCCTGGTGCTCCCTTGCCCATGAGCTGCACCCAGCCCTGCTCCTTTGGAGAGCTGAACCTGCCTCAAGTCAGGCACAGCTGGGGCATTCCAGCTCCGTGCTGAGGGCCAGGCACTGGAAATTACAGCATTGCCAGTCAGAGCCAGGGAAAAGAGGAAAGGAATTTCCACAGAGATTTCTGCAGTGCACACAGAGGAATAAGATATCTACCTATAAATCAAAAGTGATATGAAGCAAAAGTGATATAAATCAAAAGTGATATGAATTGAGACAGCGAGAATAAACACTAGAACTACCATCATTTCTTGTCCTTTTCCATTCAAGTCAATAAAGGAAAAAAACCTAAAGAATAAGATCACCAAAAAGCAGTGGCTCTAGACATCCTCGGGCTCTACCCATCTCTTTAATGTCTCTTATTAAATTAATCCTAGTAAGAGATTTTTTTCTAAAAAGAGATGACATTCAGAACCAACAGAAGGAGGGGGATCACTGACTGGGTGGCTCAGTGACTTTTCCTGCTGACCTAACAGGGTTAATGAAATTATCTCAGTTTGCAGAAGTCAGCTGAAGGTCAAACACTTACAGGACACTTTGCTGAGGTACCCAAATCAGAGAGTGCAAACAAAAGGTCGTGTCAGGATGGGATTTTTCAAGCTGTGTAAGTTATTTTGTTTTGAATATTCAGAGAGCAAGTATCTTTCTGCTAGCATGACAAAATTCTTCCACCAGCTCCAGAAAAATGAACAACTGAAATGGAAGGAACTACTGGTTTCTAAAAATTAATTAATGCAGTATCTCTAATCTGATGAAGAGACTATGCTATTGGCAAAGCTTGTGGGGATTCATTTCACTCAGTGCTGCTCTTGCTCTTTCTACCACCAGAAAGCCAAAATCAGGTATTTGAAATGGTCACATTACTACCAGAACTGTGAGGAAGGAGACACACAGACTGAGACACATAGAATGTTTGTAACCCAGAGAATAAATTAAATAAAGATTTTACAAGGAACTTTTAAACAGGAAAGGAACAAGAGGGAATGGGGAGCACCAGAGCCACAGATGAGAAGGAGAAATGGGAGAAATGGCTTCTTCTCCTCAGCTTTCAGTGATGACACAACTGCTTACAGCCCCCACCAGTCTGCATGACAGAGCCTGAGCAGGGAAAACACCTGCACAGGTGGGAGCTCCAGTGCCTGCCTGGCTCCAGGGACAGCCTGGGGATGTCTCCACAGGGAGATGGAAAAAGCTCTCCAGTGGCTAACAGGGTTTCTTTGAGCCCTCCCAACTCCTCTGCAAGTGCAGATGCAGAAGGGATCAGGAGAAAGGACCTTGAGGTCATTAACTTCTGCCACAAGTCAAAAATACAGAAAAGAATGGAAAAAACAGGATGGTGCCTTGAAGGATTTCTGGGCTCCTGCCAATTTTGGTGAACTCTCAAAGCCTCCCCAGGCAGCCATGCAGGTATTTGACATTTCAGCAAAGCAGCAAGAGCACAAAGCTAAGTTTGGGAATGGAGAGGCATGTGTAGCACAGCCCACGGCAGCACCCCAGCATTTCCCCACAGCTCCTTGGCACACTACAACTTGTGCTGGGGAAATCTCTTTACAGCTACTCTGTGCTACAAATAAATTGGTGTCTGACATCTTTTCTGGAAAAGTAGCCCCTGAGGTGGTTTTGAAATCTTTAGAAGAGTTGTTAAAAGCAGCTGTAAACTCCAAGAAGGAGCTCAGACATTGTCACTGTTGGTCCCTCAGGAGCTTCACCTTGTGAACCAACCTGGGGCTGTTTTGGGTTTGCTCTGTGTGACCTGTCAGCTCGGTCTGTTCTGAGCTCACCACAATGAAAATCAGGAATGTTTGTTCAATTATACCATGAAAATGGCATGATGTAAGAATTGTGCCCCGCTGTGTACAAGGTTAGGCTTACACAAGATCTCCTCTTATCTACTTTGTACAGTTGTGGAGAGAACAAATTGAATGGGAAGTTAATGTCACTTTTTCAGTGATGTTCTGCCAACAGCAAGAACAGTCCTCAGGACAGAAAAGCTGTCAACAGAACGAGGGGAAGGAGGAACCAGAGAGAATTATACCCTGCATTAAAAAAATAACAGAGGCCACAAATATAGTGGAGTGGTCCTAGAAATTGTTGTTCTGCCTTGGCAATCTTCCTTTTAAAAAAAATAAAATAAAAGAGAAAATAAAGAGGTTGGTTCTTTGGCTAGGAACTGTAATCAAGTTGTGCCACCACTGTAGTTTTTACATTTCTGGTATTGTGTTTTGCAGGAAAGAGAGAGACCCACATACCTTTTGTTGCCAGCCGGACACAGTTGATTTTTGTTTCCTGAAAAATAAAAAAAACACAAGAAAAATATATAGGAAAACATCACAGTGTGTAATTTGCCCATCTACAGTAAACACACATTCCTTTTAAAAGCTACTAAAAATACATATATATCTTTTCTTGCACTTCATCTTTGAAAATACCACCAACAGTTTTTGTTGCATAAAACACTCCACACTAGTGGACTTGCTTGCAGTTGGCTCTCTAAAGTGTTGAAAAGTTGGGAGTGACAGCACGTTTCTCCACGCTCCACGTGTGAGTGATGGGTCCCACATAAGTGCCTGATTAGCTAATAGAATTTCCCAGTTAAATGACCTGCTCTGTAATAGACTGACAAGCCTTGGGTCAAAAGTACACACCACTGTACATCTCATTTTCATGCACCATTACTGCAAATTTTGCAAATTGGGTATTTATTTAAACACATGGCAAACAGACACCGAAGAAGTCATTTGAATATTTCAGCTCTCTGATGGATGTGGGGCAGACCAACATTCTGTGCTGCTGCCTCTGCCAAACAAGCTGTTCTACCAACCCTCACCACTGCAGCTCCTCATTGCAGAGCTGGGACAAAACCCAATGCTTTGTGTTCAATCCACCCTGGAGCCTGCAGAGCTGCAGAAACCACATTTGGATCCAAATGTTGGCTTTGGCTTCACAAACAGCTCAGAGTCTGCAGCTTTCTCAGGCCGCCTCTGCTGCTACAACCTCTGTGGAGTCCCCAGCTCCTCATTGCTCAGCCCTTCCTGGCAGGGGCTGCTGCTGCCCAGCCTGTTTGCCATCCAAATGGGAATGTGCTGCCTGTTAAAGAGCTGCCTCTGTCAGGCACTAATCTGCTGCAAGGCTTGCAGAGCACTTTATGCCTCTACACGTCTCAGGTGTAATGAATCCAGCATAAATTACTGTGCTGACAATGCTCCATTAATATGGATGCTGTCTGTGCTCTGGAAACAACAGCCCAGCAAAGCAAGCACTGCTGAGCACCTCCTTCCATCCTCAAAGAACTGGACAAACCTTGTGCAAATCTGAATTTGCTCTTGGAGAAAATTGCTCCATCTGTGACAAATCCTCCTTGGCTGGAGCAGACACACACTGTGCCTTTCTCGTCGTGCTTTTGTTGCACGTGGGAAGGGGATGATTGCAGGATCCATGCTGGGAAATGCTGGGAATCACAGGAGCAATTCCCTCTGATCCCTTCCTGTGATGCCACACAATCTGGATATAGGCCACACTGTGTGCAGCCTAAGGACAATGAGATACCCAGAAGGACAAACCCTCCCTTTGACCTTGCCTTCAAACTCTCTCAAGGAATTCCTGGCTCCTTGAGGACAATCCATGTCTATTTCCCAGTCCAGAGTGGGACTGAAGCCCTGCTCATCCCAGCAAACCAGAGACATCTCTGCTTACACCCCTTTGTCCCCCAAAATCAGCTCCCCTGCACAACCTGCACCAACACTGGCACTGCAAAGTCACCACAGCTGTACACAGAGCTGCCCACTCCCCTCATTCCAATGAGTTGGAATTCCCATTTATTCTGGAAATCCAAAGTCTTTGTTGCTGCTTGGGATGTATGGAGCAGGAAAAACAGCTTTGTTTGCAGAGCTGACTCTGCACATAGTGCTGGGAACCAAAACACAGAGAGGTCCTGACGCAGTTTCTGATCTACAACAAGGTGTTCCAGACTGCAAGGCAAGATGTTTTCTATTATCACCATCTGTATGGCAGATTATCTTTGTCAAGTGGGCAGTTTGCCTTATCTCTCTCTTTGAGTGACCACAATCACTCCTCCCTCAGGGGGACACCTGCTGATAACAGCTATGGAATGTCCCTGCATAGCTGATAAGAACTACAGCATCCCATTGGCAGATGGGAGCCCAGAGGGAGGAGCCAAGCATTCCTACCTGGATAGAATCTGGAGCTTCTGGAACACCAGCACAGCTTCTGCACTGGATTTCCAGAGGAACAGCAGCTGCCTCTTGCCCTGGATCTTCAGAGGCAGAGACTGCACCTTTCTCCAGGATCCCTGCTCCAGCAGAACCAGCCCTGGCACTGCAGGAGGGCTGAGCCACAATTCCAATGGGACTGCTGCCAACAGCCTGACCCACAGGGTGTCAGGCTGGGTTCTGACTCTGGCACTGTTGGTTTAGTTACTGCATTGTTTATTTTATCCTTTTATTTTTCCTTTCCCTATTAAAGAACTGTTATTTCCTGCTCCCATATTTTTGCCTGGGAGCCCCTTAATTTAAAATGTATAGCAATTCAGAGGGGTGGGGAGGGTTTACATTCTCCATTTCAGGGGAGGCTCCTGGCTTCCTTAGCAGACTCCTGTCTTTCCAAACCGAGACACAAGGTGAGCTGGAAAATCAGCAATGAAGAGTAAAATAAAACATTAAGAGACAGGATTTTTGCAGTCTACAAGTAGGTGGACACTTGCTCCCATTTTGTTGAGGATCTGCTGGCTTCAGAATGTAACAGAAAGCTGGAGAAGTTAGTGCTGGAAAAAGAAGAGTCTGGAGTGATCTCATTTGGACATGTGTGTATTCCTGCATGAGACCCTCCCACAGGGTGATTGGGAAGACAGAATTTGTTCTGTTTGCATCTGCATCCACTGATGGCTGCATTGAGCACAGCCACAGCTCTTAGGAGAGCTGGCACTGCCAAAACCAACAGCTACAGGAACAAGAACTTCAGAATTTCATTTCAAATTGCATCTTCTGGGGAGGAAAGCATAAAAGAACCTGCACAGACACCAGCTCCCAGAGGTGGTAAAATGTAAAAACTTGAATTTAATCCATATTCTGGATTAAGGCTGATTATTCCATTGCTTTCCACTGCTCATCTCTTTGGTGTCTCATAAAAATGAGATCCTTTTCAATTTTTCTTTGGTTGATACTGAGAATTTTAAGTTTGCATGAACCTTTTTAAGAAGAAACAAAATAAATACATTTCCTCCCTCCAAACAAAAACAAACCAAGCCCAAAACAACTAAAAAAAAAAACCCAACTAACCCAATCATCCTCCCAAAAAAACACGAAACCCACTCTCCCACAATCATGCTTGTTTTCTGAAAAATATTACTTTTGCTTCAAGGCTCTTTTCTGTACACAGTAAAGATCATAGAATGTTAATGGGTTGGAATGCACCATAAAGTGCCACAGGCAGGGACAATGCTTTTATTTTTATATTTTTCCCCTAAGCTACATTTCCCATCTTTCAATTTGTACACACTGCTTCTTGTCCTATCACTGCAAGGTGCTTCTCTTTAGCCACCAGCAAAGCAGGAATAAACAATGTTGGTAATTATCAATGATCCTTCCAGCTTACCTAAAGCAATGGCAAGAAAAATAATTAAATCAAGAGATAATAGTAGAAGTTTTAGGAAAAAAAAAAAACCAAATATTTCCCCAAAATTCAGTCTCTGTGTTGTTTCTTAGCATTCTTTCAAATGCTGCAATACTTATTTCCCATTTTATGATACCACAGAAGTTTTATAAGGTCTTAGATATCTACAACAATCTTAATGATACCCAGGGAGCCAACATATTCTGCATACCTGTTTCATGCTATGGCTGAACTCACAGGAATAAATTAAATTAAGATGCCAGTACTGCTTCAGCTTGGTATCACTGCCAGGTTAAGGCAGACATTTTACAGCCAAACAGTAATGGAACAATGTAGGCACATTTTAACTGAGATCCTGGAACAGGAAAACAATCCATGACTACATCCTGCAGCTCCTGACCCAACCTTCACTTTCCAACATGCTCCATACCCTGAAATGAGCCCATCCACCTGCCTGCCTCAACATAGTGATGGAAATTTGCTTTCTGGAACCTATTTACCAATGAATAAAAGAAGATTATGGAGTACCCTCACTCAAGGCTGAACCCTGGCTCTATTTTTCAGTCCACACAGCATGGACACGTATGAGCAGTGTGTGTCAGGGTGCTGCAGCCCGTTCCTGCAGGGAGCACCTGCCCCTTCCATCAGCACAGCCCAGGGTCCCTCTGGGCAAACCCTCTCTGCCTGCTTTAGCATCCCCCTGGATTGCCAGGGCTGTTTAAAACATTCTCTTAATATAACTTTATTCTTTTGTTTTAGAAGCAAAGGAGCCGCTGCTGTCTACTAATTACTGAGGTTCCTAAATGCACATTTCACTCAAGTGGAATGGATGATAACAAAATGAGTTCTGCCTCTGTCTCTTCAGTTCTTGGATGGGAACAATTTTCTGCAGAAAAGGGCTACGAGGGCAGCAGGACATATGTTTATGTGACAGCTGCATCTTCACAACCTAAAAAGCCACATGATCTTTTTTTTTTCCCCCTTTTTCTTTGAAACTGACAGCTTGCTGTTTACAGACTACCAACAACAATGAAAGCAGCAAAGTTTTTTCATCCATCTGTTGTCACACCCACCATTTTCCCTTTCCTTTACTGTGATTATGACTTTGCAGCAGTCAAACAGAGCTTGCCTTGCCTGAGGAACCCCCTGCCAGCCCCAGCAGGACCTGGGGTGTGCCATGGGGGCTGCCCTACAACAGGCAGAGCTTTTTAGGCACCTCAAACTGGGAAATTTTGTCTGCTGCTGGTGCACAGAGCAGACAAGGAATCATCATTCTCCCCCTGGCCTCAGTTCCAGCTTTAGTTCCCCACGTCCCAGAGCTGAACATGGGATTTCTTGGCAACCTGCTTCACACAGGGTAGAAACCATGTGTTTGTCCAGCCTGAAAGAGTTATTTATTTGGTCCTCAACAAATTTTGCCCAAGTTCAGGAGAGCTCTAAATTATGTGTTTATTTTCTATGCCATTGCAGCCAGTGGTTTGCAGTCTTAAAATATGTCTGTGCAGGGTCAATGTACTCCCCTATAATTTTTATTGCCAGCTTCAGGAAATTGCTATTTACCTCCAAAGACTAAGCCAGACCTATTATTGCTATTCCAATTATCAGCTTTTTTTTTTAGTATCTGTGTCATTTGGAGAAGGGAGGTTTAACAAAGTGGTTAGGGCTTTTATTATTTACAATAGGAAGTCATGTCAAAGATCTGTAGTTGATGACTGGATATCCAATCCTCTCAACCTCTCAAAAATGAGGTAGGCTTGAGGAGGATTTTATTTATTATGCAGAAAACACTCAGGTCCACATCCTCTGGTCAACCAGATGTGGAAACAGAGGTGTACAAAGAGTGAAGTGTTCCCACAGCTGCTTCAGCACCTCCAGGATGAGATTAAGAAGGAGTGAATGTAAGTGGATAAATTGTACACCCAAAATCCTCCTGAACACAGAGCTGGTTAGTAGCTCACAGAAGTGATGCAGGCAGCCCTGGTGCCATTTCATCTTTCAGAGCACAGCTCGTGCTGAACTCAACCTCCCTGTGTTTTTCATGGCCATCTCCAGAGGGATGAATGGCATCTCTCTGCTGGCAGCTCTATCCATACCTCCCAAACCTCCCAGAAGAATAATGCTGTGTGCTGTGAGCAGACCTGTCAGCATCAAGAAATCCAGCCTCAACTCCCCTGATAATAATGAGCTGCCCGATTGTGCATGTAGTACAAGTCATTAGAGAGGCAAAAAATCAATAGGAATCTCGGTAGAGTCCATCATTCCCTCAAAAAAATAATATTCTCATTGATCCCTGCAGTGCTACTTTTCACAATTCTGGGTTGAAGACATCAGTCACTTGTTGGACCACCAGGCTGGCAGAGCAGCTGGCAGCATCCCCCCATCACTGCCAGCTGTGTTACACAGGCTCCTGCTCATCTCCCATTTCAAGGAAAAATGGCCAAGAGTTATTGATTGCAACTCTGCTGTTACAAATTTCATTTTAACTCAATGAGGTAAAATGCAGCTCCAGAAAGGATTTTTTTTAAGGAGCTTTGGTTTCTGAGCTGCTCAAAAATTCAGGCAGGTTTCACAGAGTAGCCAAAAATTCCCTGCATTGGAGTGTGGTGCTGGATCAGCAACCAGAAAAAGACCTGGGGACAACCAAACCTGCAGCATCAGTTTTATTATTGAGCCAGTGTAAGGAGGAGGAGTAACATGGGGTTGTCAACCTGGCCTCACCTTCCAGAGGGAAAAATGCTGGCAGGGCTGGAGTTTGAAAGGGGCTGAGCTCAGGGAGGGTTTTCAGACAAGCAAACCTTCATGCTCTGTCAGGCAGCCATCTGTAGCAGGTGGCACCAGGACAAGCAGAAGCATCAGATCCCTACCTGGCTGGCTGTGACAGTGTCTGGAGATCCTGCCAGAGCACAGCCAAGCCAAATGTCCCCTCTGCTTCTGTGCCACCTCTTGTGCTGACTCCTTCTACCACCTAAGCAGTAACTAAGGGTGCTCCTCACTCCTGCAGCCACCGAGCCTGGGGCTTCTGTGTGCCCTTCCTCTTTCTCCCCTCTCTCCCTTCACACTCTGCCACATTTCAGCTCAGTATCTGGCTCTCAGCAGTGCCTGGGAGGGAAGTTCACGTGATTTGGAAGTGTTCTGTGTAACAAAACTGAAAAGAACCCAGCCTCACCACATTCTGCTCAGACTCTGCAGGCAGCACCACTGTGACCAAAGTGCACCCAAGGCCCAGGAGATGGATCCAGCCAGCCCCAGCTTTTCCATTCACGCTCTGAGACAACCACAACAGTGCACAAGAGAAGGCAGAAGAGCTGGTGATCTGCCTCTGCAGCAATTTGCCACACTTGTTTTGCATCCAGCTGTTAATTATGTTCCTTTCAGTGTGACAATCAGAGCTAATGGCTGCAGAGCAGACGGGAACACCAAATGAGCACAGCCCTCCATGTACAGAGGAGCTCAAACAATGCAGAACTCCTACAACACTCCTAACCTCCTCCTAATCAAGCTTTTTGACCAAATCCAGGCTGTTTCTTGAAATTAGGCTCTCCCCAGAGCCCTCTGTTTCCAAAGGAAGATGTTCTGGTTCACTGCATGAAGGCTTCTCATTGCAGCTTCCAGGTGTGGAAAGAAATTTCATCATTCCACAACTGTCAGTGATTAATGAAACTATGGAATATCCTAATTAAAAAATGAGTGGCAATGTTCTGTTAAGTTTTTTCATGTGTAAGGGAACATAAGGCTCTTCTTTAACCCTGCTAAGTTGTTATTGTTGCAGGCTTTTTGCAGATGTGCCTTATCAAAAATCAGGGAATGGTTCAGGTTGGAAGTGACCTTGAAGACCAGTTCCAATGCCCTGTCATGGCAGGGACACCTTCCACTATCCCAGATTGCTCCAAATCCCATCCAACCTGGCCTTGGACACTTCCAGAGATGGAAATGCCATTTTTGCAGCCATAATTATTTGTAGGATTTTCCAAAACCTGGATTTGGAAATCCTTTCCAAGAGTTTTCAAAGCTGCTCAGGTTACAGACAATTGAAAACTCAGAACTCTTAAATACAAATGATACCTGCATGTAATTCTGGGAATGAACAAAAACCTGCTATTCACAGATGCAAAAGAGTGAATGCAAATTGACCCTAATATTTGAAATGTGGGGCTTCATCATTTTACCAAGAACCAGAGGGGATCAGAACAGAAGCTACACCTCTGAAGATCCATATTCCACTCTTGGGCATTTCCTCTATACTTTTACCCACAGCACTACACTTTCAGGATATATAAAGCATATCCTGTAGAAATATAAATGATTACCACAGGAGGAAATTGCTTTCTCAAATAGGAATTCACTGTGTCTGGCTGGACACTTCTCATCCTGTCATGAACTGAGCATTGCTGCATTAAGACTATTTGATTAATTTATGCTTAAAAAGCCCTCCTGTTAGGAAAGCCCAAGCAAGTCATTCTTTTTTGAGTCCTTAACACCTGGAATGAAGGGTGAGATGCAGGAAAAGCAGGAGCACCAGTGCTGCCTGAATCCAGAACACCAAGGGAAGCCTACACTTCCATCCTCACAACCCACTTATGGAATATTATATTGTACTTAAGCAAATAAAGTTTCTTCTTCCCTGGGGATCCATTCACTAGCAATTAACTATCACACATGGGGGAACTAACTAGAAACAGAGAGACATATACATATATTCACAATTTCTTTTATAAAGGCAAATCCAAAACTGAATTAATTGAGCAGTGCTGGAAAGAAACTGTATTGGCTAGAAAGGAAACCAAGGTGAAAACCAGCACAGTGCTGAAGAGATTTTGTACTTGTCAGCCACACAGCTGAAGCTGTGCAGGAAAATGGTGATAAATGAAGGGTGTAAAGCACTCAGATGTGTTGTGAACACTCGTTGGCACTGCCAGCCTGTGGAACCATCCCAGCCCTCTGCAATGTGCAGCTGCATTTCAGGTGTAAAAGCCTCTAAAGCCTGCACTGTTCACCTTTGACTGATTTTTGTAATTTTTCTCTCTCAGGGGTGATATCATAGAGAATTTATCTATGTTAAAATTAAATTTCTGAAAGCACTGGCAAACATGCTAATAATAGCAGACTCTGCTACCCAAATTTGTGATGCCTTGTTAATGCTCTAAGACTCTTCAGGAGGCCAGAGTGGCAAATTCTCTTGTGTTATGTATGAATGAAAAACACCTGGGGTGCCAAAGGGGAGGAAGGTGATCCACTGAGGCTGGCTCTGGCCTGAAACAGGAGAGGTAAAAGGTCACAAATTACCTTCAGCTGGAAGAGAAGAGGGAGGAGAGGCCCCCTGTTTTCCTGTGGTGGGGTAGGCTGTGCTGTGGCATTGTGTGTGTGACATTTGAACATGAGGTGGGCTACATTTCCTATGCAGTCTGCATTTTAAACCCCGTATCACAAAGCAAAGATATATAAAAATACAGAACTGCAGAGGGGCAGGACAGAGATGCAGACAGTCCCCACTGCAGTACCTGATTTCCTCAGGCTGGAACTCCCAGCCACAAGTGCTGCATTAGGATATGGCCAAGTGCAAGCTCCAAGGTAATCCAAATTCATAACATCTCCTCCAAAATCACAAGCACTGTGAACTATCAAGATATTGCAATTATGGCTCTTAAAAGCACAATAGCCCCTAATCTGATATTCATGCTTATTGAAGGATAGAAAAAAATCTCAAAATTCTAAGCAGCTCATTTAGTAAATCACATGGCAACAGGTGCCTTTACAGAATCAGGGTCCTCAACAGATTTCACATTGGATCTGAGCATCAGAGAGAGGAGATTTGAGTGAAGGACAAGTAATGGCATGCTTGATTTTCATCAGATTTCTGTAAGAGGGTAATAAGAAGGAGAAGTTAAACCAGCATCCAATCAAGAAGGAAGGAGAATGATGAGGAGGACAGACAGAAGCAGTCACACCTACAGATGCAGCTCAATTTTCCCTGCACTTACTCCATTGGCCTTGCTAAGAGCCTGGAAGTATATGCTGTAGCTTTTCAGGGGAGACAGAGGAGCATTCCAGTAGCCATTGTAGGTCTTGTTGTCGCCCACGGTGAAGGGCTGTGTGACAGGAAGGTTGATGGGCTTCAGCTCAGCTGCAAAGTAGTGTGGGGAGTCCAGGCTGGAGGCGTTCTTGTAGCTGACTGGCACTGAGAAGCACTCGATGATGTCTGCAGCTCTCCGGGCTTTCTGCAGCTTCTCCTCCTTCACAACGAGCTGGTAGACACTGGGAGGGAGAGAGAAAGGTGAGATTAGAGACCCCAGAGCCTTGAATGGCAGCAAGAAATAAAAGGACAAGAGCATAGAAAAGTCAGAAACACGCAGCTGAGGCACCCCAGTGTGAAAAGTGCATGTTATATGGCTCTACACAGATATTTACCATATGTATTTTGATGTATTGATTAGTAGTGCTGTATTACCATTTTAATAATATGATAAATGTAGTCTTGTAATTAAAAGGTAACTTTTGTAGTTAAAATAAGAACTACGTTAGTGGGATTTTTTTTAAGAAAGGAATGGGGCACTCACATCAGATAGCAGCCACAGGACACATAAACCTTTCAGAGAAAGAGAATTTAGTGCTCTCTTATCAGAAGAAAGGAACTTCTTCCCACCTGGAAGGTGCTGTTAGGATTAGGAGGAAGAAGCTGACACTGACCAGACAGAATCCTGTGTTGGAATGGAATTTATGCATCATGTATGAGGTGTATGAATATGCAACAGGCTGTTGCTTTTAAGGGTTAATCCTCTGTTAATGTGGGTCCTTTTTGGAGCTTATGCTGCCCAGAAAAAGGTACCTGGCCTGTCTGTAACTCTTTGTCTCTATTGTCTCATATTGTCCTAATTCAATTTGTCCAAAGTATTATTACTCCAATTGTATTACTATTTTTATAACCATTTTATTAGTATTAAACTTTTAAAATTTTAAAAACAAGTGATTGGCATTTTTCACACCAGCAAGCACAGCTCCTGGCACAGCAGTAGCAGGGGCAGTGGCCACTGAAAGTCACTGTGGGGACAAGATGCTGACCATGTGCTCTGTTGGTTTAATTGAGTAAATCTGGATCAACCTGGGTGAAAGAGCAGATTTCAGTCATGTCACTCTTTAGGAAAAGGAGTAACTAATAAAATATCCAGTCTAGAATGAATTTGTAATGTGTTGAATGTTGGCCAGCAGAGGGTTTCTCCTTCAGCCACCGAAGTGAAACATGAATTCTTTGCTTGGGCCAAAAGGTGGCTGCAGTGGAGAGCATGAGCAGGTGGCAATGGTGTCAGATGCCTGTGGGAACAGTTTCAGGGTGCAAAAAGCTGTTTAGGCCAAAAAGAATCTTGAACATCACTTTTTTGGGCCCTCCTTCATATCTTGATGTCCTCATAAGGAACTGGTGAGGCCCTGGCCCAGGGTGCCCAGAGCAGCTGTGGATCTCCCTGGATCCCTGGCAGTGCCCAAGGCCAGGTTGGACAGGGCTTGGGACAGTGGGAGGTGTCCCTGCCCATGGAAGGAGGTTGAAACTAGATGGGCTTTAAGTTTCCTTCCAACACAAATCATTCTGGTATTCTGTGACCTCTTTTTGGGATATCCTGCAATGTAGACTCCTCTAATTCCCAATGGCAAGTCTCCCTCTACCTTGCATCCCTTGAGGACTGTTTATGTACTGAGCAGGTGGCTTTATAACTCCCTCAATCCACTTTTGTTTCAAGAAACAGCAACAACTCTTCATATTCCCTCTGACTCTATGAAACAGTAATCCTTTTTGATTCCTGCTAAGCTTTTGGCCATTATGATGTATAACAGCAATCTTATTATTTCTAGCTTACTATTCCAGGCTCAGAGCTTGCAAGGCATTCAAATGCACTCTGTTTTATTTTCCTTTCCTCCTCAGGCAGCTACCAAAGCCCTGGAGTTCCATGCTGCTATAACCCAGGCAGGTTTCACTGTCTGTTTAACACCACTCACGAGCTTGACAAAGAGAGATAGGGCTGCAGTCATTTTGCTTTGTGTCAGGCTATTCAGATGTGCTGCCCTCACCTGTCTGTGTCAGGCTGGGCCTTTGTTCAGGCAGACAGGGGAGATCGATGGAGAGATTGGGACCAGCCCACAGTGTGTCATTGTCCCAGCGTTCACAGGCAAAGACTGGGCTGGGGAATTTCCAGCATGGCAATAGCTCATCAATGCTCTCTGAGAAGCAGTTCTGGCTCCTCCAGCATGCAGGAGGAGTGAAGGAGCCCCAGCTCCTGTGTTGTATTTGTAGGGTGCCCCATGGCAGGAAGGAAGGAATGAATCTGACTCCATGCTCTCAGAAGGCTAATTTATTATTTTATGATACTATATTAAAGAATCCTTTACTAAACTATACTAAAGCATACAGAAAGGATACTTACTGAATGCTAAAAAGATAATAATGAAAACTCCTGACTCTCTCCAGAGTCCTGACACAGCTTGGCCCTGATTGGCCAAAGAGTGAAAACAACTCCCAGCAGAATGCAATGGAACAATCACCTGTGGGTAAACAATCTCCAAACACATTCCCCATGTGAGCACAACACAGGAGAAGCAAATGAGATCAGAATTGTTTTCCTTTCCTCTGAGGCTTCTCAGCTTCCCAGGAGAAAAACCCTGGGCAAAGGGATTCTTCCAGAAAATGTGACTGTGACATACCTGCTTTTGAATTCCCAGGGCCTGGGGGCTGTGGGGATCTGGCTCGTTCTCTGCTGACAGCAGGGCAGGCAGGGAAGAACTTGGAAACCATCTGGCTCCAACTGCCAGCCACAATCCCAGCTAACCTGAACAAGCACGAGCAATTTGTGAGTTACTCCATAGTAAAGCTGTCCTTGCCCTGGTGTTTACTAACGTGGCTGGGGGTGCTCAGCCTGGAGAAAAGGAGACTCAGGGCTGCCCTCATCACTCTCACAGCTCCTGAAAGGTGCCTGTGCTCAGCTGGGGCTGGGCTCTTTCTCCAGCAGCACTGACACAACCAGAGCACACAGCCTCGAGCTGCACCAGGGGAAATACAGGCTGGAGATTGGGAAAAAGTTTTTACAGAAAGAGTGAGAAAGTTCTGGAATGGCTGCCCAGGGAGGTGGTGGAGTCCCCATCCCTGGGTGTGTTTAACAAGGCCTGGATGTGGCACTGGGTGCCAGGGTTGAGCTGAGGGCTTGGGGCTGGGGTGGACTCAATGATCTTGGAGGTCTCTTCCAGCCTGGTCATCCTGGGAATTCTGTAGCAGGAGCACCAGCTGCATGGACTGCAGCCTTTAATGATGCCCCATCAACAGTTTGCAAAGCTGTCCTCCTCCTCCAGTTCATCAGAGCCTTTAAGAAATTATTTTAGACCTTCTCTGATATTTATTTTACAATTTTAAAAAGACAAAACTGGATTTCCAAGCAACACTTGAAGTAATATCATTGAGGATGCAGTGGGAGCTGCAAGCCTGTTCAATACAAACCCTTTCCTCAGCTCAGCAAGAGCAAATCATACTGGGCTGGTTTGGCCACTGTTGACTGAGAGTGTACATTCTTATTCTGACCCTTCTCCCTGGCCATAATAATCTACACTACTGGGAAAGTTTGTCATTTTGTTTGTCAGCCTTGTGCAAAATTGTAGCTGACACTTTTATGGACATTTGCCAGATGCCTTCTAACCTAAAAACATTTGCTTTCTGTTTCATCCAAGCCTAAACACTTGCATTTTCTGGTCATAGAAAATGTTTCCTTTAGGTATATAGACAAATATATATGTATAGACATATATCAATTTGCTTTCAGCCTACACAGAGGCCAAGAACTCCCTCATCCTTTCTCCCCAGACCTGAGGGTGACACTCACTGTCTCAGTTATCCCACTTGCAAGCCATGAACTTGTCTGTCTTTGGAGAAGGGGAAGCTCCCAGGGACATGAACTGCCAGGTAAGTGAACTCCTTCCCAATCATTAGAGCACTACAGACACTTTTCATCATGAGCAAGAGTTTTGATACCTACAGAACCCAGTCACAGATACTCTTTTGCCTCTATTCTTTCACATTTTCTCTCTCCCACTTAGCTGTTAACATACTTCTTCCCTTCACAGAGATAACTCACTCTTGTAGCAGCCTGAAATTTTACTTTTAATGTTTATTCTTTTGAAATGAATCAAGGTTCCTCTGGAAGCACAATGGCGTGCTCACGAATATTCAGCTGGGGTGCAGCAATTGTCCCCTTTGTGCTCAAGTTAAAATCCTGTTCATCTCCTGCTCAAACACTGCCTCCTTGTCTATGGAACAGCCATCTGAGGTAGCACTGCTGTCACTGCTCCCTCTGGCTAAGAACCCTCCTCTGGTGACACTCAGGGTGGGATTCATGGCATTTTTCTCCCTGATGCCCCAGCTCACACTGACTGACACAGCATCCTCATCTTTGCCTTGACTGCTTGGCTTGGGGTCCAGCACCCTCCAGCCTTGCTCTTCTCTGAGCCTGGCCACTCTCAGAGGAAGTGGTCAAGCAGCCAGGAGCAGGTCTGAGCTTCAGCCCAAAGCAAGCTTTGAACTTGCTTTGGGCTGAAGATTATCATTCTGAGCTCTGGCTCCCTTTTAGATGGTTACTCTGGGTCTCACTTTCGTTTTGATCCTGGTATTTTGATCTGTCTAGACCCTCCAGAAGGACAGGATTCCCAGTTCACCCCAGCAGGGACACAGACTGGCACAGAATCTATTTTTTTTTTGTTTCTATCATTGTGGTTTTTTGTGTGTTTTTTTTTTTTTTTTTGTGTTTTGTTTTGTTCCAAGTTATTCTCTTCTCTTCCTACTTTGTTTATACCTAGGAGCAGAATTTCCCTGCCTGCCTTTAGGGCATTTTCAGAGATCAACTCCTCTGCATTAAGCCATGAAGTGCTGCACAGCAAATGCTCCCACACCTGCACTGAGGTGCTCTCGTAACTTGGAGCAAAAACCCCAGCAACCCTACACCCAAATGGAATTGCTGTGGGAATTCTGAGTAGCAAATGTCCTATTACCCACCCTAAAGTTTAGCAAACCATCTGCATTACTACAACATTTCTCAGCAGAGTAAAACTAATCCAGCTTTGCTCAGAAGATGGGAACATGGTGGGATGCACCACAATCCCCAAGAACGTGGTTGGGCACTAACTCAGGATAAACTTGGTGAGCAGGATCTGCCCTTCTGGCCTAAAAGAGCCCTCAGCTGCACTCACATCTCTGGGTCAGGGCTGAGCAGGGTCTCCCCTTTGCCATT